AAACAAGATTCCCATTTTATTGTCGTTTGAACCCTAAAAAAATTAAAATATACGTTTTGGCGCCACTAGGCGAAAATTTCTAATCCATCGGCAATTGTAATAATTTTTATAATATATAAAATACATTTAAAAATAATTTCAGTAACCTTTTGAAGATTCGCATTTCACTAATCTTTTGAAGATTCAGAAGGCTAGTGAAAACAACTGATCAACTAAAGTAGGCAGACCTCATTCTCTCTGATTCTTTATTCCCAATTGTAGTAATTTTTATATTTAAAAAAAAAATAAAATATACGTTTTGACGTCACTAAGCGATAATTTCTAGTCCAGCGCCAATTGTAGTAATTTTTATAATATATATAATACATTTAAAAATAATTTCTCTAACCTTTTGAAGATTCTCTCTGATTCTTTATTCCCAATTGAAGTAATTTTTATAATATTTAACATATGCATGATTTTTGCAACTGTTCAAATAATTGCGTTATACTATATGATATAATAGAAATTAAATACAACAAACCGGATATAACGTTTCGATGTAAAGCTGAAAATATCTAATTGATATTGCGGCAACATCTGATTAAGACTATTAAAAAATATCGAGAACTGGCAAAGAAATAGAAGGAATTTGGAAACAAGTCCCTTTTTCCATTTTATTGTCATTTGAACCCTAAAAAAAAATTAAAATATACGTTTTGACGTCACTAAGCGAAAATTTCTCATCCAGCGCCAATTGTAATAATTTTTATAATATATAAAATACATTTAAACATAATTCCACTAACCTTTTGAAGATTCACCTTTCACTAATCTTTTGAAAATTCAGAAGGCTGGTGAAAACAACCGATCAACCAAACTAGGCAGGCCTCATTCTCTCTGATTCTTATTCTCAATTGTAGTAATTTTTATATTTAACAATTAAATACAACAGACCGGATATAACGTTTCGATATAAAGCTGAAAATATCTAATTGATATTGCGGCAACATCTAATTAAAACTTCTTAAAGAATATCAAGAACTGGCAAAGAAATAGAAGGAATTTGGAAACAAGATTCTCTCTTTCCATTTTAATGTCATTTGAATCTTAAAAAAAACTAAAATTTACGTTTTAACGTTACTAAGGGAAAAATTTCTAATCTAGCATCAATTGTAGTCATTTATAATATATATAATTCATTTAAAAATAATTTCACTAATCTTTTGAAGATTCAGAAGGCTAGTGAAAACAACTGATCAACCAAACTAGGCAGGCCTCATTCTCTCTGATTCTTTATTCCCAATTGTAGTAATTTTTATAGTATTTAACATATGCATGATTTTTGCAACTATTCAAATAATTTCGCTATACTATATGATATAATAGAAAAAATATACAGAAGTAACTGTTCCGATGTGGCAAGTGAATTAATATTTCAATTAAAACTTGGGAATTTTAATTCTGCAATGTGTATATAATTAGATATTACGTATCAAGTGTTTTTTAAAATAACGTTTAAAAGTTTATTAAAAAGAGTATAATGCCGGATTTTCATAGTTAATTCAGAAATTAAGAAAAGTACTTTAACTTTAATTATTTCTTTTTCACTGACAAATTTTGACCAATGACATTTCTAAGTATGTAGTCACTGTCATACTAGCCTTTGCCCCCACCTATTTTGCATTTACAATGTCATGAAATACCCTGTATATGTATGTTACAATATTTAAAAATATATGTCGGTATTATAACTGAAGAACTAGAAGTTATAGAAAAATATCGCGTACGTCATTGAATTTTACGTAAAAAAATTATCGGCATTCAACTTTTCTCGAAAATCGAACGGTTTCTAGACTGTCAATATTATTGTACAATTTTCATATTGCGCAATATCATCTGTGGAAGATTTTTAAAGGTTATATATAATATATTGAGCAAATCAAAAATAGTTTGATATTTATTGAACAATCGGAAAAACAATGTAATCAATGCGTAATATTGCGCAATACTTGTTTATTTCTATTTGGAACGTCGTGTATTAAACTTCGTTGTGCTTGAAATCCTCATAGGAGGGGGAAAGTTTATTTTGGAATCTATACAAAGTGTCCCAGAAATAAGTGCCAAACTTTTAATCACGAGTTTAACGCATCAAAAGCAACAACTTTGGCGTAGTATTTTTTCAAAAACTAAAATTTTTGTCGGGTATTTTGTACCAATTAAAATAACGCTAACGAGAAGTCTACGAATTAAAGAAACATCAAGTAATATGCAAATATTTTATTTTATCTTACAATTTTTTTTCTTAGCATAAATATTAAATACTGGCACTAATTATTTTTGGGCTTCTTTTTGTTTACTGTTAACTAATTGTAAGTGTTTCAACTTATGCTCCAAGGACGGGTAACAAAAATTTAAAATATAAAAAATATATTGCTTATATTATAAACGATGTTATCGTAAAAAAATATTACATAAAAATTTGAGTTTCATCGAGTTAAAAGGGTGGTTAAAAATTCCCGAGACACACTGTAGAACAATACCAGTGTTATTTAACGTAAAATGTAGCAGCTTTAATTAAAAGAAGTGAACAGTACGACCAGTTGCTTCTCAAGCACAGGCAAAGGTACCCTGAAGCTGACAGAAACCAACTGGTTAAAAAAATGTAACTACCTCATTGCGTACTAAATTTCCAAGAGTTGAACCTTATCAACGATTCCGTAAAGTCAACCACAAACTAAATGATTGCACAATTCCATAATGCCGTCTAGGGACACCTTTCAGTATTATTGTGCAATATTGTACAATACCATTGATAGTGATAGAGGCTGGTCGCTTTATCTACATTTTGTCTATCTCCTCAGGAAATAACAAGAAATCTGATAAAGTGGCGATTTAGCCCACTCTGTACATATACAAGGTGTCCCAATATGTGCATGAAAGTGCCATGTTCTTGGGATGAAAATAAAACGACTTATCTCTATGCCAATACCCTTGTTTATATATAATGTTAGACAACCAATCAAAGTTAGAAAGGGAAACACTAGATGGCGACTCTCTCATAAAATCCCTGTCATCCTCTTTGAAAATGTAAATAAAGAGAAGGATTTTATAAGAGAGTTGCCTTCGACTATTTTCATTCCTAAGCTTGACTGGTCGTCTAACTGTACTGTATAAACAAGGCCTACATATAGACTTTTTACCGAAATAATTGCACTTGGCAAAAATAAGAGATATACCCCCACCCCTAAACGAATATGCTCATATTTCTTTTGTTAGTCTAATTCAGTTTTCCCGTTCCTGTAAGTGCAATTATTTCAATTATAAAATTGAAATGTACGATATATACATACATACAGAAATGTATACATACAAGCTATTCCATTTCTGCTCATCTAGATTAGTTCATTTTTGCACCACTTGGTTGTCCTTTATATTGAATGAGAATTACTGCGTTGTTAATTCCAAATGTCGTAACTGATAAAGTAGATATGGCTAAATCTTATAATGCTGATTTTATGTAGTAATTCTGAATGCATTAAAACACTATATTAATACAAATAAGATACATTATAAATGTAATGAAATAATATATAAAGTATATTTAATAAGTGACGATGATATTTTTTGTCTAAACATTTGAAACAATTGCAGGTACGGTATTTGCATTTTCCTAATATGACAATCTACTATTTCAGTCAGAAATTAGATTACCATAAATTTTATATATATTTGTTTAGCCTCATAGACTAATAAAAAAATTCTATAATACAACTTCGTTTCACGCCAATAGGAATAAATATAAAAATAGGTACTTAGAAACGTTCCGTTATTGCTATAATTTTCTTATTTCCTCATTAATTGGGTAAGTAGAGGTCAATTTTATCAACTGCCCTGTACTATTGTATTAATTCAATTAATTGTGAAAGTATATTTTATTTTAAAATTTTTTTAATGTACAAAAGATACAATAGTTTTTTAGTATTTCTTTAACAAATGTATGAATAGAAAAATAGAGGAGATTAATAATAAATAAAAAATCCAATATTACTTACACTTTAAAAAATATATCGAAATATTGTCTGTACACAAAAACCAAATAGCTTATTCAAAGTTAAACGTATCCCGCCTCCTTGCGAGTTCATTATACCCAATTTCTGCGTGACGGTTGTCATGTGGTATCCTGGAATTGTGAACGAAATGCGCTGGTAATTCTGAGGCGTCTACAAGACACAATGCACGTGACATCTTTACGTACGAAAGTGTGCATCACATTTTTTTATGACTTATAAAATACATTTTTAAAAAACAATTATATAAAATTAAATTCTGGCACACGGGCAAATATATTAATTCTGAACTTCCAATAAAGATTTCCTTAATTTGCAAAAAATATGACGCAAGAATTGGAAACATTAAAGTAGACCAATTTCCTCCAGGTTTTGCACATAAACGTTAATTTTGAACTACTAGTGAAATTTTTCGATATCTTACAGGAAAATAGTACTTTATCTAGAAAGACCCAGTCAGGGTCAAAATAATTTCTCAGAAATAAAAATATGGTCCAAATTACATTCTAATCAAGCAGGCATATTCCCCAAAAAATCACAAATCCACTTGAAATTTTTCGGTGCATGGGTCGACAGGAATGACGTTTCTCATCTTTGATCTTTGCTCTCAAGTAATAGAAGTGTGTAATTAATAAGTAAACAGGTGACTGTTAATAATTCTCATGAAAGGTGTGTCTGGGCTCCACCAATGAGTGCTTCGGTAAGGGGGCTTGTCTCTTACGTCACAACTACGTCAAGCTTACACAACACAATATCACCTGCTTAATTTAGCGGCTGCGGCTTTATATCAGTCACAGTTGGTGTGTCAAGCAGAGTTAGTTACTCAGCATAATAAAGTGCGCTAAGCTAATACAATTTTACTTAAATCGGTCGACTGTTCTTTGTGCGTTTTAATAGAAATAAATTGATGTGACATCTGAACAGTGTATAATACATATTTTTCATTCTTAGGGAGGACCTATCCTAATCTGAAACGGGTTTAAATTGCTTCACAGACGGATAAAAAGCTTATTAATAACAACTTGACTATTCAAATTAAAATGAAAAAAATCTTGAAAATTACTGGAAACAAAGAAACATGGATTGTGATTTTATTAAGTTTAATTAAAATCTCATCATGCGACGATGAATTGTTACCAACTTGTTTTAGGTAAGATTTTCACCTTGTTTGAACCCTTCCGTACTGCAATATCCTTGATGTCAGACCTTGTTCTAATCCAAGCTTAACAAACCTTATCTTTTATTTATGTATCAGTTTTTTATGATTTAACTAATAATCCACTTGGATTTTAGTTAAAATATGTTATAACGATAAAATCAAAATATAAATTTAATTTACCATCTGTGGCAGGTCATTTCCACCCACTTATTTTGAATTTGCGCCAAATTTTCCTTCTAATTACCGTTCTTAACATTACAGCGACATTTACTGCCATGGATCCCTTCTTAAGACAATTCAAATGGCAAAAATTTATGAGGATTCAAAGACTTTCGTTGACATGAAAATGAAACATTCACCGAATGAGACTATGCAGTTTTTTAACGATTTTATGAAGAACTTCACTGACAATAACAAAACGCCCGACAGGGCAGAAGTAGAAGGTTTTGTAAATACATATTTTGAACCTGCTGGACAGGAATTTGAAGATTGGGAGCCTAACGACTGGGTATCTCACCCAAAGTTTGTGGATAATATTAGAGACGCAGAACTTCAAGAATGGGCATTAAAATTAAACGATAAGTGGAAAATTTTGGGTAGAAAAATGAAAGACGAAGTTAAAGAGCAGCAGGACCTCTACAGTATTATTTGGGTGCCTAATCCAGTTATCGTGCCTGGTGGTCGTTTTCGAGAATATTATTATTGGGATTCTTATTGGATCGTGCAGGGTTTACTTCTTTCAGAAATGCATGAAACTGTAAAAGGTCTAATTGAAAACTTTCTATACATTGTTGATAATTATGGACTTATCCCGAATGGAGGTCGAGTGTACTATTTGGCGCGATCTCAACCACCATTGATGATACCTATGATTAAGCTTTATTTTGACTTTACTCAAGACATAAAATTTATTTCTGATAACATAAATTTAATGGAGAAAGAATTTGATTACTGGATAACGAATCATTCTAAAATTATCACTAAAGATGGCGTTAATTACACTCTGGCTGCATATGGTGACAAGTCTACAGGACCAAGGCCCGAATCTTACTCGGAAGATGTGGAATGTGCAGACATATTTAAAGAGGATGTCAAAAAGGAAGCATTTTATTCTGAAATTAAAGCTGCTGCAGAATCTGGGTGGGATTTTTCAAGTCGCTGGTTCATCGCGAATGCTTCTAATAAAGGTAAGTTTACTGTATAATTAGTTGCATCTTGGAAAGTATTTAAAATTTTTTAAGGATTTTAAAATTCAATAGTCTGTTAAAATACCGCATCATGCATTATTATTTTAAATGCGTCAATGTTTGAAATCTAGATTTACTTAATTTAAAGAAAAACTGTTCAATTTTTATAACACCATAATAATTCTTTTTTATGAAAGACATAAAGTTCCCCTTGTTTATCGTTTCAGATATTGTCTGTGTATTTGATAATTTTTATTTGAGTATTTTCTCGTGCCTAGAAAAAAACAGGTTAAATTATTTAGAAATATTTATAAATTTTAAATAAACATCAAAAGGATCAGTGAACTTTCTGTGTGGATATTTTTTCGCAAAAATAAGTTTACTTTAATTTTCTGTTTAGTTTGGTAAAACAAATTAAATAAAAAAATGTAAATAAAATACCTAAATTTTCTTAAGATAAGCTAAAATACCAAAAGAAAATAATAAATCGTGATGCAAAGATTATTTAGTGTAAATCAAATTAATATAAAGAAATTATATAAAATAATTTTATTTTCCAGTGGGCGTTTTAAAAAGAGGCATTTATTTATTCAAATAACACTGATGCTGACGGTGAACAAACTGAGAAAGCCTTAAAAACAATTAAATTTTTTACAATTCAGTGTGTGTCTTGAGATAAATTGTTAAAACTAGATAAATTTTGCATTACTTTTAATGAATTTTTAATAACGGGTTTAAGGCGATGTTGATAGTATGTACAAATAAATTGTTCTGTTCTCTAGAAGGTTTGGTTAAACGGTAAATTAAATTTTAAATTTTACAATATGATATAAAATTGAAAAATGAACAACTTTTCTTTGAATAATTTTTTTTAATGTTAAATTGAACGACTACAGAAAATAACGCGAATACATCCTACCTACCTACCTACGTCACTTGTGAGTAAATCTATTAATGGAAAAGTTTCTCATATGAGATGTGTACATGTGTACTTTATTGTTTACAACAAATGACGGAAACGTGATGGAAACTGTTAAAGATAATTTTTGGAAATTTTTATTTCTGTAGATAGTGAAAGGAAGGAACTTACAGCAAAAGTTCGTATTTAGATTTTGGAGTAAATTGCATAGTTATGACTGCAATTTCGCTTTATTTCACGGTAGAAACGGAAAGTTAAACACAAAGAAGTAACTACATAAATCCGAACAGAAATTATAAATAAAATAAGCAAACATTAAACATAAGTGAATATGTAAACATATATTAACATGGCGTGAATAATTAAAAGAAAAATAACAGAAAACTTTGAAGGTTTGGTTTAATTAAGTTGCAAATTAAATTAGAATTATTTTCAAATAAAAAAATAATAAAGAGTGGGACTACTGTCTGCGCTTTGGATCTTTATTCGCGAAAACAACAATCAAGAGATTGTGTTATTTTCGTAAGGAAAACTGACACATCGATAGAAGAAAAACAAATCATTAATTAAGCATTGTTCATGTTCTGTGAATGATGTTGTTGTAATTAGTATGTCATTATTGTTTTATTACTGCATTTCACACATTGTATATTTAAGTTACGAAAAATATCTTGTATTTCTGTTATATACGCGGCTATTTTACGTACGTCTCGGTCAGTCAAGACCTTTAGTGAAGCTGTAAAGTCGAGCAAATAATATGAATAAATAAATCAATAAATCGTTTTACTGTATTTAGACAAAATTAGGAAAAATATAACTGAAATACTTATTGTAGTTCACCAAAGAGAAAACAATAGTACACATTATTTTCTTTCTGTACTTCACTGTTGCTGCAGCTGTTTATTTATTATCAACGTGTTATTTAATGTGTTATTATTATAAATTTAATATATTTTTTCTTATATTCATTTTCTTTTTCTGCCATAAACATAAATTTCTCGGAACTGTCTAAACTGTCTCGGACATTATTTGTTAATATTTTATTTACTTGGGTATTACTGTCATACTGAAAACATTACTTTTTTTGTAAATTGAGAGCCACTCCGCTCGTTCACATTTTCTTATTTTCGATCACCCTGTACAACAAAATTTAAATCTGTCTACGGTAATGCGATTATTTTGACACGCAGTTTTAGAATATTTCTATACCCATCTTATTGAGATAAAAAATATTTAGTAGATCTCTAAAATTTTAATTATTTATTCTAGTTTTGACGGTACCGAATAGAGACCATGTCATTAGAATTCCGTTTTTCCTGATGTAGGATCGTGATATACTTGGACATAATATGCATTGGCTCCCATATCAAAATTCTACCGTTACTGATTAAAAATTAATAATGACTTTATTTGAATTTTTCAAAGTATTAAACAACTGAATAATAAACTGCATTTAAGAACTCTTATAAAAAGGTATTCATGTTGCAAACAAAAATGCAAAAAATGTTTATGTTCAAATTCCGGTATTATAATTATTTTTTAATTTCATAATTTTGACATATTTTATTGATACTGCAAAATGCATAAATTTTAACAAGTTTTTTAAGGATACCTCAAAATATTAAATAGGTACGTTCATTTTCAGAAACGGTTAATTTAAGAGGATCTTTTCGTAAGACTTTTTAATGATTTATTTAATATTAAGTTGTTTCATTTTCTGGAAATACGCATATAAAAAATCTTCCCAGTCAGTTGAGATTTTGACACTTTTTATATATCGAAAGTGCAGTTGGCTACCAATGAGTGTACCAAAAGTGAAAGAAAAAAATACATAACTGAAGAAATTGTAGCAAAATATGAATTTAAAAACAAACAAACTTTAAACAAAACATTGTCTGTAATTTTTATTTGTGGCATTTGTTTCTTCAGTTGATTATTTCTGCCGCAATGATCACAGAGTAGGAGAGAGGCTAACGAAAAGAGAAAGCAAGACTTCTAAGTAGATATTTTAAAGGAAATAGGAAAGAGTGATGATGGATGACGATGTAAACGTGTAAAGTAAGTTTAGACCATTCAGCGGTCACAGTAGCAGCAGTGCAGTAAAAGGAAATTAATAATAAATAATGTATATTACACGTGATAAGTTATTTGGCTGTTCGTGCTTCTCGGCAGATGACGATAATGTCGCACACACTTTTCTGCTGAGCAAACTATTACTGATTTGATAAAAAGACACACTCATTCGTCTCTAATTCATGAGCAGCTGATGAGTTAATATATCAAAGAGTAGAATGCAATTGAAATATAGTGTTTACTGTAATTAATAAATGTTTAGTGAAACCTTTTGTTAAACCAGTTGGACTCCGATATATGAAGGGGTTAAAAGAATTACAAAGCAAGATGTTCATTATACTGAAATAAGAAATATACGTAGTGCGATAAAAAGAAGGCACAGTTCAACAACCAGATTGATGTTCAATACATTTTCCATCAGGATTATCATTAGACATCAAGATGTTTGACCTTCTGAAACACTGACTGAGATCATGCAGTTTGTGATCGGATTAGTCTATTGAATGTTTGGGAGTTGTAACCCTTATCAAGGACACCTCTGTACTTACTGATCCTCACAATATCGCCTACTTCGAACTTAGACAAACTTGAATATCTAACTATTGGTAAATTATAAATAGATCTCGGAGACATTTTCGTTGTCCTTGTTCGCAGATGCCTGTTTCATACCGCTGCGCTGGTTCAGTGCTTAGTATCGTTTATTTTTATTATTTCAATCGCATCTAATATAAGCGAAAGGTTAATCATTAAAATTGAATTGTTTATAAATTACAGCCTTTAGGTTTCTATTTACACGTTCCACAATGGAACCTTCCTTGCTACTAAACGGAGAATACTGATTAATATTAGCCACCTTCATTATAATAATTATAATAATAATAATAAGAGTAGCACATTAACAAATCAGTTTATATACTCATCAAAGCATATCACTTCCATATTTATCCTCCCAGCATAAAACCACATGCATTTTAAATTTTTGGAATTCATATTAACATATGATCGCTATAAACGTATCTGTGATTCATGCCAACCTATTTGAACAACACCAAATACTTGCAATGAATTTTACCAAATAGAACAATCGACTCGTTTATGTTTACCCTACTGAAATAGTCAAGTACATAGTCGAATTAAGCTTTGACTAATACGAATAAGGGTACGACCTCGAGTACGAGCATAGTGCAAAGTCGAGCATTCAGATTCAGATAGAGGCTAGAAACACGAGCAACAGCTTTGGGATTTAAAACACGTGTTAGCATCTGTATAGCCATAGTGCAGTGTTGCCAGATGTGGCGATTTATCGCCAATATGGCTACTTTGCAACAGAGAAATAAACAAAAAAAATCATTTGGCGACTGGCGACATATTATGGCTACTTGTCACTCATTCTGGGCGACTTATTGGCTACAAAATTGTAACCGCGGTCTTATAAATACATAACACTTTTCTTCTTATAAGCGACAAAAAGATAAAAGCCTGGTGACAAAATTAGTATTTTTCACTTTTTATATTGGCAGAGCATATTTGTACGTCATTCGTCCTTCTCTTCCGTTGTTTGGGTTCTAGAATTCTACCAGGGAGGATTCTACAATACTACAATTGTAAATTGTCATTGTCATTAGTCATGGTAAGGTGCAAGATAAATCGTGTAACCGTTTGTTCGTGTAACCTGGTATACTGTAACACAGATCGTATCAAATTTAATATAATTTTGAATTTAAATGAAAGTCGCGAACTACATATAAAGGACAATTTAAAATTTTGAAATATTGCCGCCAAAATGCTAATGTAATGATATGTGATTCTAATCAAATTCGTAATTCGATTTGTTTAAATTAGCGATTTAATTGCCTCGTTACTTGGTTTATTATAACTATGAATTAAGCAACCCTTGTCCCTTAAATTTTTCTTCCATCGTTTAAATTCTTCTTCTCTAATTATTTTCAATAGTTGGCGACACATGGCGACTTTGTTTCTCTATTTTGACTACTTGATAAAGCTAATATCTGGCAACACTGCCATAGTGATACGACTGTGTACAGACATAGCTGTTGCTCGTGCCTCTATCTGATCGATTTGAATAAGTCAACAGACTGATCATCGCGGTTGTTTTACCGCAATTTGCAATAATGCAATACTATGCGATAGCACGGATTAATTTTTCTTGAATTTTTTTAATCACTTGCAACCTCTAAAATTTATGTCGATTGCTGTTTTCGTGAAGCACATGTATATACTTAGATAATTTTCACCTGACGCACCTTGACTCAATCCTAAGTAAGTAAGTTCTGCGACGAACAGTAAATTAGCGAAAAGGTTTGTTTACTAAAGCAGGTCGTCGAGCGTAGAAGTTTACTCTTCGGAGAAAGATGACGGGGTAAAAATTCGGACAAACACGATTTTTTTACAAATTTTCAAATATATTAACCACAAGCAGAATGTCTGTTTTCAAATGTCGGAATATTCACCCAAATTTTTAATGTTAAATTTATTCCAAACGGCAGTCGTTAGGTACAACCACCAATGTTAGAAATACGTTCATCGGACAATATACTATAAAGGTCGTTTATCGGTAGAATCGTTTAAGGCCATTTTTTCAACTCAGGTAAATTTAATCGTTAATACTATCTCTATCACTTTCTTATACATATGTTTTTTATGAGAGGGATATGGATGTAACTGACAAGGATTAGCACCCTTTCTTGTAGACAGGCTGAATGGCTTTGAATCACAATGCGATTCTCGGTATCATCGAGATAAGAAACCAATTTCTCGATTTTATCGGTTGTGAGACACAACATACACATCAATAAATCGTAACTTTATTCAAATATCTTTAACATTTTTAGTGCAAGGAAGGTATTTTTTGTTATTTATTAGCAAAATTGAAATTTTGCCCTCAACGCAGCCGTACGTCAGACGGAGAAAATTAAAACAAACCTTACTACCAGGATTTTTCGGATTATTATCCAGTAGCCTATGTGACCGGCCCTTGTTCCAAGCTAGACTCTGTCGGGGCGGACCTGCTATCAGAACTCCTGTTCCTGTCCTAATATCGGGTCCGCTCCCACAGATCTAGCCTAAGAACAACAACGGCAGGTCAAAGATTCCTTAAAACCACTAACAATAAAACGAACATTGTGGGATACAAAATCTTTATACAAAAGAAATAAACTCAACTGAACGCAAACGGAAATTTTTGCCCACATGTGAAAAAACGTACTTTGCAAACAATATTTCTTTCCTATCAAAAAAATATGTGTTATAAACTACATTATAACAATAGATTTTATTTACTTTTATTATTCTCCCGCATCCAAGGTAATATTTAATTAATATATATAGCCACTATTTGATTAAAATTGTATGAATTACAAACCGTAGACTTTTTCAAAATTCAGTTCTATATTATACAGGGTGTTAATTAAGTATGTACAATAAATTCAACTGATGATTATTTGACTGATTCTAAGACAAAAAGCTCATATAAACATTGGTCCGCAGATGCTTCGTTTTCAAGATACAGGGTGTTAAACTTTTGTAAAAAAATGCCATTTCGTAAATGTCTTAAATACCCTTTACCCAATTTTGTTGTAATTTGGCAGTGTTATTTGTAATTTGTTCTTTAGATGTTACATGTTATTAATAAGAAATTATAAAAATATGATAATTTCCAAAAGAAACTTTTCCCCATGTTTCTTGTATGGTCCAGGAATATGCAATTAAGTAAATTTTATTTTTTCAGTTTGTATTTTTCGCTTAATTCAAAAAATATATAAAAATTACAAAAAAGTCAGTGGCGTACATTTTTTTTTGTCAAAAATATTCGTTAAGGTACAGCTCGGGACGCCACGGGACTTAATAAATCTAATCAAGTTAGGGTTAAATTAGCCCCCTTAAAATAACACTGCCAATTTACAACTAAATTGGGTAAAGGGTATTGAAAATATTTACGAAATAGCAATTTTTTTACAAAAGTTTAACACCTTGTATCTTGAAAACGATGCATCTGCGGACCAATGTTTATATGAACTTTTTGTCTTAAAATCACTCAAATAATCGTCTGTTGAATTTATTGTACATACTTAATTAACACCCTGTATATTGAAATAAAAACAATTTATTTTCTCAGTACTGTCAAAAATTTGCTTTCAACGCCAATGCGATTGTCGGATTTTACGTACTATACAGCGTGTGAATCTAGTCAGTATTTTACTCACGGTAGTAGAAAAAAATGTTTTTACCCACATATTATATTTAATACCAGTTACCAGACAGAAAAGAACTTTCATTTAATTTACCTGTTAATTTTTAGGTAATCTAACCGATATTAAAACAAGATCCATCATTCCTGTGGATTTAAACGCTATGATATACTGGAACGCAAAACTACTAGCTGAATTCCATCTACTTCTCAATAATACAGCAAATGCTGATAAATTTAACAGTATAGCTGCAACTTGGATGAAGGCAGTCACCGCTGTCTTGTGGCACGAAGAAATTGGAGCGTGGTTGGACTATGACATTTTCAATGAAGTTAAAAGAGATTATTTTTACCCTACCAACATCGCACCTCTATGGACTGGTTGCTACAACACTACAAATAAAGATAAAATCGTGCGAAGCGTGTTAAAATATTTACAAAACAAAAATATCTTATATCCAGGAGGTATTCCAACTACAGTTGAACATACTGGAGAACAATGGGATTACCCAAATGCTTGGCCACCTTTGCAGCATATAATGGTCGTTGGTTTAAATAGTACTGGCAATGATCACGCAGTTAGGTTAGCATATGAAATAGCAGAGAAGTGGATTCGTTCGAATTACAAAGCTTTTAATAAAACGGGAAATATGTACGAAAAGGTAAGTCACTTCAATAAAAGCTTATTACTGTTCTTATTTGCAGCATTTTTTATATTATAACTGTATGTTTTAATTATCTTTCAACAAAAAAAAAACGTATATTAATTACTAGCATTACTAGGATACATTTTTATATAAACCTTTTTTTTAATGGATAATAAAGGAGATATATCCTTTAAAGAGGGTAAATAGATTTTTTAGGGTATATTAAAAACTTCTTTCATATACTTACCTTATTCATGTTTTAAACCTAGAGCATATCAGTTGCGTAAAGGGTAGTTTTAGAGGTGACAATCACTGTTTCATCACCAACTTATCCTATTAAAAAAAAAGAAATGTTGATCTAAATTATTAGGGAAAAGAAGGTTCTTATTTCTGATAAATTAAACCATTTTCTATAAAACAAATACCTACTTAAGTTGCATCATGGCTTAAATAAATTTAAAATTTCCTCAAGATAATCTATATTTATTTTCATATGCTGTTTTCGAAAATCAGAACGTTTTTTTTTTTCAATGAAAACCTGGGGGAAAATATTGAGTTTTAAATTTATTCAAGCAATAAAACTAAAGTGCTTGTTTTATAAAAATAGTTTGAAATATCTGAAGTATGTCCATTGGCGTGTCCATACTTTTTAAAAAAGGGAAGCTGTTCAAAAAAAGAGTTCAAAATGAAGTTTGTTCTATTTTATACTTTATTTATTTATTCTTTTAAGCATAATTTCTACACAAAAAAATAACAGGCAAATTAATATCGCTTTGTCAGTTAGAAGTATATTTAACTCTTGTGAGTTTCCTAAATGATATTTTAGAGGTCGTCGTATTTTGCTAACAATTTTCCCTATTTAATAAGTATCCATATTCAGTAAAGCAAAGAAAAGGTAACTCATGTTCTCCAAGAAAACAAACTGTCTATGTCTTCTAAGAATTTCGCGATTTTTTCGCATTTGTATTTTTCTTGAGAAATTGAGCGGATCATTTAGAACATGTTAGATGTTTTCTCTTTTATTAAAGCCTGAATATGTTATTACTTGTCATGCCATGTCTTTTTATTTTATTTTATTTTCCGACTTAAACAATGTTTGTCGGAAAATACATTTCTTTTTCACAAACTTTTTTCAGTGGAAAATAAAAGACCTACCCAAAATATAAGAGAGATTGTTGCCTTCAGTTAACCATTCACTACAAAATTTATATTACAGGGGAAGGTGTGTTTCTCTAGATTACATGGTAAACACGCCACTGGTATATAGTACGATTATTCAAAATGCACCCGCATATGTAAACCTGAATTTCTTAAAAGTGATTAGATTTATTTGGAAATAAAATAAGAATACCTTTTTTTTCGTTAATAGCACAAAGACGACTATGAAAACAGTTTGTAAATGAAATAGTGTCACCCCCTAAACTATCCCTTATACAACACGTACCTATGATTTGAAATACTCAGTGAATTATTAAGATAAATCGAAGTTTTAAGATATCGCAAATAAATATATACCATCCTCCTTTAAAAGGGATATATCTCTTTTTACCCATTTTCGTAAAGTATTTAAAAATTATCCTTATTTTTTAATATACAATTCGTCCTATAAATATCAGTGAATCTGGGACCATTAGGTAGTGTGGAAACGTATCACATCATGTTTCAAATATAAAATCAACAATAAAACTTAATGCAAAATACAGTAATTTATTTTTGGCCGCTGTTGGATTCAACTGATTTAAAAATTGTTGTTACATAATATAGGGTGAGCCAAATTTTTATACTCAAACTTCAACACTCGATAAATGACCCTGTTTTGAAAAAAAGTTCATTTAAACATAGATTGCAGAATTCTTCTTTTTCGAGATACAAAAATACGAAAAAAATGATATTTAATGGAATATCTCGTGAAATGTATGACTAGTTAAAAAAAATCACGATGTTGATATATAAATATGATAACCACTGATGAAGATACTAGAATGCACTAAAAGCCCTGGAATTTTGACGCAACTCAGTACTAAGTAATTTTTATTGGTATTTCTAACAAAAAAGATGCCTACCATTTCATTGGAAAAAGGAGATCACTGCCAATAAAATTTAAACGAATTTTTTATAAAACCAAAAATAACACGAGCCAATATGTTAATTATCTTTACTGCTACATTGGAAGATTGTCTATGCTTAATCATGAATTATTCAATTAAATATTAAAATTATGTTTTATAAAATATGTTAAAATAAAAAATAACATTGTTGAGTATTTGCCCAAGCAATATATTGTCAATCATATATAATGAAGTAGCTTCAACTCGTGTCATGAGTTCAGGACTTGTGGACTAAAATAAATACGAGAAGATTTATAATTTACGATTTCGTGTTTGAAGTGTAACTCGTAAAAAACATTTTTAAGTTACTCTTGTTTAATATTGATCTGTTCTATTAACATCAGTTCTGGTTATTTTACTTTTCTTTAAAACGTATTAAGCTAATTCCAAAAATATTTCTAAATTCGTACAAAATTAAGTCATACAGGGTGTTTTCGAAGTCTGTGTAATAACTTGAAGACAGTAATGAACAAAATTTCACATTTATTCAAGTACCTATCTAGGCGGTTGCCACTAATGTAAGTAATTTTAATAAGTTCGTTTTATTTCTGTTGGCTGGAAGAAATGTAGGTATATTATTTTAATTAAATAACGAGCTATTATCGAGTGACTATCTGTTTTATACACCTTGAGTCGTAGTCGTTTTAGAACCTTTCTGCATTAAAACTTTTTGGTGATTTGATTAAAAATCTGAACTTAGCTTAGATATGTACCTAGAATACACCCTGTATGCATATCCTTTCATATCAAATATCAAAGTATGCTAGACAAATTAGGAAATACTCGAAATATTCTAAAAAATGAAATACTCCATCCAAATTATACCAATGAAAAAATTTACCTACCTGTACCGTTGCAAACGCCTGCCTTTTATAAATTGAATTAATAGATCTTTCAATATTAATAAATATTAAATTAAATTTAAAAATAAATACCCAGCAAGTGTGACATGAAAACCATATACCGTGATAAAAATTTGTTGCTATAAAAGTTTTCTGGGATAAAGACGTCACCTATTAACTTACGCAATGGAAAATCATTTTTCGACTTTTACCGTTGACCTTGACATAGCAGCATGATAGGTGGTAATTACTGATATGCAGCAATGAAAAGTTTGCATATATTTTCTAAGATGTATAGGGTGTCCCATTTGAGATAGTACACACACATAAAAGTAACACTAAATATTTATCTTCGATTATTTATGATGTTTCATTTCTTTTGTGCGTCTGTTAACTTAATTTTTCTGTATATTAATACATTTTTTTAAATTTCTCGTGGAATTTAAGGCCTGCCTTGATAAATAGAGAATGGTCTAAAACGCTCCAATTCAGTGTTATTTGATGTTTTTAAAAAGAATTGCCTTCGATTTGTTGAAGTTTAAAAATTAAGTTAGATCCAGAAGAAATGGGACACCCTATATCTCAATAATTTTTTATACCTGTTTTTATTTTGACTATATTGAACCTACGTAGTTGTTTGTGAGTTCATAAAAATAGTATCTTGGGCACGAAATTAGCATGATGGCCATTCGAATGTCTGGCTACTTTATATTTCATCGAAAAATTTGCAGGTCGTACACAGAACAAGTCATTTCCTTTGATAAACAGATCCGTGCAAAGCTCGGGATCCTTATCTATTATCATTTGATGTAAATTCCGTTTATATGTCATTGTCTCTTGGATTTTCACTTAAAGGTCACACACAATGATATATTTGAATAACTTAAATTTAGGTAAACAATATCTCGTAATATCAAAATCAAATACCTAACAAAACAGGTAAATTAAAGTCAATTTAGCAAACCTTGTACGCAATTACGTATGCTTAAAAATTTGTAATATTATTTAATGACATACAGATCGATATTTCTGCAATACGGTGATATATATGCGTAATTTCATTTCAGGAAAGATTTTGGCAACAAAACTATAGAAAAAATATACTTAATTTAAATTTTTCCTTCTCACAGCACGGTTAAGTCTAAAAAGTAGTTGTCAATAATGAACAGAACAGAGTTCTATATTTTTTAAAACTCACTATTGAAATAAAAAACTAAAAAGTATCGTAAATAAGGCGTAATACATAACACAATAGTAAGTTTCACACTTAAAATACTGCTACGGATGCTCTATTAGGCACCTTGATAATTATTTCATTATATTCTTGGTTATTTGTAAATTTATGGGTACCATCATTACTACAACATGAAAATATATAAAGCGGGCAATTTTGAATTCAGGGACAGTTTGTTAAAGAATAGAAATGTCAAACTAAGGAGTAGTTATTAGCTTTGTTCCTAGTAGAATCCAAAATAGTTTCCAACAGTCAGACGCATGCGCATATGGATATAATACTTACATAAGGTTCAAAATTCATTGTTTTGAATCTTCATTGTTTTGAATCAAATGCGATTGCGTCTGACTGTTGGAAACTGATTCTAATGCACTTGGAACAAAGCTATTGTAAACTTTTGCAAAGTTTACAGAATTTGTACCAAATGACAATCTGTTTTATTTTCATAGGTTTACTTTCGTCTGATTGTGAGTTACAATGTTTTAAATAAGTTTTCAAATAGTGAATCGAAACACTAGAACAGTGTGTCCAGCGGCGTCTTATACTAATGAAGAGTGACAAAGGCGAATGAAACTGACGCCTACGAACTGCACTTATTTGTGATATTTTAAATTGCACGTCAGCGCCGTGAAGTCGTCGCCTAAGAACAGAATATTTGCGGTATTTTAAATTGCATATCGGCGCCGTAGTTAAGTAGTTCATGTCACATGTTAAAACATTGAATCAAGGTGATAGATGGAATAAAACGCCAAACTTTGGGATTAACATTTTAGTAATAACAGTTACGCGGTACCCATGACCTCTATATGTCTCAGAAAAAAAACTTGCAAAATATGGGTCAAAACTGATTTTTTCCTATATTTTATCCAAATATATCATTTTCGTAGTAGGTATTTTGAAGCTGAACACGATGCCATTAGTAAAATTTCCCATGACCTCGATATTTCTCAGAAAATCTAATATTTGCGTGAAAACTGCCCCAAATAAGTATAGGTCAAAACAGATTTTTTTCTAAATTTTGTCCAAATACTTATATCATTTTCGTAGTAATTCTGAGAAATATCGAGGTCATGGGTAAATTTTACTAATGGTATCGTGTTCAACCCCTTAAAATACTACAAAATGATATACAGGGATATACAGGGTGTCCCACGGTGATGAGACATTAGACATATTTCAGACAACTTCGATTTTTATTTTGAAAATTTGGGCAATAGTGTTTTTGGGCATGCCCTTCTCAACTAAAATAATGGCGTCCACCTAACACCGGAAGTTGACGCCATCTTCTTTATTTTAAATGGAACACCCTGTATATTATTGCAATTTTGGATTCTACGTCACTTTTTAGGAACTTTAAAGGTTTTCTATTCTTAAAGTTAACCGTTTTTGATATATTTAATTTTTTTCAAAAAGAAAAGCACTGCCTAATTCAAAATGATGTGTATTTTATAATAATATAGTTAGTGATAAAATTTATAGGGGACATAACTAAAACTCTGAGCTTCCCTGCCATAATTTCAAAATGACTTAATTTCATACAGGGTGGTAGAAATTTAATTCCGAATTTAGTCAACTTTAAACCATCTTAACTTATTTTTTTAATGGTACACCCTGTATATTTTTGAGCAACCTGATGAACAATTTTGTTCTCTTTCGAATGATATAATGGTTCCCTATACCTATCTTTTGTGGTTTTTTAATTAGGCAGTGCTTTTTTAATTTTTTTGAAAAAAATTAAATATACCAAAAATGGTTAATTTTAAGAATAGGAAACCTTTATGAAAGTTCACCAAAAAATTGGCGTAGAATCCTAAATTGCAATAATATACAGTGTGTTCCATTTAAAATAACGAAGATGACGTCAACTTCCAGTATAACCGGATAACAGTTGAGAACAGTTTCTGAAATATGTCTAATGTCTCGTCACCGTGGGACACCCTGTATTTGGACAAAATTTAGGAAAAAATCGTTTTGACACATATTTGGGTAAGTTTTCACACAATAGTATGGAATTTCTGAGAAATTTAACCATAAAATTTTGCTAAGGGCATTGCGTTCAGCTTCTTAAAATACTACAAAAATGATGTGGGTCTCTTGGGTTTGAATTGTTTTTTATGTGCCTGTGTAATTGGCGTTATTCACAAACCATGGTTTAGGTTAGTTCAGTGTGACAAGTTAAAAATATTTCACAATTTTACAGGTATTTACCGGTATCCAACAGATAGGATCATACAGGGTCGGAAAGTCCCCATGGTTCATCGGCCGTTACGTGAGAGCGATAAAGAAAGTCATAGAAATCCGTGCGATAGAGAAAGATGGCTATAATGAAGGCGTCTAATAGTCTTCTTATTAGAAGTGGATCTTATTTGTGGAAGGGCGAAATGGGCGGTGACTATTAGACGCGTTCCTTATAGCCATCTTTCTCTATCGCACGGATTTCTATGACTTACTTTATCGCTCTCACGTAACGGCCGATGAACCATGGGGACTTTCCGACCCTGTATAAAAACATACATTATAAATAGAATTAAATGCTGGCAGAAATAAATAAAATATAGACACATTTTATTTATACTATTTGTTTAGTGAACTTTCTAAAATAAGTGAATAAAAAAATTCATAAATATTGTATTGTAGAAAAGACTGAGACAAACTTCCAAAACATTTATATTTATTATTAATTTTAGTACGACGCAACAGTTCCTGGAGGCTATGGTGGTGGTGGTGAATATGAAGTTCAAGAGGGTTTTGGTTGGACAAATGGTGTTATAATAGATCTTCTTAGTAGATATGCAGACGAATTAACAGTCGACGATCCTCCGCCTACCACCGAAGAATCTTCTACTAGTACGAATGTTCCTGGTTCCTCTTCTAGTCTTAGTTCAATTACGACAGCATTGATAGCATTACTTGTATCATTGACAGCTGGTTTTATAGGGTGAGGTGAGAATAAGACTAGAAATTTGTTAAACATATTGTTCTAATTGTAATTTTTTCTTTGTTTCAGATGTTTATTACTGCAATATAAACACTAGCATGTGTGTGATATTATAACTTACCAAAGTTCTAACGAAAAAACATATCTGAATTTTACACCTTCGTAACTCAGGGCGAAATTCGATTTTATATTTTTTTAAACTTTTATTCCTGTTCCTTAATGTATATAGAGCTATTAAATATTTTTGTAATTGAAATCATACATAGTATTAATGCAAATGTGATGTTATAGTATATTACTTTGGTGCTATGACCTGCATCAATAATAGGTACCTGCTAGTGAGCATGTGTGCTTACAGTGCATGCTTTAATTTTTTTATATCTAATAATAACGTAATCATAATAGTTTATAATGTAGTTATAATAGCAATAAACAAATAAAAAAATTAATATATAGCAATGTTTATCCTTAATTTGTGCAAGTTAGCTTAAATATGATGAAATTTAAAAATTATGTTTGCGATTTTTAAGTTTGTGCGTTTATATTCTCAGACAGTAACAATAACAATATGCCTTATTTACCTTTACTAACCATCTGACTAAAACCTTGAAGTAATTTCTGTATATAAATAATATAAAAGAATATCTGTATATATAAATGCTTAAACCAGCGGTCGCCAATGTTTTAATACCTACCCCCTAATTTTGTATCTTTGTTGATGGCAAAATGTAAAAGGGGATTTAGTTTGTAAACATGTATACTTATATAGTTGTTTTCCTATTTACACTTCGTGTTTGCTTATTTATACATACTGTTACTTTTGTTTTGTTTATTCATAGTAGTATGCAGTACCTGCATAAATGTGGCAGTACAGTTGAGATCAAATTTGTAGCTCTGCAAAATTTAATTCACTCACTATTGGGCGATAGAGGCTAAGTTCACGACCACTGGTTTAAACGAGCTTAATATTTAAAAAGTATTCTCAAGCTTTCTAAATAAATACTTAATAATTATTTGCCAAAAGCAAATTATATATTAGCTATGAAATACTTAACAATGACAAAAAGATAAGAACTAGTAGTATATTGTTTTGTGTGTTTCTTAATGTAATATTTTTTATACAGAATTATAATCTACAAGAGACGCAGTCAAAGGCAGTTATTGTTGAATGATAGGAAGAGACCTTACACAGCACGGTATACGGAACTTAGAAACATATCCAAGCATGGAAAAAATGCTAGGTAAGTGTCCCTATTCAAGCAGTACACTTATACCTCGTTGAAGATTATGTTGAAAGGATTTCCATTATAAGCAAACTCGATTTTGTGCCATATATCTTCTATTCAATTTGTGTTTGTGTCCTATTTTCAAAATAAAGATAATCATTTGTGTTTTTAAAGAAAGTGGTACATACTTGCAGTGTAGCATTTGACGAGAGCGCAGAGACAATACTAAATTACAGCATTATAGTATAAATTGTAAATAAGACGTAAATAAGACATAGTTAATTATTAAATTATTATATTTTTTAGCATTGTGTAGAAGTTTTATTAGAATATCTGCATGTAAGAACTTTTGAACTGTTTATCTATTTTCAAAATAATGTTATAATCTCCAGGTATATTTTTTATAATAATTTGGCAAAATTCAGTAGATGTGAAATTAGTGAAAACGATTATTGATTGATTGATAGTTTTTTTTTTGTTTAATAACAAAATTTTTTATCTTTACATTATATTTAGCAAAAATTGAAGAGAAATTTGCCAAGCTATACATAAAATGTTTCGTCTTTAACAAGTGCCTGTAATATGCAGATAGATTGTAAATAATTAGAACAATTTAATATTTATTAATTATTTATGAATTAATTTATTCATTTTTTAGTAGTATTTTTTTTAAATTAAAAGAATCTCAAATACATTGTGTTTTAACAATTTCTCTTGTATAAACTTTAGTAAATGTATCATAGATAATTCAATTGTGATATTTAAGGTGTACACACGTTGTTACATTTTTTTTTTGTTCTTGTCTTAATCATGTTTGTATTTGGGCCATTAAAAATATATTTATATTAAACCGTTTCTGTTGTGTAACTTAATTTAATGGAAATATTTGCTTCAAAATGATACTCCCGAAACACTTAGTTTTAATAGCAACATTTTAACCTAATCTGAGATAAAATTGTAGCTATTACTCATGTAAATAGCGGGGACTCTAAAAATGCCAGTATTTCAAGGTGGTTAAATTCATAACTGTAACAAAATATGCGTCAAGGATAATTTTCCGCATCTACTTTCTCCCTAATTAAACATTTTGTACCCCTAAAAAATAGTAATATAAACTGATTACGTCTATAAAAAGACAGTGCTCTTCAGTTTCGGCCCCCGGCAATACACATTGTATTGGCAGGTCACTAAGGTTCAGAATATTTTGTAAAAATTGTACGAGTTAAAGTTGTCACGATAGTTTTTTAATAGATTACCTCTATATAAGTATTTACATCATAATTGTAAATTTTATGTTTTAAAATTACCTTAAAATTAAGTTAGTGTGTGACTAACAATTTAATCAAAAAGGGTGACTACAAAGAACGAATGGAGGAGCGAGTTGGTATGGCAAGCCGACCCAGCCCACTCGGTAATTACTAAAAACCGACCCTACAGCAACCCATAATAGAATACTAAGTGCCTTGTATTACCGGTGAACCACGTTTTAACATCTCTTGTTGACATGTAGCAATGAATCGGGCGGTAAATTTTAATTTCACAAGTAATATTTAGATTAACACGTTGACTGCGATACATACCTCTGGGGGTATGTACTCATTATAAAAAATATGCGAATCTCAATAACCACATTTTTACTGTATCTTGTGGAAGTTGCAGAATCTGTAGTTTTTGGCCGATTTCAAAGAACCAAATAGCTTTTGAATGAGGCTTCCAATTTTTACATATTAGCCTTGCTGTCAATATGCATGTCCCGGGGGATATGTATCGCATAGAAGTAATATAATATAACTAATATGCGGCACATATCTCCTGGGATATGTATTTATTCGAACCACCGAAGGGGGTGTTGTTGTTGCACGGAGGTTATGTTCGATTCTTTATATGAAGTGCTCCTTATTTCTAGTTTATTGTGTCCAGTTATCAAAAAAAAAGTCATACAAAATAATACTCAAACCAGAAATAATGATTTTTCTATTTTTTTCTTTTCAAAATTCTGCGAATGAAAACGTTAGTATCCTAGGATATATAGTTACAGATACATGCAAGTTTATAGCAATAATTGTGTTATTTTTAATTTTATAGAGGGTCAAATGTAAAAAAATTACATATCCCCAGGGATATGTACCGCACAGAAAAAGTTTTGTTACATATCCCCGAAGATATGTATCGCAGTCACGGACAAAGTACATTGAGATTATCTCACAGTCAACGTGTTAAGAGATTTGACTTGGCTTTGAGGTAATGGTCCACGCTCTGATTTATTTGGGCTCTTGCGCTAGGCTTTATTTATGAGTTTGTAAAATACTGTTGGATTTAAAAATGTTTGTATATAAATCACATTTGCAGTATGTTTTAGGATTGTGCACTGTCTGAATATCACTATTTTTGTACGCACTGGGTTAAAGTACTAAAGTCTGATTATTATTGATCCTAAAGTCATTTGATAATCCTGGAATGTTGTTTTCGTCATTTTTTTCGTAAGGATGGTGAAAATTTTGACGCCTTTTGCATTGTTGGCGGCCTTGGGTAGATGCGGAACATATGTCGTCATCGTTGATGTAATAAAGGACCTTTGGAGCCAATCATCTCATCCTAACGGCTTGCCAGGAAAATTTTGGAAAGTGTGGCCACTTTGCTGACTTCTTCCCGAGCGATTGGAAGTGTATGTATAGCGCTGTGTGGCATGCGCGTCAATATTATTTAATGCATCTGAGGCGTGTTGGCGCGTTTGCTTTCTCATGGTTTGGCGGTAGAATTTTCGAAAGTGACGTCTGATACTCGAAATGGCTCGACGACAATTGCGACGTCTACGTGAACTCGTCGGGAAGATTTTGGAAAGATCAGCGAAAAAGTGATTTGCCGCCCTACGTCCTTGACATTGCGTCTTAGCCGTCTGCGATTATTTGTCTATGGTATCCTACTATTTAACGGGAACTTGAATCAATTTCGGATATACAGATATATTGCTATTTGAAATATGCACTTAAGGGCGTCGTAGATCATTTAATACAATCTACCACAGTGTCAGCGGCGAATTACAAAATAGAATGGGATTTGCTTTATGGACTAGGAAAATAAAACGACTGGTGAATTATTAGTTATCACTCCGATTTGATCTAACTAATTTCGATTCGTTATCGAATATTAAAGAACCAAATCTTTTGGGTTGGTTTTATCTACTTTAAATATATGTCCAAGGTATGGACATATACCTAACATCGTGTTCAATGATTGAAACTAACATTTAGAAGAAGAAGAAAATGTTAAAATAGCCCTTTTCTTTTACTCATCATAACTTCGGAATCATAACTTGTTACGATCCGATGGAAACCAATCAGATTTCTAGATTTCGGATCGTAACGCGTTATGATTCCGAAATCATGAGCAAAAGAAAATAGCAAATGTAATGTACTGTATCTAACAAACAATTATAACCTTCAATATCTGACAATTGACCGTAACTTTTACATGGCAGAACTTCAATTATATACAATTTGTTTAAATCATAATAATAAATAAAGATGATGCAGTTAATTTACACACACACAATAATAAATTATATAATTCGGTACAGTTTTATACTCGGCTATATATTATAATAATAACAGTTTGTCTCCAAAAATGTATACACAGGTAGGGATAAAAGTTAGAACAGTATTATCATCTAAATACTTGGTAATACGTTGTTTGTATATAGATTGAAGTACTAACCTACAGAGTATAATCAGTAGACATGAGAAACTTTGTGGTGACAGTCATTTAAATAAACAGTAGTTAATCTGTATTATGTCTGTAAGTGGCAATGCTACCGATAGCCAAATGTGTCATACAATTGACTAAGCAAAACACACTAGCACACACAAAGGACAATGAAATGCACGGCCAACGTCCCTCAGCAAAAATCCTGGATTGTTCACCGGCACGCCAGGCCAACAGGGCAGGCAAAAGGGTGCCGCTATATATGTATTGAATAAATTGATCGATACGAAGCTTCATATCAGAGGCAGACATGTACATGTTATTGTAAATTGATGTGGATAGCCGAATTACTAAAATATGAAGTAGTTGATGCTTTGCCACCATTAGTAAAAATAGCATTGATTAAAAACTTCGACTATTTTAGATATGCGCCCGTGACCTCGGTAAATGTTGAACATTTTTGAAATGGGTATTTACTGATCTCAGGAGACGATTAACCGTGAAACACTTACGAAAACTGTTAATTATTTTCTACAATCGCTTTCCTTACGAGCAAAAAATTACTAATTTGTTAACTTTTGCTGGTACTTGTTAATTCATACTATACTTACACTATGTAAAATATTTGTCGAGATAGTATTCCAAAATTACCCCTGCACCACTTTCTTGGAATTAACCCCATTCTACACCCGAGGTAGAAAGACATTGCATACTGGGTTTTGCAATTATGAGGGCGTGTTTCTTCGTAAGTGTATTATCCCGTGTATTCTCAGTAATTTCTTATTAAAATAAATCAATAGAGGTGAAAAATAAAAGAGGAATTTAATTCCCAGTCGAAGAGTATCGTGTTTATATTTTAATATTCTGAAAATGACTCGGAAAATTTCCAGGGACACTCTGCTGCGGTAAGTTGTTACAGTAGTTCCGATAACAGAACTTTATTAGCTTTTCTTGGAATTCTATTTGAACAACGGACATTATTTATTTTAATGTAAGTTCCATGTGAAGCATTTGTGTAGAAAAATCTACTCTGCCCCTTTTTGTTTCTCTGCCATAATTATTAATTTTAAAACGTATTGATAGTTTTTATTTATTATACAAAATAATAGAATATAAAAAACAATATACAGGGTGTTTTAGACCACTCGTCCACCCATTCTGCAATCTAGGGTATCTAATAAAATGAAAAATTCAATACCTCCTAATAGTGAATGAACTATATTGGAACGATTGGAGGTATTTTCAACTTTCGGCTCCCACCAGAAGTAGCCTATTCAGACCAGAAATCAGTTTTTTTAATGGAATTGCATACTTTTTTTTATTGATCTCGATTCTATGCCGAAAACTAATAAATTTTTATAAGAAATTTTTTTTTAAATTGTTTTCCACCCCAAAATGCCTTCCGAAATGTAAGTGTTCCCCTAAGAAGTGACACAATGAAATGAAGCGCAGTACTGTACTGCCAAGTAACCTAAATATGTATATTAACGAGGTAAAAATTTGTTAAATCAATAGATTTCAACTTTATGTTACACTTATTTTATACTTTGTGGTTTAACTGCGTAACTTCGACTTTGGGAGTTGCACTTTCAGATAGTCGAAAGCCATTAATTTAAAAAAATTTTACAGTGTAAATAAGGAGACGAGTCTTACCACGAAGATTTGAGTAGTCTCGGAAGTGGGAAAAGTCTTAATGAAACACAATGTGTAGGGTCTATGGTGCAAAACGATCTTTTCTCTTTTCTAATTTCTTTCCAATGGTATTAGCAGCTGATACGAATAATGATGTTGAATGTTTAGAGCTAAATACTATAACTGATGAACCGTATTGTTTTAGTAACTAATTGTTTATAGCAATTAGCGAAGGATAACGAAAAAACAAACCCATAAATAAGTAAGGTCATTAGGAAGCATTTGTATACGACCAACGTGTTAACAGGAACGGAACCCATTGAAGATTTTTTAAAATTGCAACAAAATCTAACATACATTTTTATTACGAAAATGGCATTAAATAAGACAAATGTTATAAACATTTGATGGTCACCTTGACTAATACAAAGGTCTACCGTAGAGATCATTACAAGGTCAACTTAGATTTTTAGATACTTTATTATAAATATATTTCTGACACCGGAAATGAATAGAGCAGAAGATTTTACATTCAGATGTCTTTATGTTATGGGTCAAATTGACCCTAATGGGCCATCAGCCATCAACCATTCATCATCCATCAGACGTCCGTCAGCCGTCATCCAGCAACTATCCATCAGCCATGAGCCATCAGACATCAGCCATCATTCACCAGTCGATCATCCATCAATCATTCATGTACATAGTTAAATTAATTTTAATTTTTTTTTTTAGGTTTTTTATCTTGGCGTCGGATAACGGCTCAACATCACGACAGTGGTGTGCTGTGTAGGAAGAAATGGAAGAAAAAAATCTTGGTACTTGTCGAGCTATGTGGCAGATATCGTCTCGACACTGTGGTGGTAATATAACATACCCAGTGCCTGAGATTGTATTTAACTCGTAGCTCTTGCATCAAAGCCATAAAGGGACAATGAGTAATAGAAGACCCTGTTTCATTTGATTCGGTAGATTTCTGTAATAAATTAGTTCTTTCAATTAAGTTTTTTAATTAATTCCTGAATTTTATTTAAAATGGAAATATTGCTAAACAATTTAACAAATTCAAGTTCACGTTCCAATTCATAAAACCAAATTTCGTTTGGAAAGAGAGGGAATTTTTTGTGGAGTTTCTTGTTAAAAAAATTTCTCTATGGTCCAGGCTGGACCGAGAGGGGAAGTACATCGACAAAAAAATTAACAAATATTCCCCTACTTTTCTTTAAATTTTATTCAAGTTTGTAGTTTCTAATTTTTTGTTAAATTAAAAAAGCATTTCCATAAATATTGATGGACTATAGACCCTAAAAATTGTCAAAAAATAAATTCGCCGTTTAAGAAGTATTTGGCGCTGCTGAACACGCAGGGATGGTTAGTTTCCGTCGACGTGTCGTAGTTCATGAAAAAATCTGAAAATCTCATAAACCCTTAGGGCTAGAAAGAAACTGATTTCATCCCGTAATTCCGCAGTCTCTCTAGTGCCTGTGGGATTTTTTTCAGATTATTCTGATCCCCAAAACATTTCTCTTAAAATCGATGAAAATTATCAAAAAATAAATTTGCCATTTAAAGGGCTTATTGTATGTATTTGAGGACACTGGACGCGTGGGGATGGTTATTTTTCGTTTGCGTGCCATAGTTCAAGAAAAAAATTTAAAATCTCGGAAACCCTTAGAGCTAGATAGAAACTGATTTCACCCTGTGATGCCTCAGGCTCTCTAGTGTCTTAGGGATTTTTTTCAGTCTATTCTGAGCCCCAAAGCATTTCTCTAAAAATCGATGGACTTATAGCCCATGAAAATTATCAAAAAATAAATTTGCCATTTAAAGGGCTTATTGTGTGTATTTGAGGCCACTGAACACGTAGAGATGGACATGAAATTTGTTAAGAGGAAATTTGCTATTTAAGTCCTATTGTAAACGTTTGTAGGTTCTGAACATGGTGGACCATATCATAGTATTTTGATCATAGTTTATTTTCAAGTGATGCCTATTTAACTTACCTCCGTTCTATACTTTTTATATGTATGTAAAGAATTCTTACAAGACGTGATGATCTCTTTACATTTACAACATACTAAAATATGGTGGAGGATGTGAATTGATTAATGACCATTAAAGAGTACCATTTATTTGTGTAAATAATAATCATTACATAAGGAATGCTATAATTCGTATTACAATTACAAGTATTATGTAGAGATACGTTTTATCAGTGTCGAAGTCATTAACCGACTACACATTTACGTTAAATCTCCACACTACATCTGTAATTATAAATATATAAGGGACAACATGTACCAAACAGTTACTGATATTTAAATAATGCTCTGATAGTAGTCAACATTTAAAATATGAACATTCCAGTAAGAATTTTCAAAAAGTGGCTATACTAACATTAACAAAATGTCTGCCCAGTCTCTAGAAATCCCTAAGTAACTTACAAAACTGTCATAATTATTTGTATATAAAATTATTGGTAATTATGTATAGTGAAAAACATAAGTGAAAAACGTGTTCAGGCAAACACATCTTTTGAGCAGATTTAGCTTTTAATTTAACAAATATATATTTATTATGTACAACTCTTGCTTATTGCAAATCGACTTAAGTTCTTTTCATTAGCGGCAAAATGCCTTTTTCGCTTTTATCAAGTAAATTTCATAAAACACCACTTCAAATAAATAACATTAACACATTGACTACAATCTTCATGTAAAAATGGACAATTATTTTATATGTGAGCCTTATACGAGTACTTGCTAATGCTATACATATTATTCGTTGAAAATTTTAGTACTGACATTGTGTAGGCCTTTCTAAGCAGAAATAGAACGAAATAAAAATTATTTTACTAGCATGATGTAAAAGTTAAGTTGTGTACGTTTTACGGGTAAGCATCTAAGTTGTAGTCAACTTGTTAAATATTTCAATACATACTGATCGGTTTTTTCATAATTTTTGAAGCAGACAATTCAGAATACACTGGTGGAACTTGTCATGCAAAAATATTATACTTACAAACAAGCCCTATATGGGTATTAAATCAAGATCAATGAATGATATACTGTTACTGTATATGGGCATAAAAGATCTAAAATACGTTAATACAAAGCTGTTGTCTTTTATAATTTTTGGTGTGTCATGTTATTAACTGGGAACTTTTTATTTTATACCCATTGTCAGTGATTGTTCCAAATTTTGATACGCTATATATCTTATCCAGTTTAAACACGATACAGTTTACATACGTTCATTTTTGTTAAATAGCAAGATAAATCTAAAATTTACAAGGTTCAACATCATCTCAAAAAACAAGAGAATATGAGATGTACGCATAATTAGCAATTCTCGAAATGCGAAGAATGCTTACACTTCACATTCTTTAGTGGTTTTATTTACAAAATATTTTAGTAGAAAAAGTAGTACTTACCTTTAATAAAATATATTAATATTTAAAAATATGGTACTAGCCAATTTTTAAATCGAACTCGGTTATTTATATAAATAACACCACTTATCCAGTAGTTACAATATATTAAATTTGTAAATCTACCTAAATATTACTTTTTCCAGACATATATAGATATTAAACCCTAACATATATTAACATAAAAAAACCATTGTTTCAACACTTAACAAAAATTTGAGAATGTCCACAAGGTAGGCAATAATAACCGTTAAATTATATCCTTTACAAACAACATGAACAATAAACTATAAAATCAGAAAATGAAAATAGGAATAATACAAGAACTTTTCAGTTAAAAAAGGTTAGCTCATGGAAAGCTGACCAAGGGCCAGTAATTTTTCCACAGCTGCATTTATGTCACCGTAAGTGGCGATCAGTGCTTGCAAGTTGGCCTCCCTATTCACAAATCCCATTGCGGCAAGTTGTTCCAATTGAGCCTGATAACGCTGCTCTGGAGGTATGGCATTGGCATTTTCTTGATTACTAGCCACACCGGCAACCATACGAGCCATAAACTAGAAAAAAAACAAAAATGTCACATTTGGAACTTATTAATTTGTTTTTCTAGGGCCTAAAGTTTGCTCTTTCAGTTCCTGTGTAGTAATTACGATATTGACATTATTGAGCTAATTATGAAGACTTCTCTCATATGGTACAACATATATCAAATCTAACAAATTTCAATGACACTATAGAAACCATTTACTAATTTATTTTGTTTTTATTACTTAGAACTAGAGACCAACCGATTAATCGGCTTCAGCCACATTCGGCCATTATTTAAGCCTTCGTCTAAAAATCGGCTTCGGCCAAAGTTAAGCCGAACTTTTCGCCAAAGCCCGTTGACGTCGCGTGTCGATCGTCGCATCGACATGCTTTTCATTTTTCTATATCTTTTTTAGAATACCCGTTACCCCTTGTTTTATGTATATTATTAGAATTTATTTTATTTGCTATTGTTTATTATTGTGGTAAATGAAAATTATTTATCTTTCGCTCCCTTAGTAATTTAATGTATGTCTTTGTATTTGTACGTTATTCATGTTTTTATTAGAATCCCATTTTGTTCCTTGTAAATACATGTACAAGGTGTCCCGGTACTTGATACAAAAAATTCGAGTACAGATAGATGAGGTCAAAATAATATCATTTCTTTGTATAAATTTTTTCCACACGGGCTTTCGTTAACAAGTTATGGGCCCTCAAAGTTGAAAATTAAAAATTTTTTATTTACAGGCTCTAATCCAGGGGTCGGCAAGTAATTTGAGGTGGGGTCCAGATACTTTTGAAAACTTTTAACGACGTCCAGAAAAAAATCATATTTCTTACTAATTTTTTAATTTTAATTTGCACTCACATTTAATCTGCTTTCTAACCATTAAGAACTCAAATCAGTCACACAATTGTAAAAGAACTAGAAAAAATGATAAGGGTGGCACTCAAATGTAAAAAATAAAAATATTTTTTAAATAATTTATTTGAGCAATTTTTACTTTCAAAAAATTTTTGGCGGTCCAGTATTTTACCTTCCGCGGTCCGGACCTGAACCGCGGTCCGCCAGTTGCCGACCGCTGCGCTAAACTATTAACTACAGCATGATGCAAATTTGGTGATCGATAACACATGCATACAGCTTGTTTTTGATGTAGTAAGTGAAACTTCATTATGCCCAGAACGCCAGGGACGGACTATGCCCAATGGTTACAATCCAGAATTTTTGCATAGATGACAATCGCAATACATCTGTGTCAAAAATAAGTTCCCTGAAGAATATGCCAACGATAATACCTCTTGGTTCAATTCGGTAAAATTAACAGTTTACGAAATATTTGTGATTTTATGTCACAGTGCACTCGAGCGGCGCCTCCACCATTTTTTGTTTTTAATTTTTAATTGCACTTAATTACTAGAGATGTTGAAAAAGTATCAATTCGTTACTCGATTGGATCCGAAGTAACGATTATTCGTTTGAAAAAGTATTCGTTACTTTTGCTTATTTGATTACTTCTTGGATATAGGCAATACAGAGTACTTTATCTAATGGAATATGGATACTTACTTATGCAATGCTCACTTGACACTTATTCATGTTATATCGACACGAAACGAGTACTTGTATTTTGTATTGTTACGTTACATTCAATTTTATTTGTCTTGTGTACCATATATTTTTATACCTACTTATATTAGAAAAAATCTTTCCTATAAAAGACTAAAAATATGCATAATCTAAAAAATATGTACTTTCTATTTTTGTTTATTTTAAAACTGATTGTTTATTTTCAAAATATGTATATATTTATATTCGTAATCTGATCGTTGCATTATAATAATTTTTTCTTATCAAATAAACCTTAATATTTCAGATATAAACACTGCATTTCTTTTTTAAGAGAAATTGAGGTTAGATTATATTCATAATATGATGCGGTTATTGCGGTTTGATATTTACTCGTCTATAACTTACAGTACTCTATATCAATTAGGTAATTACTGATTACTATTCTATTTAGAATATTTTGAAGCCACTACACATAGTAATCAAAGTAACGAATATAAAGTACCGATTACTTAAACCGAAAGTAATCGGTACTCATGACTACTCAAAAGTAATAATATTTAACATCTCTATTAATTACTATGTTTTTAAAACAAGAGTCTAGAAAATCTTACTGTGTGCTAATGTAATTTTCACTAACAAAATTTGACAAACACACTATACACATAAAAATAAGTTAAAAAATAATTTAAAACAAAGAGAACTGTCAACATCCATTTTCAATATGGGCACCTTCCACCTCCAGACACTGGAGGTGGAAGGTGGAATTCTTTAAAATTATTTTTTTAACTTTAACTTATTCTTGTTTTGTTTTTCTATTTTGTGTTAAGTGTAAAGTGTATTTGTCAAATTTTGTTGGTGAAAATTACATTAGTACCACAGTAAGATTGCCTAGGCTCTTATTTTAAAAATATGTATGGTTTTAACTAGTAATGTCCAATTAAAAATTAAAAAAAAAAAAATGGCGGAGGCGCCGCTCGATGTGCACTGTGACATAAAATCACAAATATTTCCGAAACTGTTAATTTTACCGAGTTGAACCAAGAGGGTATTATCGTTGGCAAATTCTTCAGGGAACTTATTTTTGATACGGCAGATTGCGCTCGTCATATATGCATGTGTTATGGATCACCAAACTTGCATCATGCTGAAATTAATAGTTTAGAGACAGTAAATAAAAATAAGTTTTTAATTTTCAACTTTGCGGGCCCGTAACTTGTTAACGAAGGCCCGTATGTAAAAAAATTATATGAAAAACTGATATTATTTTGACCTCATCTGTACTCGAATTTTTTGTATGAAGTACCGGAACACCCTGTATAGCTGTGTGTGTCCTGAAATAAATGTCTTAAAAATCAATACCTCGTTTAAATACTCTAGTAGCATACACTTGGCAAGAACGCTACAATTATATATATTATATTTCCAAAACATTATGCATTTATTTTTGCCCTACTTTTATGTTATCTTATCATATTTTTGTTTTTAATGAAAATTTTCAAGTTAATAAAAATATCTTCGGCTTCGACCGAAGGTGACCCATAACCGAAGTTCGGCTTTGGCCAAAAAAATCACATTCGGTCAGTCTCTACTTAGAACATTCAAGTAGTAAGCGAGGTAAAAAGTTAAAATATAGGTTAGTAACACTGAGATCTCGAAAAAAGTTCCATAAAGACCTGCATAATATTAATTTCCATATTCAACCGATAGATACGAACACAAGTTTGAAACTTGTTTTAGTCCCTCCTGTAGAAAAAAAAGGAAAAGATGATCTTGAGTGACTTGCATCATATAAGCCAGCAGTTCTTAACCTATTGTTTACCGTGGACCTCCTTTCAATATTTTTTGTTGTTGCGGACCCCCAGTTGCTTAGATATAAATCCCAATTTAAATGGGTTTGAAATAGTAATTCTAAATTGCACACCAAATGTAAATTTTGGAAAGATAAACAGTAAGTTAACTCTGACATAAGAGAGCATTTTCTTAATTGGTTATTATTAGCGATTAAATGTTCCTAAAAAGTTCGTGGACCCCTTGGGAGATGGCGTACCCCCAAAGGTCTGCGGATCACAGGTTAAGAACTACTGCCATAAGCATGTTTCACTACCCATTGTAAATGAATGCAACAGTTTAAGTGTTTTGACTGATGCAAATTTATTGGTTGCTTCTCACACTGATTTGATTTAAAAAACATCTGGGATACCGTGGTATATTTTTTATTTCAGTCTATATAAAGCAAACGTGCTAAATTTAAAATAGTAGAGTTGTTGGTTTTATCGTCATCTGCTTAGGGTGATTCACAACTTATCCAAAAAAAATTGGGAATAGATGCGGTGTGAGAAATGGGAGTTAATATCGTAAAAAAAAATTTGTAAAATCCTTATACTTTTCGAGAAAAAAATTATTGAAGTTGTAGTACGTACATTCAACCATTACATAACTGGACAACTGTAGTCTGTAGCGTCATTCACAATACGCACGAAGAGCCACTTGGCCTCAGCAACTCCGAATACTGAAATCCCATTTTACAATCGTCGTCGTTGCAATACTGTTTACTGTGGTTGTGTTTACACGTCGGTGGATAAAATTCTGAACAGTTGTTGTAACATCAGGTATTTCAAATTATTTTATTATTTAAAAACCATAACGGCAAAAGCAGTTGAATTTGCTGATATAAAATAGGTGCTATAAAATTCTATTTATTTTTTTCCTTGCGAAAGTTTTTGTCCGTTTTTATCACACTTTGCCGCCATGCCGGTCGCATTGTGCTAAGTCAGGTTTTACAGTGGACCAGTTTCCAGTGCCGAGCAGAAGTGTATTTTTAAATCATTTTCGAACTGCTCTTTTTAATTTTTTCTTTACAAAATTGTATTTGTAAGAGTCCCCTGTACGTCCAAAAATTTTTTTTTGGATAAGTTCTGAATCACCCAGAATATAGGTCCTGCTTTTCATCTCTGGATTGTTGTAGGATACGTTTGTATAAAATTTGGTACTACTGCTTCCAGAGGAGAGCATGTTACACATTATTTTGAAAATATTAAACTATTATTATAATTGAATAGTCGAAGGTAAATTCACTGTACCTGTTTTTTCATAAAATAATCTAAATTAATTTATTTACTACAGAAATAAAATGTTCTTCGGTGAAAATATTCAGGCTAGAACTAGGCGTATTCCACCTCCTCCTTTCTTAACTGTTTTGGGTCTTTTCTATACAATTCTTTATGTCTTGAAATGAAATCTATACATAATTTAGGTATTTTTAAAAGTAAAAACCTATTTTACTATCCATAATTAAGGAAATATCACTGCTAGTTGCAATATTTAGTTATATTGTTATTAAGTTATGTAACATGTAACTCTATTCGTATAAATAATTTCAAGTTGTGCATGAGCAGCTTTGACCGACCCTATTTATTAAAATCATTATTTTAATTTTTGAAATTTAAAAAAAAAATGCAAATTTTAAATTTGCAAAAATAAATTTTTGCAAATTTATTTTGAAGTTCTTTCATTGTGAAATTTCTCTACGTGAGCAGAAAAATCAGTCAGTAAACGAGAGCCTACTGTGATGGAAATATAGAATTTACAAAATAGGAACCGACTGAAATTTTCAATGTAGTTTTCAAACTGGCTTACCTCTGAAAATGGATCGTTTGGTCGTCCAGAAGGTGCAGTTGTGGTAGTGGTAGTATTAGTTCCACTAGCATGACCAGCAGTAATGGGTGTACTGGCTGTTGTACTTGAAACCGTTGTTGTAGACGCAGTGGTTGTAGTTGTAGCACCTGGTATTATAGTATTTATCAGATTCGGAGCTGTCTGTCTCAAAGTCTCCATGCCTTGATGAATTTGCATAATCGCCTGCATTGCTTGTGGATTTGTCATCAAATTAGTCATCTCAGGATTTTGCATGTACTGAATAGCTTGTGGCAACATGTTGCGAATTTGTTCTGAATTATTGGAAAGTAATGGATTATCTTGCAAAAATGTATTTATCATGCTTGGATCAGCCGCTAGTGACTCCATCATAGACTGCATATGGGGTGAGGAGAGTATGTTCTGCATCAAAGACGGATTGTCAGTCATTTCTTGCAGAAAAGAAGGTAAACCTTGAGTGGTGGTATTAGTAGTCGTTGTATTTGTATTAGTAGTCTGAGTTACACCTGACCAGGGATTGGGTAGGGGCTCGGTGTTTTCCCTACCTTGCTGAGGGTTATTAACTGAAGTGTTGTCTACTAAACCTGCAAATGGATTACGGCTAAACTGCTCTGCGGTAGCAGACAACATTGGCTCTTGAATATCACGATACATTCTCTGCAATGCGTTATAACCTCCAGGAATACTTTCTAAATTACTTATTGCTCTATCATGACTTCTCATTAATTCTTGCAACATAGATGGATTACGAACTAATTCCATTGTTTGACGTAATAATTCTGGATTGTTAAGCATGTGATTGATTTCGGGATTTCTTTCCATCAATTCCTGCATTTGTGGATTTCTAGTAATAAGAGCTCGCATATTTTCAGGATCATTCATCAACCGTTGAACTAAAGGATTATCTAACATACTTCTAAGCATATCTGGGTTAGAAAGTATATCTTGCTGTATCCTATTTTCAAGATCCATAAAATTTGGGGCTCCCAAACCTAATTGCTCTAAACCTGTTAATCCTCCTAAGCCTGGTAAAGTTCTACTGTACTCCGCTGAAAAAATAAAAAGAACTGTTTTCATCTCTAATTTTTGTAAGAAAATTTAGCAGAACATAAATAATAATACTTTTGCAGAAGAAACAAGCAGTATAAATCATAGGTACATAATGTGTGAAATCGTGCCATTTAATTATTGTATGTATTCATTTTAATTAACAACTAAGGTAAAATGTAAAAATCATTAACTCTTGATTTACAGGTTTTAAAATATATTATTTTTTTAGTCATATTTCTGAAGTTCAAATTTCAATTATTCTTAATTATTAATTAATTTGTATATCTTAATATGTTCACTGCCAGTGGTTGTTTATAAGCGCCCACGTGACTTATACACGAGTGCCACAGACACTTTAGAGCTTTGAAAAACCTGTCAGGATATGGTAGAAATTATGCTAAAATAATAGGACACTTCTAAGCATCCAGTGGTACCATGGTGTTATCAGTAGACTGTAGTGTCACAGGTGTTTTTAAGTGTTTTTTTCAAGTGATGCTATTCAAGAAACAAAATTAAATTTGCACTCAATTTTAAATAATTACAGAACTCTAGCGTGTTAGTAAAAAGTTCAATATTTAAAAAAAACCAACAAATATTTTAAAAACATAAAACATACATAAAATGAATTCAATGTTTGCAAAATTTAAATCTATGTTTATTAAATGTCAAACCATTAAGTGCTCAAAGCAGTTTGATAATCTGAAATTTGGTAATCTAAATTCCGCTGTTATTCAGACCGATTTTTTTCTTATGCATATATATATTTTTTTTTAAACATAAAACACACCACAGAAATGAGACAACCCCCAAATCCAAAAGCCAAAGGTTTGTGCAGAAGGGGGCTACACTTGAAAAAACGCGGACAAACACCCATTATCCATCGACATTGCCAGTGCCGACACCGGGGATCGAACCCGGACCAGAGTAGGAAGCCTAGCCGAGAAATGCTTGCCACCGCACTCTCGACCGACTGCGCTACCGTGGCGATAATGGTTGTTGATCACACAAAGAGGTGTAGATACCAAAAGTGCAATTTAATTAATTTCTCAGGAAAATAATATAAAGAAAAATCATTACAAGCAACTTCTTTGTGATATGTATGCTGAATATTGTAGTACTAATTATGTAAAAATATAAGTAAATGCTTTCATTACCCTAAGAGCTTAATTCAAAAACAGACGATTTTCTTTTTTGTCGCTTACACCCAGATCAACGACGACACGTACTGCCGTTTTTTGGTTCCTCTTTAGTAATAATAAATTTTTGTTTCATGTGAATAAATGCAAAAGAGATTAGTTTTGATTTAACAAAGTATTTGAATAACTAAACTATTCAATTATGCAAATTATTCCAATAATTTAACAATTCGAATTGATAAATATTCGATATGAATATGACAATTATGCATAATCCGTTTGTGCCTCAACTTGTATTGGCATGAATTGATGGCATGTCCTCATTTTTTATAAGTAAATACCATCAGGATCAGTCTCATGATACTTTGATATAGAAATGTTTCCTGTATTATCCATTTTTTAAATAATATGTCTTTGTTGTGTCAGATTTTCAGCATTTTATGATATACCATAAATCGGAAAATAAATGGTGTTTTCTTCAATGAACTATTATACTTTTATGGTACTTTTTAAAATGGGGGTGCAAACGGTGATAACAGGGCAAAAAAATTTGCAGTAGACAAAACACACAGAGTGTTGAGAGCTTATTCCTCTCATGACAACATCACAAAAAGTATAAAATATTGTGAAAAAATCCTTCATGTCTGGATTTTTGCTATGTTGGGGACATAAGGGAAGATTTTTTTATACAAATCTGGAACCGTCTTCCACTTCCAAACAGCTTTATTTAAAACTTGCGGGGGGGGGGGGGGGGAACAGGGGGGGGGGTACGTGTAGAACAGGCCTAAGTTGAGCGTCATACCCAGGAATCATTTCAGCATCAGAAAATCAGGGAATATTTCTGGTATTGCTTTCTAGTTAAGTTGCCCTTTATTCGGTAATACAAACTTCATTATTCCGAATGTCAGCATTCTTTGAAATACATAGTTTTTTCGCAGAAAGCCAAATGATGTTATTTGCTGGCGAGAAAAACTAAACAGGTTATAAACCCATAATTTTTACTTATATATTCTTAATATCATAATTAAGCTGATACCATACATATGGTATTTGCCGAATACCTAGCAACGAATTCTGTGAACTGTCAATGTCTCGTACTACCAGGTGTTGTCGATTTGCTGACATTCCTCATTCAGTATTCGACGAATACTGAATGTGTGATACTGGCTTTACAATCCACAAATTTTAAATTACTATAAAAACAAGAAACCACGAACTCCACGAACAAATTTACGAAAATTAGAACAAGTTCTAATTCATGAATAAATTCATTAAGTTATCTGACAGCAGATTTGGTGCATTATACTTGTTCCATTTCTTCAGGAAGCGACTTCATGAATTAATTCATGAATAAATTAGCAATGTAAAACAGCTATTAGAGAATGTTTAAGTACAGAACAGCTGTTTATTTTTTAACAAATGACAAAACACTTCTCAAAAATCATAAAATATTTCATTATTGTTGTTCTCAAATTATATGAAATACCTGACGGTGGAGGAGGTGCTGTTGCAGTAGCTCTAGGCGCAGCTCGAATGACTAAATGAATAGTCAGTCCATCTTTAACATTATGCTGTTTTAAATTATCTCCATCCTTCATAATTTTTCCCGCAAATATGAGACATAGCTGATCTGGTTCAGCAGGAAATTTTTTCCTAATTATCTCTTTGAACTAGAATTAAAGTAAATCTTTTAATTTGAAATGAGGTTAGAATAATATATCTTACATCTTTGATAGAACAGTTTTCATCGACTTGAAAAGATTCTTTTTCCTTTGGTGTTTTAACATGGACTGTAATCTTTTTGGATGAGGCACCTTCCTCTTCAGATTTATTTTCTTCCGATATTTGATCATTTTTCGATGAATTTACCGGAACATCGTCAGCCATGTTTGCCTAGAATGACTAGTTATTTTGGTCTTATAGAAACTATCATTTATTTTAACAGATACCTAAATAATATAATAGTGAATTACTTACGCTTTGCTTATTTTGTAAAAAATAAATAATTATATACACTTTCCGCAAACAGCAAACACTATCACAAAAACGACAATCAAGTTTTTCACGTCAAGTGTCAAATTCCTATAAACGTGACTAACATTACGTCACATTAATGTTTGCATGTTTCTAAGGCCACGTATGTTTCCACAAATTCCAACACTTATTTTTTGTGCATATTTAAAAGCCCAATAAAACTTGAATATTAAAAAATCGTTAATACTGCAAGGATAAATTCAGAACTGAATAGAAGTTATGTTGGTACTGACACAGACCGTTTTAACTTTGTAATGGAATGTTATTCATACAAATACGGCAAACTAAATTGAAAAAATTTGCCTTACCATATTATGATTATTTAATTCAGCATTTTGTATATTTAGTTTAATGGTTAAATTGAATTTTCTCATAATAATGTTAAAAATAAATTAAGAAACAAGTTAAGGGATATGGAAATACATATGCAGGTAATTAAAATTAGAGAGTGGTTTATTGTTAACTATTAGAATAGGTATACTATTAAAATTAAGTTATCATTCACTATAGTAGGAAGGATACATATATGATATATGTATGTACGTACTACATGTAGGAAGACCTCGTTGTTAAAAAGTGTAGAGGCTGTAGAGAAAAACGGCGATAGTTTGGGTACTCACTCTCTCTCTTTGATCGTTGCGGAAGGAGTTCCGTTAGCCAATCAGGTGCCTGCGCGAGAGAGAAATATCGTACTAACCCTTTTTCTCTTTGTTACTCGCCTACAATGTCGCCGTACGCTTGCTTCCTCCATGTAGTATATGCTCTAAGATTCAGTATAATATATTAAATTTAAATATACTAACAATTTTAGATGCAGGTTAATATATGAATAATAGCTTCAAGTTTTAAAAATTAAAAAAATAAACTCTAATAGGTGCATACCGTGTATAGGTACATTGTCTCCTTATTATGAATTAAAATGATTCTTAAACACTCAGGAAAGTTAAATTTAAATAAACCATAGAACATTAATTTCTAAGATGATTATGTAAATACTAACATGAATAACTGATATCTATAGTAACATAATTAAGGGTAATATCAATAGATATTTTGATATCTAAATGTTTATAAAGGAAAATTTAGAGAATCTCTATTTAATTTATAGTTATTTAACAGATGACATTATTCTGTAGATTTGCTGTCAGTAGTTGCAATGTCTCATGAAAGACAAAAGCTTGACGTTATACCTAAAAAGGCATAGAAAATATAGTTATATTTTCTATGCTAAAAAGGTCAATGAATCATGTAATAGTATGTTCGGAAATAATTTGGAAACTATAATTTTTAACAAAGGAAAAAGAAAAATAAGTAGAAATAAAATAGATATGACATCTGATATATAATAAAAAAAAATCTGTTTGCCTTTTATCTTTTAGGTTTATAAAGTAGTATTTTTAGAATGATTTTCAAAATTAAATGAACCCTATAGTAAAAGAAGCAACCCATTTGAAGAAGGAAGTGGCAGTGAGGTTGACTCGTTGACTAGTGACTACTAGCACTAGCACTAGCAGTGAATGCAAGAAGAACGGGATGTAGGATGTGGACGTGCCTTTAAAATGGCGTTGTCAACAATGAGCAGGAAGGTTTTGTTATACTGATTTAGTGTATAAACAGTTAATTAAATTTAGAAGTTATCTTTATTTAGCTTAATTATAATAATTTAATGAAAAATGAACGGTCTAAGTTTTAGTGAGTTGTGTTGCTTGTTTTGTTGTCCACCTTGCCCCAGCAGAATAGCAGCCAAACTAGCATTTCTACCACCAGAACCAACATACGAATTTGTGTCGGACGAAAATGGAAAATGCAGTTTTGCGTTGACAGAACGAGCAGAATGGCAGTTTTCGGATAGGGAAAAAGAAAATGTAGAAGTATTTTTTACAAGAACAAATAGAGGAAATCGAATCGCATGCTTATTTGTTAGGTGTAGTAGTACAGCTAGGTTTACTATTTTGTTTTCACATGGAAATGCAGTGGATTTGGGACAAATGAGTAGTTTTTATTTGGGTCTAGGATCTCGTATAAATTGTAACATATTTAGTTATGATTATTCCGGTTACGGTGTGAGTGCAGGTAAACCATCAGAGAAAAATTTGTACGCTGACATTGATGCTGCATGGCAAGCTCTTAGGACTAGATATGGCATTAGCCCTGAAAATATAATACTCTATGGCCAAAGCATTGGCACCGTACCCACAGTAGATTTGGCGGCACGATATGAAGTTGGGGCTGTGATATTGCATTCTCCTCTCATGTCTGGCATGAGAGTTGCCTTTCCTAACACAAAAAGAACATGGTTTTTCGATGCCTTTCCCAGGTGAGTAATATAAATTATTTCAATTCTAAAGTGAGACAAGCTATTTCATTCATAAAATAGTAATTGATTTACTTATACCTATAGTAGTTAATTGTCATAAATAAATCTTGTTTAATTTGTTGAACAAATATTCAACTAATAAATAAATATTGATACAGCTTAAATCAATATTTAAAATGAATAATATTTATATGTATATATCAGTTCTGTTTAATCTACCTGTTACTATAATTCTGAATTTATTATACCTAGTTATGTTTGTATTTAGTAATAATAACAAATGTTTGATCATAAACCTAGCTGTATTTATACATATGTGAAATTCTTTTCATTTTATAAGTAATCACTTAGTATTTCCATACAGCCCATCTGATAATCCTTTTTTTAATTTTATTTTGAACCCTGTCTTGTCATTCATATTATATTTTCGATGAGTTTTATTTAAGTATAAGTACTTTTATTATTAGCAATCTTATTAATTTCAGTATCGATAAAGTTCCAAAAGTAATGTCACCAACATTAATAATACATGGGACAGAAGATGAGGTGATAGACTTTTCTCATGGGCTAACCATCTTTGAAAAGTGTCCTAAAGCTGTGGAACCCTTATGGGTTGAGGTACGTGTATCTTTTAAATAAAAAAAATTTAAAGGATTATATAAAATTTTGTAGTCGGGCTATAGCTCTGATCTTTTGGCATAACAGTTTGTTTATTAAGTAACGTTTAGGTGCCATTTTACTTTTAAAATGAAACGATGTGCATCTCCTACAAATAAAATTAACTTTTACACTTTAAGTGTTAATAATTCATTTTCATTCTTACATTTGCATATATATTTTGATTTTAAACAAATATAATATAAATGATTATAGGTATTATTGCACATTGCATATGAGAAGCAGCTATGCAAAAGCGGATAAATCCGTTTTTAACATTTTTTTAGTTAGGCATGGAAATCGCTTCTTAATAATTCAATCTACAGCTTGGTTACATCTAGATCGAACAAAAACAATGAGAAACAGCATATTAAAATAAGTGACTAACCAAAAGCAAATAAATCCATATTTCGACCAAACAAAGAGCGTTAAATCCATGTATACTAAATTTAAGATTTCTTAAAAAATTTTTCTTTTGTTTAATTTCTTCGTAGTTTCATAGTTCATCGCGAGATGGTGCAATTTTCACGTACATGCAGTGTGTAAATATGAGATTGTAATAAAATAAGACTTGTCTTGGTACAAAAATATTATATTTGAGATGGCCTAATAAAACTGAACAGTAAGCAATATATATTTTAAAACCATTATTAAACTTATAAAACCAGTGCATAAAGTTTAAGATTACAGTGAATAATGTTCTAGTTACAGCTTTTTCCTAGTTATCTCAAAACCACATGGATTTATCAGCTTTTGCATAGCTGCTCCTTATACGTGCTTTACAAAAATGTTTATGTTAAATATTAACTTACGTTATTATTCAGGAAAAGGTCGATTGAGAATTAAATGGCTATTTCTGTTTAACCAAAAGGTGTAAAAATTACTTTATTTTAAAATTTTCAGGGGGCAGGTCATAATGATGTGGAATTGTATTCAGTTTACTTGGAAAGGCTTAGACAATTTGTGATGGTAGAATTAGATAACTGACAACTATTGGCTGGCGAGGATGTAACTTTTAGTTCGGGTACGTCAAGTTCGGTAGGCGAAAAATTACTCTAGCCAGCATTAGCAGGAGTGGTTAATGTGAAGAAAACCTCATCCTCGAAGCCGTTCTCCTGCGGAAAATTTAAAATTAAGAACCAACCTAAACTACCATTATTGACAACAATCTGCCACAGTGTACCGCCAGTGTGTCTCACTGTATGTCACTGTCTACTACTTGAGACCACTTGCTAGCTACTGCTCTGTATTTTCTACTGTAAATATTGTTACTTGTGGACTTTTATCAAATGTGAATGAATATCGGAAGACAATCCTTAAAGTGATGCAATACTGATTAGTACGGTCCTATGTAAACATGGAAATTTAAGTTTTTGTACAGTGTTTTACATATTGTTGCTTAAATATTTTATATATATACTTAGATAGGTAGGAAAATTACTACTACAATTTTCAATCTTGTATATTTATGATTTTAGTTTATTTTGTCTAGTGTTTAATTTGTAACTAAAAATAAAACGTTAGTTTACAATAAATTTGGAAGATATTAATGTAGGTTAATATTTCTATTTGGATAACTTAATGTACTTAATATGTTCCAAAAAAAAACATGAAAATGGAAACTTGTGTTGATACACAATTTCTTTTACTCCAAATGATATTTTCTGTACTTATAATTGCAACAGTAGGAAAGATTATCACTTCCCACATATCTGTCCTTTAAATGACTAGAATTTACTTTCAAATCAATTTCCCTCATGGTCAAGTAATTTTTTTCTTTATTTTGGTATAAGAAAACAAAAATTTGTTTAAACAGGTATTGTGAAGGACTATTAAAGCTTACTTAATTTTTTTATAGAATTTGTTGCATATTGTGTAAGTAGAAAATTATTTATTTATTTCCTTTTAACATACATCAATACCTTATTAATGGTTTATATGGACTGATAAACAAAAATGTGTATATAAAATATGATAATTTGAAGTCATGTGATTATAATTACTATTTTTTTATCGATATGAAATATTAATTTCATTTTAGTAACAAAGAATTTGTACTAAACCGATTATAGATAATAGTATTATAAAATGTGCAATAAAAAAATTAACCAAGTGTAATATTAAATAAAGTGCTTTATCATATCAGGGGTAAATAGTACAAAAACATAAGTTTTCATGTGAATTATAGGCATTCCGTTGACTAACTTGGTCTATGTGTGGATTTTTAACTTCATCGATAATGTGTTCTGTTGGGAAGGAGTAAGCCCTGTCCAACCCTGTCCGTTTGACGTTAACTAAAATTGATTTAGTATTTTCATCAAAATAATTTATTTTGCGTCATCTAATTTTTATAATTTCGGAATGTAAATATTTTTTAAATGGACATTTTTTGAATTATTTATTGATTTTCAAATTTTTTATAGTGAACATTTTAGTAAGTCATACTTGAGAGATGAATTTTTGTATTCATTATTATATGAGCATAAGTTTAACATGTCAAAATTTTAATTCAGAGAAATCGTATTAAGAATGACTTACTAGTTATCTCAATTGTACATACTATGGATGGATTAGTTTCCAGCCATACGTTGTATTTATTTTTATAAGTTGAAGTTTTTCTGTAAAAGAGTATGAAGTATCAGGTTCATTTGTTTCTCAACACTATAGTACTTTTCAGTAGATTATAATATTTTTAAAGCAACACAAAAATTACTAAAAGAACTAAAAAAATTGCTATTCACTTGACAAACACAACAAAAACAAATTATACATAAATAATAAAAAAATATTTGGCAGTATTGTAGTGTCAGATAAAATTATTTTTTAGAAAATTGTTTATATCTGTTAGTTCTTACTCAAATTTTGTATTTTATCACGATTGTAAAAAGCATTTTAGGCAATTTTATACAAATTACTACATATATAATATGACTAGCTCAAATTTATTGAAGAGGTAGCAAAAATATGTGTAGTGACTTGGTTTTATCATTTTCGTAATTTCAGATTATTTATATACATATCATTTAATTTTTTTTGCATTTAGTGTTTCTACCTTTGTAACAATAATATAAATTCCTTATGTTTTGTTAGAGGAAATTTCAAAATTTTACTTTAAAATATAGAAACAGTATTTATACAATTAGATGTTTGTTTTATTTTGTGTTTGTAATTTTTTACAAACTCGTGACTTCGTTGATATCTGAAATAATTTTCAGAACAATAAATGTAACTGAAAATCAACTAAAATATCCCAAATGCATATTATGTGCTTATATTATTGCATATTTTATGCATCTTACATGAAGTGTTTTCCAGTTTTATATAAAAATGTATTAATAAAAGTAACTTTTCGATTTGAGTATTTCATTTATTTGAATCAAAATCTCGATATACCCTAATTTATTTCAAAATTCTTTTATCACAAAAATTACATTATAATTTATTAAACTGATACATTTTGATAAAAAGCATTTTATCAGTTTCTCCAATATTTGTTTCGGTTAATTTACTATCCATTTTGTATAAAAAATTGTATTGAATGAGTCATAATTCATATAATAGATTACTCGGCTAAAAAAGATAAGTTAACTTAGAACAGTAGTTCTCTTTGTCTATAAGTTTATTTTCCTTAAATTTCTATTAATATGTTGTCTGTTCATAAGCGTCACTATCGATTTATATGTACAAATAAATATGATGTGATGAAATATGAATTTCTTCTCCTAAATCGACATTTTAATTATTTGACAATATTCAGTAACGAATGTCCCCTTTCTATTTGTCCATTTCATTCCATGATTGCCTATCAGATGTAAAATAGGCTTTAAGCATTTGCCGTAAATCAGACTTTACTGTACGTCATGGAACTCATAGTTCAGTGGTCAGTTGTAAAATTGTTATCTAATTTTAACTACAACGTAGCATAATAAAAATTATTATTTTATTGGACAATTGTTTTTTTTACTAAGAATACAATTACAGTAAGTAAGTAACACAAGATACTGCTCTTTATTTATAGTACATACAACTACTGCGGGCATTTTTTTCCCAAATATAGTAGACAAGTCAAGGAACATAATTTCTCACGAGTTAACTATTTAAAATCAAACTTTAAAATGATAAATCTAATACAATGATGTATATTTGGAACTGTACATATTACTTAACCTGACGAACATATATATTTTTTTCCAAATTTTTATATACACGCTTAGTTTGCAAACTCCTCCCAATAAAGGTTCCTAAAACAGTTTAGAATGGTTACCCAACTGTATTGTCAGTATGTCTTGGATTAGATGTTCTTATGAATGGAATGGACAACTAGTTTGAACCGTCCTAGAACCATTCTTTGTCGAAATCGAAAGGGTTCTAGAGTTCCTAATCTGGAGTTTTTCTATAGTTCCTAATCTATAGTCGTGCATTCTGACTGCTATAATCTATGTCATGTGCTATTCTGTTTACAACTATAGGCCGTGTTATTTTATTCCTCTCTTTTAATGCGATGAAATCCATCGATGTATTACTATTGGCCTGATTAAAAAATTCTAATCTCTTATTGGTTCTACGGAATACATCACATCGAAATGATGAATAAAATAACACGGCCATACTATGCTTCTCTGATCTATGTTCATGCTCACTGGTCACTTCCAAGAGTGCCAACTGCCAGGTCAAGGGTCCTGTCACTTGTCAGTGCTGTCACAGCAAATATATATCAAAAGATATCAAAAATATACTTTTATTGTTTTTCGTACCGAAAATAAAGAGGCATTTCATATGAAGTAGGTTTTTTTCATATATTATTGGGTGTCAAATTTTTACATTTACTATTTAACCACGAATTTAAGACATTCCAATTACAAGCCGAAACAATTGGAAAAATAGTTTTTTGTGTAAATAAACAAATAAATTATGTGGCCTCTAGACAACATATATTGTCTTTAATACTGTTTAAACGTACTTTATTAAATACTATCTTTATATAACCATACTGTGTGTTTATCAGCTTTTTCTGTAATAAAATAAGTTAGGTTAGGTGCACTAAATCTATATAAAACATTAATTAATCAAAAATTAAAAACCATGTATAAAGGAGAAATGGACTCTTCAACTGAACTAGAATCACAGTTTATTCTACGTTTACCAGTGGTATGTACATTTAAGTATTATTTTTGTCAAATAGCAAATAAAAAATAATTTTTAGGAACCTGCAAAAGTTTTACGTGAGGCAATACGAAATAATAGTACATTGAAAGACCGGATGTCTATTAAAATTGAAAATGATTTACGTCATGGAGAAGTTCGAGTTGACCATTGGCTTATGACTGCAAAGGTTGTAGATTTACCAACAATTGTGGAATCCCTCAAAACGATTGATGGTAAAGGTTTCTATAAAACTGCCGATATTTGTCAAATGTTAATATGTATGGAAGATGACGACCAAACAACTACAGATGAAGATTCACCACAGAAGAAAAAGAAAGATCCAAACAAAGTAGAAAAGAAATATTTATGGCCTCATGGCATTACTCCACCAGCAAAGAATGTACGAAAGAGACGTTTTAGGAAGACATTACGAAAAAAGTATGTTGAGGCACCAGAAATTGAAAAAGAAGTAAAGAGGCTTCTCAGAATTGATAATGATGCTGTAAGTAAAACATTAAACTAATTCTAAAAAAATTACATACTAATTTTAGGTCAGTGTGAAGTGGGAGGTCATAAACGAAGACGAGAATAAAGTCAATAAAGGAACTGTTGTTAAGAAAGAAACAAATGAACCGCCCAAAAGTGTGGCTGAACACGATATATTTGGAGGAGCTGTTAGTGACTCTGAAGAAGAAGATGCTCATCTTAATGTTTTGGATGTACTAGATGAAAATAGTCAGAATTCAGCAGAAGATAGCCATCTTACAGATTCCAATTCGGTTCTAGTATGTGCAATCAGTTTTTACATAATTTTTTATGAATATTAATTTATTTTTACAGAATACATCTGCAGAACCTAAATTATTAACAGAATTTACAAGTGATATGTTTAGAGATATTCAAGAACATGTTGATATCAGTCGAAACTTAATGCAACAAATAGACTACTACACACCATCTAATTCTAGTATTTCTTATTCGGAATCAAATTTAAGCAAAGGTAGTAAACCAAATGTTATCTTATTTTAAATTGTTTACTTTTAATTTTTTTAGCTAACGTTCATGCAAGGATAGATGAAATTGATGTAGAGCTAGCCGATTTAAAAGCAAGGCGCCAACAACAAGAAATAAAAATAGAGAATATTGAAAACTTGGCTTTACGACAGAGATTCCAAGAAAACTTAGAAAGACTGTTGCAAGAGCAAATAGAAAAGGAACAAGAGAAATATGATTTAATTGAACTGATAAAGCAAATAGATTGACAGGATGAGATTTTAGTTTTACAGTCGGATCTTTATAATACTGAGTGATAGTCCTTTTTTTTACCTTATATCCACAGCTTTCTTTATATCGTCTTAGTTTTATAAATTTTTGATAACTTTGTTTTTTAATATACAAGGGCGTACCTAGGGTGGGGCAAGAGGGGTATGTGGCCTGGGTGTTACTCAACGGGAGGCACAAAATTTGTAAATTATTAAACTTAAAAATAAAAGTAAACCAACGATATAATTCATATTCCCGTGATTCCTGTGCGTGATAGGCTTTCCTGAACGAGCGAAAGGCAAGGAAGGTACAATTTTAAGTGCATTTTTACAGACTAATTTTCATTCTAAAACAGAAAATAAAAATATTATGTAAGATTTGTGACTGTTTCATTTAATTGTATCTGTTTAGTTTATATTTAGATAATTTATGAATGGGCGCAACTTCGATTTTTGCCCTAGGCGCCATTTCCGATTGGTACGTCTCTGTTAATATGCTAATAAAATATGCTGTAATTGTAAGATACTTAGATAGAAAAGTGATATAAGAATTATTTTTTTAATTACCGTTATGAAATGAAACAATATTACGAATTAAAACTTACAATTAGTAGTTTTTGGAAAGAAGTTACTAACAAATAATTAATTTTTAAAATTGTAGTTTTTATTAATTTACATTGTATTTTATCCAATTTTGTTGCATTGATATAAATTGAATAGAATTTATATATACCTGATATATTATTAATTAGAAAGTGTAATAAATTATACATTAGAATTTATAGTGTCAGAAATAGAAAAGTGTACATATTCATATGTAGTTATTATTTAAAAATTAGGTAATAATTCTGAATCATTCTTAAGGGTATTGAAATTGGAGGAAATAGGTTTAAAGATTACCTAGCACTAAACAACAACATTGTTATTATGCTTGTCATTTTTTATTAACATCAAATTTTACTACATCACATCAATTGCAGCGAGTATTTATCAGAAGTAACATAAATTATGTGTAAATATATTTATTAATTATAACACTGAATAGAATATTACATTTATGGCCGTATATTTAAGGTGTTACATTATTCACGCAAAACATTTGTGTTTACATACATAAAAGTCATGGACCTGTTTTTTTTTACATTTAGGGATGGTCTTATAGGAAAAAAACTAAAATCATAACATGAAGTTTCCTTGAATTTTTATAATACTATTAACAAAATAATTAAACAATAAAACAGTAACAACTTGTACTGACCTAAAACAAATAGCAAAAAATATGAACGATCATTTTCTATATTAAACATGGATTTTTGTATTTGTTTTATAAATATATACATAGAGAAAATATATTCCATACCTACCACTTTTTACTAATTTTTAAAGAACAGGTAGATACTTTTGAATCGTACAGTATTTATAGGTACTGTCTGTTGAAATTTAACTATATAATTTCATCTGTAGTACATCCAAAACAGAAATTAGTAGCATTTAACCTTGTTATGATATATTGTCACTGATATACACCAAAGGACAAACGCTGTTTTGAGTAACTGTTTAGGAAACAGAAGGAAAAGTTATCACAAGCATAACTTTATGATGTGTATGCTGGATATCGTAGTACATATTAGTTATCGATGATTATAAATATTATTAAGACCTATTCTAAAAAGAAGTACATATAGTCCTTTTGTCACTCATGCTCATTTGCGAGATCAGTGACAATATATTTTACATTAAAAAATATAAACGATTCAAGATATATATCATATGCACCGCTTGAAATTATATTTTTTAGAATACATATTGTACAGGTAAGAGCTCAAAAATTACATCAGTATTTTATTTGCTGTTTAGTATTATGTTACCCCTTGAAGAAGACGGTTTTTCATGTTGCTCCTAAATTTTATTTAAAACCTACACAATATAAAGTATCTACAATTTCGAGTATAGACTTACATTGGACCACACGAAATATATATTATTTCAGTATTTGCAGGTAACAATTTTAAAACAGCATATCTGAAAACGATTACTTAAAAAATGTTATTATAAAGTACATATATTAAAATGCACAATAAAATAATTTATTCCGCTATATTCATAGAAATATAATTTGCTTTGACGTTTAACTTTGCGATTCGAGAGATTATTCCAAAAATAAGAGATATCTCCCTCTCTATTAATTTTCACTTGAATAGAAATTGTATTGTTGCTACGATTAAAGTCCCTTATGAATATTTTACACTGACAATTTGTTTATGAATTAATTTACGAAAGTTTTTAATTTACTAATTCAAGAATAGTTGGATTTTACATTTAATGAACTTTTTTTACCAATCCATACTAAATACAGAACTTCTACCCTCGTGAAAACTTACTTTTTATTATAGGTAGGTAACACACAAATTTTGATATTTCTACACATCTACACTTTTTATAATGCATGTCTAGAAATTCACGTAAAAATTGAGGGGAACATTTAGTTTTCGAGAAACCACTTCATGAATAGAATGCTAGTGTAAAACGGTTGTTACATATTGAGAGAACAGTATCCTTTTCAGTATGGTTACAATTCTATGGGTACATTTTCATGCTAAAACTACCTATTGCTTTGATAAATTTTTATAAAGAACATTAGAGACAAGTGAAACCAGCCGCAACTAAGCAATAAGTAATTTTAGTGATACCTAATTTATATATACATCTAATCAATCTGATCTGAGCAATTTTTGTTTTACAAAATGTAGACAAATGTATAAATATATTAAACTACTTTTTGTTACTCATTTTAAAGTTCAGTCAAGATGAGTAGTTAGATCAAAGGTAATAGGTATATATTTAGAATTTGAAATACAAATACACTTTAAGTTTATAAATTTTGACATTAAAAATAAGGCGAATATAGTTTTTGACATTTACAAAGGCACATTGACTGCTGCATCTAGCTACACATATACATTATATCAAACATTTAAAGAATATTATGTGAGTATATGTCCAATATCGAATGTTTTTTATAAATTTACATTGCACATGTTTTCTTTTTATTCCATACATTTTAGAGTAAAATGTCAGCTACATACATATTTAGGTAAAAACTCAAAACGTGATTAAAACATCCTACAGGAGTATAACCAGTGGCTTAAACTATTTGAAGGGGCAGTGTCAAGATATTTTTAAGTAGGATTGATATATGTCCTCGTAGAATAAAGGGTATTTTCTATTAAAACTAGAAACCTCCGCTTTTTGATAGCTGATTTATTAAAAGTAAGAGAGGTTTCTTATTTGAAGCATATTTTTAAGTGGAAATTTATTTTTACTTTTTTCCTAGATTATACTGTGAAGAATTTTGCAAGAATATCTTTCCTGAAAATAAAATGCAGTTTTCAAAAAATACTATACAATATTTTTGTTTTTGAGGCCACTAGTTTTATTTTTTTATCTTAGCAAAAAGCACTTTAGAGTTAAGGGGTTATATTGAGAAAACATCCTTAATAAAGTGTAAACTGTCAGTTCTTCTATTGTTTTTTAGAATGGTGAAAATACTCGTTGAATATGTAACGGAACTAATGGAAGAAAAATGTGTCATTTTCACTACATGAATTTTTTTTTTTTTGCATGTAAAAATCTAAATAAATCAATTTTTTTATTTTCATATTCACTATTTTGCAAAAATGAATGAAATAAACAAATCGCTTTAAAGCAGAGGGTTGGTCCTTGAAACTTTTTGTTTAATCAAATAATCTCAGATAAATACAACATTAAACGTAGAATTTATCAAATATTAACAGTTTTAAATATAAAAATGAAATATTCTGTAGAAAACTTTTTCAATTGAGCAAATTATTATATACAGCAAAGTACATTAAGTATATATAAATTCGGAAAAAATTGATGAAGTATACTTACATTAAGTGAATAACTTCCCTAAAATCTAACATTCCGTAAATTTGTATCCATTTATATATATAGAAGTATTTTTAATTTTTCTAAAGTTATCAACAAAACAACAACAAATATACCATACCGCTTAAAGTATTTTACCAAAATAATAACCATAAAATTCACAGATTTTTGCAAATGAAATTCATGGCGAATTTTATGCATTTGCTCAATCCGCTCCGTTGCGTTTAGCTGTAATGCTTAGGTTGGAAAGCATTTTTTAAGCAAAAACAGTCAGACATAGTAGCTAAATGTTAGCACACGAAGATTTTTACAGGTTATTTAAAACTTATCTCATTTGGTGCATTCAAACTGTTTCAATTACTAATAGAGGCATGCAGTTTTACAAAAAAAATATGCGAGTACAAGAATCGTTTCAATTAACAAATATTTTCCCTCTGGTCCCCTATTCTTATTTTTCTTAAAATCATGAAATTACTAAATAATCCGTATTAATTTCTTGTTAATGGATTACATTACGAGGCTACGAAAAAATGAGGAAGGGGAATAGTACATTATAGCAGTTTTGAAGAGAAAATAAACAGTAGCAAAAAGTATATATTCGTGGTCGTTCACAAAACTTTCTGAATGTACCAGTTGAAATTAGGATTCAAAGAGAATTTTTTTCTCTTGAGTGAATTTTCAGTCCATAAAATTTGTAACCGAACGTCCTAATCTAGACTAATTTGGCTACATTGTGCATTTACTTAAAAACATACAGGGTATCGAATTTGCATTGTTAACTCAGTATTTCCTGAGTGCTTGTCCTATTAAAAGGCCCATCCGATTCGGGAGAAGAGACTTCGTATTTATTATTTATCATTTCAGTCATATCGGAATTGTAAGTACTAAAGCAGTACTTACATCTCATTTTCGTGTCGTCATCTACTCTAACGGATTGCATTATAGCACATAGAGTGATAAAAGACGCCACAAATAACACAGAAGGAATGCTTATGGCTATAAGTAAGTCTCGCCACGTCCTCTTCAAATCGTAGCGGGCCACCACCATAAACGAACTATTCTAAAAATATATTCAAATTAGTTAAAAGCGTTAAAATTAGACCGTAGATAGTAATGCAAAATGCTTTCACGTTCTATGAAGTTCCTTTGGTCTAAATTTGAAAATGGTAACAATATTTCGTCAGCTAAATTAGAAAAAATATGAAGATATTCCTAAATGATTTCAACTTACCTTGTTATAAAAACAGTGGTACCTAGATTGGGCTGTTTGGTTTCTACCATCTCGCCCATGAGACTGTAGAAAATCCAGACACTCGCCTTTTAAGGTATTTACGCAACCGTCTAAGTTAATAAATAAGCGGGAAGTATTGTATATTGTTAAGGCAGAATGTGCTGGTACATATTGATTGTTTGGATCTACGACGTTTCTATGCTTCCCTGTTAAATTCCAAAATTGTCTGAAGGAAATGTAAGGCCTCGGTATGTTTTTTGCTTCGTATATTGTCCCATTTATGCAATCAGTGGCACTACAATAATATAAAACAATTTAGTCAAGCATATACTCTACCGCGTATTTTATATCACCCTGTATACAAAAAAATCAAATCGCCGTGTGCTGACTGATCATAATTTCATAAAAATTGTGTATGCTGTGATAAAAAAATTATTTATAAATTCTTGTAATATTTTGATTTTTGAAATTTCTATCACTATGTTAATTACGTCCATTTAAATACGAGGTTTGATCACAAAAAAACGGAAATTTTCAAATTGCACGTGTTGTATCTTGTCTATCGAGTTCTTTTTTCTGTGCCTATTGGTAGCACTGTCAGTGATGTATCTGTTAATTTTTAGGTAGCTGCCACGTTAAGTTTCTGTTTAACAAACGAAAGAGTAAGATTTACAACAATGCACCGACGCATTATACCTCTGCTTATCCGACAGTTCTTGGCCCATCCTATTCTCCGGACATGACTTTCTTAACATTTTCCTATTTCCCAAACTTAACGGGATATTGAAAGGACAACGTTCTTCAACAACAGATTAGATAAAGTCAACATCGCAAACCATGCTCAAGACAAAACCTAGAGAGGCGTTCCGCCAGAGTTTCTCAAACTGGAAACTACCTTAGCATAAGAGTATAATTACATAGGGGGCCTAGTACTTTGAAGGGGGTGGGATAAAAACTGAAGATTAAATAAATACTTCTTGAGAAAATTAACAATTCCCGTTACTTTCTGATCAAAACTTCCTATATCCCAACAACCTTAATCACATCGAAAACATATATTTTGCTTCTAAGCGTATATTTAACATAGGTTTCCATTGAAAAACGTACGCGACTGAAAACTTAGTTTTTGAGATCCGTTTCTATTTGAAATGTATTAAATATTGCAAAGGATACGTTTTTCTTGTTAGAAAAAATGGTGAAAATTGCATTTTGTTACCATTTCAGAGACATTTGATATTTCCGAGAACGCTGCGAACGTCAATTTTTTTTAATATCAAATAATATAGAAATACTACACTTAGACTCAATAATGTTTAGAAAATTTGACCTTAAATTCAACGAGATATTAAAAAATACATTAAAAAAGTTTAGCAATGGGTCAGCTTATATAATATAAAACTACTATTGAAATACAATACAATATAATTGAAATTTGTGCATTTGTGCAATATTTCGTTTGATTCTTAGTTTGATATTTCTTAATTACGAATCCACTAAGCATTACTGAATATTAAATTATCTAAGAATATACGTATATTATGAATTCTATAGTAGTAAAGCCTTTAGCTACCAAGATCCTGTATTACATAATTTAAATTACGTGTTAAATTGTTTACTTTTATTTAACATTGTAAAAGAAAGTATAAATATTTGTCATACATGCCGCTGACTACGTGACCCATCTAGATAAACAATGGCATGTAAGATCGGATCATATAAACTTACGTTGATAAAATGTTAATCCATCATACGTTTTTTCAATATAAATATCGCATATTTCTGTACGAATTTAAAAACTTGTGTTTACTTATTATTAACAGTAATTTATTCAGACCATATTATCGATTTAACATTTTGATATACCTAATTAATTACAGCTGATACTCAAACACGAGCCATTGAAAAATCAATGTAAATGTTAATTAAAATTTTCGTAGGACAAGTATATTTGAGTTGTCTGAAAATAGATTTTTGTAGATTTATAATATGTAATTTAGTATAAGATTGCGCAATTCAGTGACAACGCTAAGATTGCATTATTTTCTGCAAAGTACAAAGTTATCTGTAATAATGTAATTAGAGCATCCATTAAAAATTAATAAAGGGTAATGTTTTCATTAGTTTGAAATTAAGCATCCATTTGAAATTAATAAAGGGTAATGTTTTCATTAGTTTGAAAACTATACTTACTGTATAGTTTGATTAGGAGCGTCATAATTTGCTGTGAGACACGAAACCATCATGACTTCATTAGGAAGTTTGGACCAGAATTGAGTAGGTTTTATTTCTACACCCTCTTCATTCCCATTAGCTCTCGTTGTGGCTACGGCTAAATCACAGTAAGCATAATTTACGCTGTTATCGACGGATATAAAGACATTTTTCGATGTTGAAGTTATATTTTCCTTGCATATCCTGTCGCAGCTGAAGGATCTTTTGATTTTGGTACATTTCGCACCTTTACACTCAAAGAAGCCATTCAATTTGGCATTGTCTTTGTCACTGTCTACCGAGAATCCATCTGCTTTGTAGTGACACTGGTATATCTGAGATATATTAGTGCAATGGCCTAAGGAGCAATTGAAGACCCCCTTTAAAGAAGCACATTCGGTTCCATTGTTGCAGTTGTGCCTTTTCAAATCGTCCGTGTTGACTGGAGGGCAAAATGATGTTTGGAAATCGGTACAGTTGAGGAATTGCACTCTAGTACCATTCTGTCTGGTGGTAACGTGGATCTGTGGGCAAAATCCAGATGTTTTGGTTAAACACCACTCTCCACAAGAAGCCCAACTGCAGTTGTTCTCAGTGCTTGTATTAATGGTTTGGCACATTACGGGCTTTTGCTCGAAACCGCTTTTAAATGCTCTGTACGAGGGAATGTATATTGCCACTGTTAAATAAATAAGCGACACACAACTAAACACTACTACTAACTGGCAGAAGCAAATACATCCACATATTCTCTTGTCTTGCTGTGGGATCATACGAGGTTTGCATCTGTTTCTTTTACCCATTGCGTAATTATCAAAATCTTGAAAGGCACTTATTTTAGTTTGTTGTAGTTTTTAATTCTACATGGTAGGGTCTAAAATACGTTGGTTATTCTACAGGTTTGTCAATCGACTAGGGGTATAGAATCGTGTCTGCGGCCTTTGCGCAAGCGCCGCAGGATTTACAAGGCTCCAGAGATCCTTAGAGGAATTTAGGGTGTTTACGTTTGGGTGGTCAATAATTTGATTTTATCACAATACAGGAAAAGGGCGGTCGAATGCTTTTGTACATGCTATCTTGATTTTGAAGTGATTTACGTAAGAGCGGAAAAATACGTGGGTCAGTGGTCAGTCATTAGCTATTCTCATTTTTTTTATTGATTCTTGAGCGTAGCGTGGAAATTACGGTTCTATAAATATTAAAACGGAAATGCATTTAAATGTTTTAAAATTTAAATGAAGGGTGCTTTATGCAGATCGAAATCTATATACATATGAAATTAAGGATTGCCATATATGTAAAATACCGATTCTTGATTAAAATTAAGTTGGTTGAGGTATTTAAGGTAAAGTGAATACAAGCAAGTAAGTTTATTTCCAAAAAAAATATGACGTTTGATGAAACATGGTCATGTGAAATGTTTTTGTTAAATAATAGTATTCAACTTTATTTTTTAGAAAAGATAAAAAATAACCATTAAATATAAAAGGATGTGAAAAAACATAAATCAAACGTAGTAAAAATTGAAACATACTTACTGTTGTAATTTGTCATTCTCACATATATTTACTATAGTTTCGAATACATCATTATGATTATGGTTATTTATGGGCATTGGTAAAACCTCATCAAAGGGGTGGGGTTTTAGGGAATGAAGAATAAAAATTAAAGAAAAAACGACTCTTATATTGAACATTTCATTTTATATACAATAATTATTAGGTACGTATTTTTAAATAGATAGAAGCAATAAATATATATTTAATTATTTACTTATGTATTTTGTCATTTTCACATAATTTATTACACTTCTGAATATTAAGGACAAATACTTTTTTATTGTTATAAATACTTCAAAATGTAACAATACTAACTTTTTATACAATAATTATTAGATGCATACTTTTAATTGATAGAACCAATTAATGTACTATGTATTTAGTCATTTTCATATGAATTTACTACACTTTTGAATAAATTAATCTCGTATAAAGTTATATATCGTTAAAAAATTGAAATTAAAGTTGTAGAAACCCTTAGATCCTTTATTTTATATTTATAGGTATTGGCAAATTTGAAGAGAGACGTGTTCCATATTTATTATATAGAGGTGGGAGTTTAAAAGGTGAGGAATAAAGAATAAATAGAAACACTGCAATTATATTAAGTAATTCGATTCGAAACGATTAATTTTTTATTATTATATTTAGAGGTACTGAAAAATTTGAAGAGAGAAGCGTTCTATATTTATAACTGAACACATGGTAGAGGTGGGAGCTGGGAGGTGAAGAATAAAGATAGACAAAAGAAAAACTGCAACTATATTGGGCAATTCGTTTCAAAACGTTGTAACAATATTAATTTTATATACAATAATTATTAGGTACGTATTTTAATTGATAATAACAGTACAACGTGAATGATAAATTTTTGATAAACACTGTTCACAATTGTTTGTACTAGAATTTATTATGTTACATTAGATTGAATATTAATGAATATCAGAAGCCAGTTTTAAATATGACTTACGTTAACTACTATTTATTACTTTCAGTGAAAAAAATAGGTGATATAATATTTTTATAAAATGTCTTCGAAGAAAATAGATGAGAAAGCTTAGCGTGGGTGAAAATATTCATATGTTAGTAAAATTTTCGGTGCTAGTAGGTGTTTTCATCGAAGTCTTCCTCTCTAAAAAAAACCACACATTGGAATTAAAGAATGACGACGCAGAGACGCACATCCACAAAAGCTGTAAACTTCTAAAAAATAAACATGAACACATGTATATACAGAAAACGTGTTTAACAAAGTAAGTGATGTGTAATATGTGTTTACAAAAACATTCGCTTACTTCTTATTAAATTGCAAAATTCAGGGATCACTGACATTTTAATATTCACTTCAAATAAAGCCACGTGACTGGGACACATATTTCAGAAGCTTAATTAACATTTTCGAGGACAAATCGTGGGTGTATTTGTAAAATATACCTGATGACAGTGACGACCGAAATCTGTCGCTGAAAACAACGCGTTATTTATCACAGATATAAAATATGTTAAACAGGAGTACAGAGGATATAATTTATTCTAAATTTGAACTAAGCACAAAACTTCCAGAATATTAATAATTATTTATTGGCACTATATATTTTTATATTCTTTGTATTTCGCAATACTAAAATAAAATTTTGCGTGTACAATACACCTGTTTGTCCTGGAAATTCAAAGCAAAAATTCGCTTTACTTACAAATAAAGTACATACATACAAAAACACACAGCGCATTCCGAGGTTTCCATTAAAAACTGGATATATGTATATACATTAAAAAAAATAAACAAAGAAAGCGTTAGGGTCCATCAAAATGGAACAAGAAAGACAAATTATGTTAATTATCTAATAATTGAATAAGATTAAGGAATAGTGCATTTATAGGAAAGTGATTAAGGAAAACCAAACTAAAAAAATACTGAAAGAATTTGAAAGTGCAGAATACCAGCCATAAATAAAATATGTAACAGATATTATAAAGTGGGTGTATACAACAGGGTGATTTAGTCATAATGTCATTAATTTCACGGAAATTTAATTTAAGATAGGGGAAAAAATGAGTAGAATACGAATGGGCGATTAAAAAAAATTTAACATATTTACCCTGAAAAAAATAATTTCAAATCATTATTTAAATCCCTTTTCGGACCGCTACTGACCGCCGACCCACAAAGGTTTATCGAGAGTGATTCATGACCTACTTTAATATTCGGTCATTAACCTAGCTTTTAATACGTTTTCAATCCGTAGTAAACGAATAACCAATAAATGTATAAGGATAATATTTCTTTTCGAATGTTAGGTTATTATTTAATATTTTAATATTGTTAACGTTTTCACTATGTTTTATAATTTAATATGAATTTTTAGTAATATGTTCAATTAATTATTCAATTTGTAGTACGTAGGTATACCTTATTGTGTGACTTGTTGCTTTTCAAAGAGTAGCATGGTACCTCTAGTTAAAATAACAGCGCGGCTAAAAAATGCTCATGGGTCCACAGCATTTTGTTGTTTGGAATCAATTGAAAAATTCAAGACGACTGGGGAAATCAGCTGTTTCGCTTCACGTTCGAACGCTCTATCGCCGGCTCGTCCCCTTTTGCGAAGTAGGGCGTCGAAATAACGAGAGTTAAGGGGTAATTTGCTTATTTTTTAAAAGTTCCAGTAAAAACTTTTTGTTTCGATTTTATGTCCTTCATAGGCCCTCCCAATACGTGTTAAAATTGATGACTTTATGACTGAATCACCCTGTATAGGAAAGGTCCTGTGACGTTTATATTTGGAATTTCACTGCCAGTTTTAGTAATGGTCAACCCAAATGCAATTACAGTGATATATGTATATACCTCTCAATAATTCTGTAGATGATAATCTCTTTTTCCCATAGGAACGGACCCCCAAACGTAAGTTGTTACTACAAGCAATAACAGTGGTGGTTTAAGTGTATAATGTTAAAATAAAATATACAGTTAGATTTGAGAGAAAATTTAAAAATGATTTTTATTCTGAACTGGACTTTTTAAATCTTTTATCCATAAATGATGTCTGAACATTTGGTCTTAGCGTCTATAAACTGAACTTACTCTGTGGGAAAATGATGCATGTACTTCTGACAGGACCTGCCACATCCTGGGCAATACCAGTAGCTTAAAACTCCAATAGAAGCGGCGAATAGCAAATTCGGAATGGTGATAGAGAGCACCAAATGCCGAAGGGTGTCGTCCCAAGAATATCTAGCAACCACCTGAATCTCAGGATAAACTCTGCTGTAGTAGCACGGAAATGGAGTCCCTGCTGTCGCATATCCATACTGGCGAGCGAATTCGGAACAATTCACCGATGGTGGATAACCACACCCCTCGGTATTTATCAAGAAACGCGTATCGGCAACATCCCAGTGCATTACCATGGATGGTCTGTAGTCTTTGAAGGGCAATTTGGAGTAATTGACGTAGATCTGGTGGCACCTGGTTGCTTCACGTGTACAACCTTCCCTACAGGATGCCCAGGAACAATTCGAGATACCTTCTGCGTATATGTGTTGGGTAGCTATACATGTTACGGGTTCCGGTTCATAGTCGGCCATCAGGCTAGATATTGCTGGATCAACGACGAACGGTATTAAAAAAAGGAACGCGAAAACCGATAAGAAAGCGGTGGTTCCGAGACACAGTGACGTATAAAATTTCGCTGTCTCTGCGATTGAGATGAGGGTGAGTTGACTCTTCTCGGGAAATACGCTCATAGTTCTAGATAAATTAAATAACTGGTAAAGTGCTACGAATCCAAAATGTACGCTTTCCCCTATCAGGTGGATTCAATTTTTTTTTATTCGGAACAGATTCAGTCTCGGTCCAGCAGAAGGGGAATGCCTGAAAAATAAAGCCTTATAATACCAATCTTCCAAAAAAGTTACCACGCCACACTATATGCACATTTTCCAGTTTTGACTGAAGCGAAAAGTTTTTTTTAGATAAAAATAAATACACAAGGATGTTTCGATCTTTACTGATCAAATAATAATGATTTGCCTGTTCAAATCATCAAATATTAATTATATTCTACAATATACAAAATTTTATATTTATTTCAATTTTCAGTTTAAACTGAAAAGGAAAAATAAGTTACTTTTCAGAATAAAATATATGTCAGGGTAGTTAGATTTATATTGACCAAACTTAACGAAGAGATAGATCATCAAATATTATAGTTTGTAATACGGAGTGTTTTGGAGAAATTCAGGAGCTGATAGAACATGACAAATTCAAAAATTAAGACGATCTTTTCCTATAGGTCAGAAGTTTATACCATTTTGTTTTTGAGATACGAATGATTTTTTTAATCAAATTTTTGCCATGTATTTTGGGGTCAGGTTATTTATTTTATTTGTTTTTTATTTTATTTAGAAATTACAATATCCAACGTGACAAAGTCCCAATTACAGGATAAGGTAAAACAGAAAACTTTAACTAAATTAAAAAAAAAAACGACAACTAACATTAAATATAAAAATATAAGTACTACACAAAATGTAGCAATCAAAATATAAAATCCAATCAAGAACTTAAGTATAAATAATAACAGACGAATAAAACAAATAAGCTAACTAACATATACAAGATAAAGATAACATTTGCTAGACAAACAATTTTTTTAAGTTATTCATAAAATGAAAAAATATATCAAGTCGATCTTCATACTTTTGATAATTGGAAATCATAAGGGAGATGCTATTAGTAAATTTGTACGAGGTGTGGGTAATTGTAAAGCAGAGCGAAATCTAGAATTAAATCTAGGAACATGATATAAAATCATTGAAACCAACGAGTCTGCATTTAAAGTATTATTTATAATTTTAAAAAGGAATATAATTAAAAACATAATATAGAATATATAGAATAGAAAAATGCATATTGCCTGTCCCAAAGTCAGCCAGGTTCTTTTTTTTAATATACCAGGTGTCCAGAAATGAATGGGCTCTACTACAAAGAGACGAAAATAAATCGATTTGAATCACGTTACCTTAGCATAATTTTGCTTCCTTAAAAAATTCAGGCATTCGTAATTTTTTAAGAAAGCGAAATTGTACGAATTGCGAAGGTGACTTGATCTAAATCTAAATATTGAGAAGTAGAAGCTGGCTGACTTGACTTTGGGGCAGTCAACGTTTTTACTGATTTTAACCTTTTCTGTGCAAAATGAAAATTTACAAAATAATATCATACACTGCAAAAAACCTAACTTCAAAGAAGTTATGTCAGGAAATAATACTAGAAAAGATCCTAGTCAGAGACCTCTAGATATATCTAACCCCCTAAAACTTACCACACTTTAAGATGTGACCAACATTTGATTTATAGAATAACGTCTTGTATCTCAAAAACAGAATGTCATCAGCCCACTACGGCACTATTTCCAAAACACCCTGTATATTTGAAACATGTTTTCTTTTGGAGATGCGAGATATTAAAAGTTTCATTAAAAAATACTTTTTCTTGAATACATGTCCTTGTAATAATGCTTTTGACCATAAAGCACCATTTCTAAAACCTCTAAATAACTTCTGATCAAATGAAGATACTGAAGTGTGTATATTACATGAATAAAATGGCATTCAACGTGAACAAAATTTCAACCAAAACCAGTGGCATAGATATGAGGTATGTGGGTTACATTTTCCTCAAAAATTATGTAAAATTTTGTCATTTTAGCGAACCTTTACTTTTTCTGCTACTGTTTAGATAAATTTGTACGGGATGTTATAAGGAGCCTTTACCCTTGAAAACTTCACGTTTGAGATACAGGGTGTCAAAAGTTTGAAACACAAAAAGTATCAGTAGATTCATGGAAACACAGGAAGACGCATCAAAAAATGTATTTAAATAAATATTACGCCCTCTAAATGTACAACGATCATTTTCGTTTAAAACAAAATTTGCATTTCAAAAATGTTAAAAGAAATTCCTTCTTTCCAGTGCCGTGCCATAATCTCTGACAATCAATGTACATCATATCTATGTTACTGGCTTGAATTGGATTAATATTTTCATGTTGAATATTAATTTATTTATGTATTTTCCTCACAAATCAACATTTTCATTTCAAGATTTGTTCAGATGATAGAAGTGTAACATTTTATTTTTAAACTTTAACACCCTGTATTTAAAAAAACTACAGATTTAAGGGTAAATGTATACATAAAAAATGTTTGTAAAGATAGCGGATGTGTTAATTTAGACGAAAAAAACCCATATATTCCTACTGTGATTATGATTGCTGATAATATAATTATATACATAAAACTAAATTCCATTAAATTGTCCACAGTAATTACGGTCCAAACTGAGTAAATTGTATGTATAAAAAATTCCCCCTAATTGGTACAATTATCTTTTTAGTATGATTAAATACAAATACAGATAATAAATAATTAGAAATGAAATAAAGGGGCAAGGTTAAATTGATAATTAAATTATTTTTTTGCGTATAATTTTAATTTGCTGATAAATGTTGCTCTTCTGGAAGCCTTTGAAACGAAATAGGCGTTATACTTTATAATGCAAATTAGTTCTACAACACTGGGAATATATAATGTGGAAAATCGATTATTCATTTACATTTCCGCTACGTTTCACGTTGCAATAGCGCGGAATTGCGACAGACTTACATCTAAACAATTTCACATTAATAAAAAACTGATTTTAAACTTACGTGATTGATCTCAAAGTGCCATAATTGAGTTGCCTCCTCCTCTATCGTTCATGTTGTTCGTAGACGCAGATTTTTCGGCTGCTTCCTCGGTCTTTATGCACTGAAAACGCATTTTAGCATCATCACCAACGACAACAGTACGTTGGCAGAGAATTAGTGTGAGACATGAAACGACAAATAGAACCGAAGGCAGGACTGAGGCAATAAGAAATTGTTTAGTCGTTGTAGCCAAATCGAATCTCGCCACGACCACTCCAGGATTATCGGCTGAGAAAAAGCACGGAAAGCGCGCTCTTGCATTGTGGTCTGTCCCGTCTTTTCCGTAAACCTTTAGAAAATCTTTGCATTCGTCCCTCAAGGTATTGACACAACCCTCTAGATTAATGAGCAGCTTACTTTCATTGGCAATCAATAGATCGGGCTCAGGAGGAGCAACTATCATTCGTTCATCCAAAGGAACGGTGTTGAAAACGCTCAGGTAACTCAAATATGTGAAATTTGTCATGTCAGTTAAAACGTTGTTAGCCAGTAAAGAACCATTCACGCAGTCGATTGCCTCCAGACCACGACTGGTATTCAAGATACTGTAACAAGAGGCCATCACTATGTTGTCTTGTGCTTCGTTCCATATCTCTTCCCCAGTGTCACTGTCTATACACCTCTGACACTGGGACAAATACACTTCATCTCCGCTGAGCATTATAACGTTTTTGTTCCTCGTAGGAATGTCGCCGCACTGTCTGTCGCAGTTATATGGCGTGCGAATCCTTTCACATGTCCCCCTGTTGCAACTGTACAAACCGTTCAAATCGATGCAGGTGATTTTACCCCGTCTTCCCGAACATTTCAGAGGAGGATCGGTGTCTTTGTATATGCATTCGAAGGAGTCGGTTATGTCTATGCACATACCCATTGAGCAATTGAACGTACCTGTTAAATTCTTGCACTCGTCGGCGATGCACCGACTTCTCTTGGCATTTTCTTGGTCTTTCCCATAACAGAACTTCTGCGCGATGTTCGTGCAATTGGCCAACAGCAAATTGGAGCCGTTCCGTCTCAGGTTAACGTATATCTGCATGCAGGAACCCGAGGTCTTGCTCAGACACCATTCGCCGCAGGAACCCCAGTCGCAGGACTCGACGGTAACTGAACGAGTCGTGGTGCACATAACGGGGGTTTCGGAAATCCCGGACTGCATAGCGCGAGTCGATGGTACATATATCGCCACTGTTAGATACACTATCGCCACTGTGCTCAGAATCAAAGTCAGCTGACATAAACATATCGTACCGCAGATTTTGGTGTCCTGAGGTGGTATGATGAGCTCTTCGACGGGCGTGGGCTTCTTCTTTGGCATTGTGGTCTGTCAATTCGCATACCTTTGTCAGCAGAAGTTAACGGAGGCTGCCTGTGCCATCCGTGACCAGGATGTGCTGGGGTACTGAACAGCGGTGACCAGATTCAAACGCGCGCGTCTCCCAATCAATACCCCACTGCGGAGAGGCTGATCGATAACGCGCGCACACTGCCTGCCCGCGGTTCCATAATGCAACATCTATTGTTATATCGCAAATACCCTTAAATTGGCAAAAATACAATGGTGAGAACAGGATTACGTGATTGCGTTCTTAATTGTGTGTATACTTACGGTGCGGTTCGTGTAGGGACGATATACAGTGGCGAGAATTAGAAGAACGGTGGTGTAAGGTGGCTCCTCTCATGGAGAGCGGCGTATTAGTGTCCCTTCAGTCATCTGACGGAACCGGTGCCAGGATCGATACCATAAACACGGACTGCAGCAGTGCTCACAACACCATGCCCGTCGACGGCTCAATAGATATGGGAATAGTCAACCCAGCTGTGTAAAACTCTTTCTGTACCGTAACGACTGTGATTAACTGTTAAGTGTCCCTTAATAGATACTCCACAACCAACACCTACCAATTCCGGATGAAATGTAAAAATCTGATCTAACGTAAAGCATAATAATAATGTGTGGGTTAAAAAGACGGACATTAGGAGGATAAATATCTGAGTAAGGGGCGAATTCGCGGCAATAAATGGTGTGAGCTGGCCGGAGCCGCTCGCGCTTGGCTGTGGACGCAGATGTTGGGGTCCAAGCTCCTCTTTGACCTTGCACTGCGACCATGGAGAAAGAGAAAGTTAAGCAAACCTTTGCACAGAAATTGCTATTTTATATTACAGCTTTCTTCGTGCTACTTGGAATATTTAGCTTGTTTTCGTTTTTATTCCTTGTGCCTTTTGTCATCGACCCGGCTTTTACAACGATTTTCATGGAGTTCGACGAGGAGCCTGCTCTTTGTGTGACCATAAGAACTGACCGCCGTCTGGGTGCCTCAAACTGCACCTGGACGTCCTGCCGAGAAGGTTGTACGAAGGACATCTACGATTGCACTCAAATCTTTGTTAAGTACAAAGTTGCGTCCAATCGTACAAATACTTCGGCCGAGTATGCAATCACAACCACCGCAGAAACGTTTCGACAACCGGGACCGTCGCTTCTAGAAGACTATGATTATAATGAAGAATCCACTGGTCTAATGGAACTTGATCCAGAATGGTACTATAAGGAAGCAAAGTTGCTACCTAACGTGAAAGGTTGTGGTTATCCTCCAATGCTCAACTGTTCAGTTTTTCTAAAAACCTACAAAGAAGTTGGAACCAATTTCTCCTGTTACTACAGCCGGGTGGATAGGACCATGGTAATAAGCCACTTGGACATGTGGCAAGTATATATGAACTTAGTGTACGCGATGGCGATTCCTATACCGTCGTTTATTATATCCGTGGTGTATTTAGCGATCGCCTACTTCAAAATATATAATGAGGACGAGGAAGAAGCTCCGTTGGAGAAAAACGCGGAGGCTATAGATGTCGAGGGGGAAAGTGGAACGCCGATACCTCCGGCTAGTGGAGGAATAACACCCGCCAGTGAGGCTTTTAGGGAAGATCTAGCAAGTTTTGGCCACCACTTTAAAGTCGCTATGGTAGACGAGATGAGCCGAGATAGTCTTGTCGATGGGGTACTTACTTCTGTTTCAATAGGAGGGTAAACAAAAAAAAATACTTTTCCTTAACATCTTGACACTTATACCTGGCTTTCGTTTTAGAAACATCGCTAAAACTATGACTACCAGTATTTCGACCACAGGAGGTCCAGTAGCTGATATATAAATTTATACTACCGCCATGCCACGTCTTAATCTTTCTCAGGCTTCTGTTCCGTATTATTTCATATGCTTAGGATAAATTCGAAATCACTTTACATTTGAATACTTTATTCTCCTTCACCAATAATGTAAGTATGAAAGTTCTACTCTTTTCAAACGTACAGGGTGTTTGGTAAGTCGATGCATTCCTTGCAGGAAGTTATAGTACAACCGATTTGTGATATATTTCCTCAATATACCATATTCCGAAATCGCTTAGTTTCCGATCTACAGGGTGTTAAAGTTTTAATTAAAAAATGCAAATTTGTAAATACTGCGGAAAGCCCTCAGAATATTTTAATGAAGTTTTACAGTCTTTGACAGTTGTAAAATTTCATTAAAATATTCTGAGCGGTTTCCGCAATATTTATAAATTTGCATTTTTTATTAAAACTTTATCACCCTGTAGATCAGAAACTAAACATTTTCTGAATATGGTATATTGAGGAACTATATCACAAATCACTTGTACTATAACCTCCTGCAAGGAATGCATCGACTTACCAAACACCCTGTATATTATGAAATTACAATTTTGTTTGCAAATGTACAAACGCCCTATTTTCAACTGTCAAATCAGAAATTTCGTACTTGCTCTCTTGATATTTTTAACAGCTAAATAAGTTAAGCATTAAAGTAAAAATTATATTAACTTTTTGACATAGAATTGGCTGGATTAGATACTTTTTTTTATCATAGTACTGAGCTATGAAGCAAACTAACATTTTTTTTTATGTGACTGAAGCTATCGACTAGAAGCATAAAGGAATGTTCTGCTCTACAATGATATTGTATGTCAGGTCTATTGTTATAAGGTATATTATAATTAATTAATCAATAAGTAGCAGGCTGTGCTATTTTACTATCACGTAGGCCACCACAAGTGCTACAAAATTTTTTTAGTGAAATAATATTATTATTCCTTCTTTCGTTAAATCAGTTATTGTGAATTTTTTTGACTCGAAACAAAATTTCTAATTAAAAAAAAGTTAATTGTTACTGTATTTCTGGAGGCCTATGTAAAAATAAACCACAGCCAGCCATTTCTATAAAAAATAATAAAAATATATTTTTCATGCTTGTACAAATAATTATGACATATCCACTGTAGAGCAGCCCAAACTCTTTATCTTCCCAACACTAATTCCTAATTAAAATAGTGTAAGTTTGTTTCTCAAACTAATCCATTCTATGCCGAGAAAATTATACAGAGTAACAATTTAACCAAACTTGGACTAATCCAAAAGAGATAAATGACGTCAAAGTGAAAAATTTATATTAATTATTTTTAAATAATCTTTTCAAAATTACAGATATTGCACAAATTTGGGCATCGGCGGTTCTTTGTTGACAAATTCAAATCTGATCTTAACGCCACTTGCGTCATTTTTCCTGTCTTTAAAATATTATAACTTTTTTGCTTCTCGTTATATTTACCTCTTTGATATATTTTATCATTTTCCTATTTATTTTACGTAAAAAGGATATATCTGTCAAGTATCGCTAGAAGTAACCGTTTTCAAGATCTTTAATGTTTCGAAATAAATGGAAACCACTTCCAGAAAATGTATAATGTTGATTATTTATTAGTTATTTATTTCGTCGTATTTTATTGTGTTTTTTTATTTAAACGTACGATTTCTTTCTTTCGTGTAGACATTTGAATTTAAAAATTCAAAAAATTCTAAAAAAAAAATATAATTTCATAATACTCTTCCCTTCACTCTCAATTATTCTTCGTGTTTGACGGTTACTAAGTTTGAAAACATCTTTTATTAATTTTGTGTTTCAAAGCCTACCTTAGAAAAGTATACATACATCTCTACACCAAATTATTTAAATTCTTTGCATTGGAAACTTGGGTGAATATCTCGAAAATGGTTACTCGTAGCGACAATTGCAAAGTACACCTTTTTTACGTAGAAAAAAAAATAGGGAAATCAAAAAAAATATATCGAAGAGACGGATATACCGAGGAGCAAAAAGTTACGACGTATTCAACAAAAGTAATATGGCCCCTCTAACAGTTAAATTATGATCGGAGATTTCAATTCGCTGCCTCAAAGTATCTCCGATCTTCAAAATTTGTGCAATATCTGTAATTTTGAATGAAAATTAGGTCGAGGTTCATTTTTTTTGTATAAACTATATACTTTAGAAATGCCGTACAAAAATGTTTTGCCGAAAACCACCCCCCTTGGTGGACATGTTTAGTTTACCTGTGTACTCACCTGTACCAACAAGAATTGACGGCATAGTTTCTAAATTTATTGTTATATGTGGAAGTATTGATTTATAAGTAATTCATGCTGGGTCAAATGACCCCATGAAAATTTCCGATGGGCTTATAGTCTATAAGATTCCCTGAAATCTTTCAAATTTGATTGAGACTGCACATTTTTAAACAAAGATTTAAAAACTGAAAATATTCATTTCTTAAACAATCTTTCCATTCCTTCTTTTTAAGAGACTTTAAAGTCAATGTCTGAAATTGTGCTGTGGTCTGAAATCGACACATTTTCCATCTCTCGCGAAAGAATCTATATTTCCTTAGAGATATCTAAGACAGATATAAAAAATAGGGAATCTAGGTTCTTCCTTAGGGAAATGTACTTTTGGAGTGACATTTTTCAGGTTGCTACAAATACAATACAAATATATGAAACGCAACAATAAATCAACTGCTTCATCAGTATTCACATATGCATCATTGGGCGGTAATGTATATAAGATTCATTATACATTAAAACTGGATATTCTATACTGACACGCAATTCACGAACGACTTCGATACATCACAATCGAAGGATGGAAACAAAGAACAGGCCAGAACGTCGAATTGTAATTATTTTAAATTGCGAGGTTGAACAAAAGACTGGAGTTGAAAGCTAGAGTTTCAGTACAGGGTGAGTTATTTGACGGATTGAAAGTGATATCATAATTAATTTTCCAAAAGAGCACAAATTAGTTGGAAAGCAAATATGGCGGTAATTCAGTTGGTACTAATCAGAGCACGATTAATGGTCGGTATTTGATTTCATTTTTGTTAAATTGAACAAGAAACAATTACAATGTAATCAAAAATTTCCAGCTGTCGTCGAAATAATTTTAAGTTCATTATTTCTGGTTTTAATTAAGCCTTTTGTTCAACCCACAGCTAAAAGAAATGATTTATTGAGACTGGAATAATAAACAGCATGGACTGAGTACAACGTTCACAGAACTTAGGAGATCGAGTAATTTTTTTAATATTAATATTTAACAACATTTTTTTTGCATTTGTTTCCTGAGTTCTATGAAGAGATTTCTTATTAGTCCGTTGACAGATGATTTAAACGCTAAGTTGTGAGAATCTGCCTAATTTTTTTAGTAATTCATGAATGGAGAAATAGGCATAATAAAAGATCGAAAACTGTTAAATTAATACATTTTTTATTCTGTTCTCTGAAATGCAGAAACATTCGTACATTCCCCCCACTGAAAGGATTGTTCTAAAAAGCTATTTTTATTTTTTTCACTTAGGAGTCAGACTAGAAATGAGTATAGATTTATATTTATCCGGAGTAGCGGAATATTACTCCATATTTTATGTTTCAAGTTATTAACATTTTTAAAAATACTAAACTTCGGTGAGTCAACCTCTGCTAAAATTTTGCGCAAGTTATCTGAGTGTTTTGGTGCTGACCCGAAGAAAACTTAATAGTGTATGCGTACATAAAAAGTCAATCGCTAAATTACTGGGCTAATTTCGATTTCGCGATCTCACTCCATTTTCTCAGCTACAGAGTATTTTTCATTAATTTATTACAAACGTTTCAGTATATTTTTTAAATATTTGATCTAAATTTGATATATGCATAATTAAATCAATAAATAAAAATAACTTTTCTAAGGAATCTTGAACTATAAACGTCATTGGTAAAGTATAACCACTAGCAAAAGATGTAAATAGCGAAGAGATACAGAGATATGTAGATTTTACCTCTCTTTTGAATTTAATTTTCTCTTTTGAATTGAAAGAGTGAACTTATACTTAAGAAAATATACGAGAACGATCTTTTATTATGGAAGTTGTACGACTAGTGACTGAATATGTCTAGTGTATTTGTCTTTATCCACAAAGACGAAAAAGAAAGTCAAATAGCCCTTAGAGATGGAAATAAACTTTTCAAATTTCGTTTCATTTAACTAAATTCATGTTGAAACAGAAGTAGATTTGACATTGTACTTTTTGCAAAGAGACAAGAGAAATATATATGTTATTTCTATTTTGTGGAGATGATGGATACAATGCTGTATCAGAGTGAATTTAATTATTTATTATTGCCCATAAAGCATCCTATTCATCATTCTATTTAATGTAAATAAGTACTAACATTTATCTTGAGAAATTGTTAAAGCATTTAAGAATGTTGTTAAAAGTTTATAAAAAGAGGAAGATGTTTCGTTTATATAAATAATCGTGTACAGTTTATCGAATTTATAGATAATCTGTAAATTGGACATTGTTCAATATTTTGCCTTCTTATTCTTGAAAATACCTATAAGCATTTGTAATATTTTTAATACTCATAGATAAACAGATATTAAGGTGATATATTACTTAAGACCGAAGCCAGATGATAATGGATTGCATTTTATAACAACTCCGTTGAAATATACTCCCATAGAAAAAAGTTACCGCTCCATATTTTGTAATAGAAGTCGAATAATTGTTTATAACACAAAACAACAAGGTTTATTTCTGCGAAGTAGACCACCCAAGTAATGGCAATTTTTTACTAACTACAACTTTTACATAACTTTGCATTGTTGAAAAGGTTATATTTGCTGAAAGATGTTTGAGAAATCTACAGGTATTTCAGAATTATTGTTGAATTGCATACACTATTTCTTTTAAATTAAGTCTAAAATTCTTTTCAGATAAAGTAATATGTGTTCTTCGATACCAATCTCTATATAAGTTAAAGCGTACCTAGACATTTGTACCAAGAACATAATATATAACTGATGAGAGTTTAAGAAAAAGGTTTACACTTAATTTGATTTAGCTTAATTCCTTTTAAAATAAAGGAATGTAAAAAACCAATAACAAAAAACGTACCTACAGTTTGAAAAATACTGTTTGTGTTAAATTTCCCTTCGCAAATTGCTTGAAAACATTTAAGAGGGTTTCGATTACATTTTACATAGGCTAGCACGTCATAAATTCGAACTCATAAATCGTGTATCAAATAGAGTTAATGTAAAAAAAATATGATAAAGCTAGTTCAGTATTATAGGGGTGAGCATTTTTAGAATAACTAAATTATATATAAGTACAAATGAAGCGATAAGAAAAAAAATGCCTTTATTGCTAGAAATTTCGAATGCCATCCACAGTAATGGTGCTCTTATACCATTCCACCTTATAAATATTTTGGCGTACGTAGATTAACTGCCAATTGTTACCATCATAGACATTAAACTAGTGTTACATCAGTAGGATAGCTTTGTAAAAAATTACATTATATCTGGCTACGGCTTAATAGATTAAAAATGTTTATAAGTTTACAGTGCAAATAGTATATTTATACAAGGTGGATCACTTTAGAACGAGTGGCCTTTCTACCAGATGAATCCGTGGTTGTGATAAGTTACATGAATTCTTCACGAAACAGGAAGTATTAACGGGCCCTTAAAATATGCTATTTTTGGATATATAAGTGATAGATACGTTTCGAGTGAACCACCTTGCATACAGAGCCCCATTCCTCATGCCAAACTGCTCAAGATACATACTGTACAAGGCAAAAGAAAAGTTTCTCGTACTTAGCTATATCTTGGTGTCAGTGACTGTGGGACAACTCAAGCGATGGATATACAGGGTGGTCGTTGAATTTTTACAATTTATGTTTACTGTAACTTTTTATATTTGGCATAGACTCTACGTCACTGAAAGTAAACAGACTCTTAAAACATAATTCCAAAATTCCAGGATCGTATTGGAAAAATTCGTACCCTTTTGAAACGACACAGAAAAGTTTACCCTGTATATATTTCGTACTTTCATCTAGTGCATTGAAAGCACATTAATCAGCCATTTTATATTTCACATACATTTTCCTCAAGTTCTGAATTAGCTTCTCAATATTATTTTAACAGGGGTAACAGTTAGGGCTAATATCTTCAAAAGTTCAATGTTAATAATACCGCGACAGGATTAAAAAATCAGCTCTGTATTTTATACGATTTGTTAAAAAAGATATTAGATTTACTGAGAAAACTTATTCATGTGTCATATTGGAAATATCGCTCTGTATATTTGTCAGGAATTTTTAACGAAATCTACATTACAAATATTGAAAATTATTAAGTAAAGCTAATACAGTCCCACAAAAAAAAATTCAGTTCATCGGACTAGACTACTATATCCTTATGTTTTCGAGGTTGCTTTGAGTCCGAATCCGAGGTCCGTTTGACCTTGTCAGGTCAGGTTAAAGGTCATTTAAAGTCAAACTGAGAAAAATTCCCTATGGTGGAGGCAACCATAGTTATTATATGTTTTTGGGGTCACTGGCCTTGTTAGGTCAACTTCAAGGTCATTTTAAGGTCAAACTGAGGAAAATCCTCTATAGCGGGGGCAACCAAGGTAATTAAATGTTTTTTCGGGTCACTGAGTCTAAATTGGGGTTCCTTTTGTCCCTACCGGGTCAAGATCAATGTCATTTTGAGGTTAAACTGGGTAATTTCTAAATAGGGTTTAGTGGGAATACTCCTTTTTTGGTCGCTTAATTAGGACTCCATTTGATCTTGTTGCATCAAGGTCAATATTATTTTAAAGCTACTTAATTCTAATACCTATTAGTTGGCTTGTCTTACAAAGCAATTTGGTTTGACCTTGAAATGACGTTTAACCTGACCTGACACGGTGAAACGGACTTCGGATTCGGACTCAGCGACCTCTAAAACATATAATAACCATGGTTGCCTCCACCATAGCGGATTTGTCTCGGTTCGACCTTAAAATGACCTTTAACCTGACAAGGTGAAACTGACCTCGATTCGGACTCGAAAACTTAAGGATATAGTGGTTTAGTCCGATGCATATAATTTTTTTTGGGGCTGTGTTATTTTTCATCTCTCTAAGACGAGGAAATAATTTTGTTACTTTAAGTGCCTTATCTAAATATACGGGGTGTCCCAAAAAGACGAATTCTCCTGATAATTTTTCAAGATTGAGTCATCGAAAAAAGTTTCAGAAAAAAGTTATACGATAGCGATCTTGGGATTTGACCTTGATCTTAAGTTTGAAGGTCAAACCAAGGTGAACTTGAAAATATTAAACGAAACGTCTTATTTTTTATGCTAGCAAGCGATAGGGCGCCAAATTTTACATCCCAACTGTATGTCCTTGCAAGGTCAAACTACTTTTTCTATGATAAACTCGACCAGAATGCATTAAATAAAATTTGTGAGATTTTGAACTTACAAATTAATTGGTGGTCCTGGATTTGACCTTCGCCACAAGTTGCAAGGTCAAGCAAATTAAAATTTGATGAAAGGCCATTCTGGAAGGTGATATCCAATAAGTTTTGACGTCAAATCCAAGGTCACCATCTAATGTGTCATTTATAATCCTACAAATTGTGCTTAAAATATTTTTGTCGAGTGATTTAGAGAAAAATGAGGTTGACCCTCAAATGACCTGTAAGGACGTACAGAAAAAAATTTTGGACCTCATACTTGTACGTTAAATCGATTTCTGGCATAAAAAAAGGGATCGAGTATTTTTGGAATACCCGGTATAATAAATTCCGTTTAATTATAAACTCACGATGTTCCCGCTATGTTCTGTAAACTTGGGAAAAATACAATAGTCGTGGTACTATATAACACTAAACTGAAGTGTAAAATATTGGCTCTAACTGTTTCCCTTGTTAAAATAACATTAAAAAAGTGTGTTATCAGAATTTCGTTAATAATTGTAAAGAGGATGAGCCTAACAAAAAAGCCAAATGTATGGTTTTCCCATTAGCTCATGTACTTTGAATATTCTATACGAAAAATATACGGATTGACTTCAAGGATCTGTATTTGGTGCATAATGAAAATAAATTAATTCCCATTCAAAAGCTACATCAAAAATAAATCCACAAATTTTCACCGAGCACTTTTTATGTGGTCATTCATGAAACGCTTTGTATAAAATCATCAAGGCAAAAAATTAAAATTGACGTCAAGGTGTTCCAAATGTTGGTTAGTCAGCGCGATCAAAAATGGGGACAATAAAATAATATATCTGTAGATGTACAAATATGAAATGAGACCGATCTATGTAGAGAAAAGGGAAAGAGTTAAATAAGGTAATACATCTTTTGTGTCTTTGACAGTTTGGCATGTGGATATGGTCATTAAGTATGTGCATTTTATGCTGTTTTAACAACCGTAAGAGTAAAAATATAAACTGTGTAAGAGTTTAACAATCTACAGCAGAAAATATAAATCCCTTCTTCTACCATACAGTTTGCACTAGGTAAGTCACGCAGGAAGACGATTTATAAAGAAAACCAGCAGTATGTTTTCAGTGGATCTGCTGTTATTAAACTTTAAATGTTTATAAATGTAAAGCATTTAATTTAAATTATATAGTTAAAATTTGAGCGGTCAATTATTTTGTGTCCATCTGACTTGCACCGCTTTTCAAGTCAATGTTAAAGCTGTGCCCAAGCTTACGTTTAACGCGCTGCAAGCGATACGGCTCGTGTGCACGGCACGTGCGATACGGCGCATCACAGCACGTGCCGTATAGCATATGTGAGAGAGACGTGCGCGATAATGTCGGGGGAAGTTGGATTTCCAACAACAATTGAAATACACGTGACAATGTATGTTGTATATTATCTATCTAATCTAGTTCGTTGCATTCATTCTATACGCGAATACAATATACGTCACTTGATAGCAATACACTGTATTTCAAATGTAGCTTGACCGTGGCATCTAAAGCTTCTGCAAGGGCGTTTTTCAAATTTCTCTCTGTGTGTGAATCCTGGCTTTATTTCAGTGAAAGGGACCAAAGGGGTGTATTAAATGCTTTGTCATTATTGGGATATTTTGCACGGATGAGTATAGTAAAATTTATTAAGCAGTTAGTAACTTTTAATAGATTCAAGAATATTTTGCAAATATATCTATTTTTACGCGTATTTATTTGCCAGTGTTGCAAAAATATATGATATGCGGTGGGTACTGGCATTTCATAACTAATAAAAATATCAATATCCCCATCTTTCCCCATTTCGCGGTCTAAAATTAGAAATGAGGTTACTCAGTCTCATCAAACGATCTTCAAAAGGAGAAATAGCAACACTACTTACGATGGTACTCTTAAACCTGAATAAATAAAATGTTTTAAATTCGAATCCGTATTTACTTCACATTTCAGATTTACGTACTTTCGAAACTGTAGCGAATTAATTTTGCTGGCGCGAATTTTTATTTACAAACCTTAATTCGTTACTAACTGTCGAAATTTTGCTACACCCTTAGAAAAGAGTGTCCTTACGCATGCATGTAAACTTATATAACTGTATTAAAAATTGTTAAAACCATTTATGTGTCAGATTTTGGCATTGTTGTTCACTAAATAGATGAGTCGACAGCTTTAATAATTGTACTGACTTACCGCTAAATATTTTGGTTTAATCTTGTTATATACCACAACCTTTAACTAATTTGTGATACACTGCTCATGTAGGAGTTAAATACATATTTCAATAATACACATTACCAACTTGTTTTTTTTCCTGTCCTTTAAAACCAATTTATATCGCGTCCGCAGTCTATTAAATTCATATCACATTCCATGCAGTTTTAGATTATTCTGAGTCATGAGTTGTGTCATTTTAATGGAAGTTGAATTCTACGGCAACACAATTTTTTAACTGGCGATAAGCTAAACGACAGGCACATATTTTTTAATCAATTTGTGTGATTTTTAAAGTTATTTGAAAAATTTTCTACAGGGATTTCAGCTTGTTATAATATGAATTTTTTTAAAACTCTGTTTTTGTTATTAAATGGTAAATATCTCAGAAATTAATGATAATATAGGCTTTATAAAAATGAAAAAACATAACGTGTATTTTCAGTTTTCAAAATAAAATACAGGGTGATTCACTTAAAAAATTTGAGAAAATTATGTGCTCGAGTTTTGGCTCGCCCTATATTCACCTGCTGCAATGATAAAGAAATAGCAGTTTCTCGTAAAACTGTACCAATATCAAAAAGTTATGCCTGCAAAAAATTGTTGTTAAGTTGTTCTGTTTAGGGTATACAGGACGCTGAAATGGGAATAGTTGACCATAACTTTTGAAATACCCTGTATAACATAATTAAACCCTATATTGGAAGCATAGCAGAGACGAGCTTAATATAAATTTGAAATAATATATAGGGTGTCCCATTTAAAAAATAGTATGTTTGGTTCACCCTGGTAATACGTAACACTCTGTATATACGAAAATAATTTTAAAATGTGCATAATTTTTTTGATATCTTCTATAATAAAGGAGATATCGTACTTCGACGCACTAATGCCGCACCCTGTATATTCGGATAACATGTTTCCTTAGGATTACAGTTATACGAGGTCTGATCAAAAAGAAAGTGGAATTTTCAAATTGCGCGTGTTGTATCTTGTCTATCGAGTTGAATCTTTTTTTGTGTATTGTCAGTGACGTACCTGTCAATTTTTTTGGCAGCTGCCACGCTTAGATTGTGTTTAGCGAGCGAATGAGTAAGACTTATCTCAGTGTTTTGGCGATTTTTTGTGTGGCGAAATGTCGGATCAGATATCTTGTGTTAAAAACGGAATTAAGGCCAAATATACCTTAGTCCAAAATTACTTCATTCACAAGTTTCAGTTTTTGAAAAGATACGCAAATATCTCGAAAGAGGAAGACCAAAATTCACTAAATGTGTATACAATTATATTAAACAGTGATATACTGAGGAACACCATCATAAAAAAATCTCAAAATTTCGAGTGATAGTTACCCAGGTCAACATTTAGTTTGAAAAAAAAAACACCGGACTCTACCTAGGTACCCATAGGTTTTTTGGGTCGCTGATTTCGATGCCGAGGTCGGTTAAGTTCTGTCACGCCAGGTTCAAGGTCATTTAAGGTCAAACTAAGAAAAGGTGGTTGAAAAAAATCTGAAAAAATTCATATATAGGTTTCTTTGGTCGCTGAGTCGAATCCGATGTCGGTTGACCTTGATCACCTCATGTTCAAGGACGTTCAAACTCATTTAGGTCCTGGTGCATTTTTTCTCCTTGTTCTTCGCTAAACCCTGCCAGATTTTCTGGGAACCAATCAAGATGAGAATGAAGAAAATGAAGTTTCAGGTTCATATGACATTTAGACAGAGGGTGGCAGATAAACAAACAGATAGAAACATTTAGTCATTTAGTCAGACAGGAAGATGGACAAAATTACCGACAGAAAGGCAGGTAGAAAGGTAGGATGTCAGGTAGATGAAATACAGGCGGACTATAAATACGGACTAACAAGCAAACAAATAGGTGTGCAGGTAAAAAGGCATACAGATAAACAGACAAAAGTAAGCAGGTGAGTATTCGTAAAAATTTTTCTCAATTAGTTTCACCTCCTATTCTTACTTTAACCTTCAAATGACCTTGAACATGAGGTGATAAAGGTCAACCGACATCTGATTCAGATTTAGCGACCCAAGAAACCTATGTTTGAATTTTTTCAGATGTTTTCAGCCACCTTTTCTTAGTTTGACCTTCAAATAACCTTGAACCTGCCGTGATAGAGCTTAATCGACCTTGGCATCGGAATCAGCGAACTAAATGTTGATCTACGTTATCATTTAGAATTGCAAAGACAACTTTAAATACAACATAATTGTTAAAGAAGCAAATTTCTACGCCACTGAATTTTCAAGACTTTTAATGATTACATTCATTTAAAAACGTATTTGCAATAAAAATTTTCCATACATTTTCGATTTGTTCAACTGTATTTTATTCTGTTCGTTTTAAGGCTAAAAGTGAATGTCTGCCTTTATTTTTTTTGTCCCCCTCGTTTAAATACACCCCGTATAATACTTTAAATAAAGTCGTCTCGTGATAAACATACATTTTGTGTTTTATTCCTCAATCTAGTTTTAGAGGTTGTTTGTTTAGAGAGGCATAAAAGTAAACGCCATTGAAGCTCAACAAAAATAGGATTAAATGATGAGTAATTGAAACCTGCCGATTTGTGAATAGATTTCTAATTTTTACAAGTCTACATATCTATAACATTAAACGCTGAATAAACATCCAAATGAATAATAAAGCTTGATCGTTATTAGGTTCCAATCGTTTTATAGGTGCGAAAACCTGTATACGTTCAAAACATTGTGAAAAATACAAACAGAAAGCGAACAACTTTATACAATAAAAAAACGACTTCAGAAAAGTGATTTTACTCCATTGTTTTCTCGTTGTAGTTGTTGAGTTTACTTTTCATTTTACAACGGAAAGTTCTTGCTAACTTCTACAAGGGTGTTACAATTTTTGCAAATCCTCAGCCTGCTATTAATTTTTAAAATTATACTTTTTCGTGCAAACTTAATATTTAATAAATTAAAGAAAAATCATAGGAGGCTAAGTTAAGGGGTGTAGAATAGCGTTGAGTTTTATTAGATTTAAAAAAATGCTAATATTATTTTAAAAATTGGTTCTTGTATAAACAGGTAAGTGACAATCGTATTTATTTTAAATACGCATTAAATGTATTTTATTTTGTATGGTCTTATATGTCTGCAGTAACTGACTAGTGTTTGTTTACGAAGCGTTTTAAATATAAACTAATAACTAATTTCAGAGAAGCATGCAAATGTTTGCGGAAGATTAACTTTAGTATGTTGTGTTAAATTACCAATTTATGTAACCTCAAGGTTCAAATATTAATAGTTTGTTTTTCGGTTAGATCTTGATTATTTGCTAAATATTAATTAATAACCCGCTCTTTCTGGACGTGTTCTGAAAGCTTAAGTATAGTACCGAGTCGACCATAAAAAACATCACGCTGCAGTAAGCCAGGTGATAGATGTTGATTTGATAGTTGCAAAGAGAGGACGTGATTTTTCGTTTAAGTTTTGTCTACGTGTACACGGAGAAAACTGTTTTTTTATATTCAATAGATGTGTCAGATTAAATCGTATTTAAAAAATTATCAAGCATGTGTCTTTGTTTTTCTTTGTAAATGAGGTTACTTGTTTGTACTTATTTTGTCTCCTCTATATGTGATATTGATTATGATTTTAATTTGAGTCTCATATTTTTTTTATATGTTTTACGCTTAACTACATTATTTGTGGTTTTCTTTTCACCAGCAAAAGTACAATTTCTGAAAAGTTAAAAAACAATTAAGTTATTTCATTTACAAGTCGATTGTCGATTTGCATCACTGTGCGGCGAGTTGAGCAAGTCGAGTGGTGTGACGTCACAAATGCTCTGTGAACGGATTGGTTCGTTTAAAATATCTTACGAATTAGAAACTATTTATAAGGGTTAATGTTAAAGCTAACGATTTTTTACCGTATATTTAGGGGGCTAAGTGCATAAGGAAAATGTAAAAACAGGTTATACATCAAATATTACCGAATGATCGTATTGTGTGTAACATTGAGTTAAAAGAACCGTTTTCTCCATGTAGAAAGAAATATTTACATAACAGGTTGCCGGTATTGTGGTACTGGTTAACGATCTAGAGGGGTGGTTTAAATGTACTGGGAAGTGTCCCTTTACACGAGAATCAGTAGGCGAGGAACAGGTGGTTGGGAGAAGAAAAATGATGGTAGATCCGCGAGGTGTAGCGGATTTAAGTTGGCTTTGTAATAAATAGTATATTATAAAGAGAAGCCGCAGTTAGCAGGCCAGCAAGTCCAAGTGAATACGGTCGCAGCCCCCCTCCGTCAGTGACCAGCCGGGAGTTGAGTTTAGAACGGCCAACGGACGGATTAACGTTTAGTAGACGGAGGGAGCCTACCTGCTGTTCTATAGTTTGTGTACTGTTGTAATGGCTGACAGTGACCACATTCTTTATTAGTGGCGAGTGCGGAGCGCGAACAATGGGCACCGTGGCGAACCGGTCCGGTGGCCGGACAACCATATGGGTGAACAATCGCCTGGCCCTAGAGACGCGAGAGTGGAGAGGATGAGCGTTGGCCGACGACGAGGGGTCCACCTGAATCTCCGGCATGTCCAGGTGGCACGAAGAGTGCCTCGGCCGGTGCGAGGACTGTACCACTGCCGCCACCGCTTGCACTCACCGAAAACATCAACATTCCCATGAGGATTCGTACAAAAGGTGAGTCGACTTAGTTTAAGTGGGTCCTGCTGTTATTAACTGCGTTTTCAACGCCCGCAGATTCATGACCATCGGCCCGGTGCGGTACGGCATGCGTGTGGGTGCCGTCTCGCCGCCGCCGCCCGGGGCCGGCCCGCGGTACCGCTCCCAGTGCTGTTGGCCCACAACTCCCTGCGGTGACAGTGGCTGCGACATCGTTCCCATATCCCGGATCCCGCTACTCACCACGCCGCCTATTAATAGCTTAGATATAATTAGTTGCGCAAATAGAATGAGGATGAACGAGGATGCTACGTCAGATCAACCGCTGGCCGAGCAAGCGTCGGCGACAGTGCGCGATCATGTACTCTACACTGGCAAGTGCTTGTTAAAGACCCAATTGAAACGTTGTGCCCTGGTGCGACCTCAAGTGTACACGAGACTAGCTGAGTACGGGGAAGCCAACGGCAACAAGGAGGATAACACCCTGGACCGTCTTCCCAGATTCCGCTTTGGCGGAAACCGCGCTGCCGCCGCCGACAAGAGGGGTAATGATCAGCGGTTTAGGGAACTGACGGACAGACTGAAAAGGGGGGCAGTGCCGGTGCCGCCGCCTCGTTCTAGGCATTCGTCCCGCACCACTCCGCCGATCTCGCCGCAGCCAGTGCTCCAGCAGGAAGATTTTTCGAACCGCGTTACTCCCCTGCGCAGCGCGTCGTTCTCTCAAGTGGACTACTGCACCGACGATAACAAATACGTGAGGAGGCGACCTTCACCCAGTCAAGAACAAGACGCCAACACCTCCCCCAACAGAGAAATATCCACGCTGCCTCGATCGAAAAACGCCCAACGCCCGACCACCCCCACGTCGGACCCTTCGCCCTCCTTCAACAAACCACAAGTGTCCATAACGGATACGGACGACCACGAAGACGTGAAGCAACTTATCGAAAGCTTAAGCGAACAACCCCCCGAACCCGCGCAAATAAATAAGATTCCAGAAGTTGAAATCACCTCGGAATCACCGGAAAAACCGGCAACGAGATGCCAGGACAGCCTTAATAACAACCAAGACAGAAAGAGAGACAAATCGAGGCGCAGGAAAGGCATTTACATATCCCAATGGCCAAACCCTTATCAGTCAACTGAAGATGTCATCCCCCAGTTCGTCCAAGACGGAGACTTCCCCTGCGCCGACAAAACCACCAAACTCCTTCAAGACTCCCTTGTAGAGATATCGAAACTACAAGCTCAAGAAGAAAATAAAAATAAAGAATTTCCCATTTGGAGCAGCCCGCAAGAGGAACCTCTAAGTCCCGAAGAAAACAACTTACCTCCGGATTGGCCCAGACCCAGACTTTTATCTCAATCACCCGACGAAAAAGACTGCCTAAAAGTAACACCTCGCGGTATTAACTTGTTTAGATCCGACTCGTTATCGGAGGGTGAACCCGAGTCTGGTGAACGCAAATCCGACCAAATTTCGCTTGCCCCATCAGACGTATCCGACTGCGAAAGTCGCCTCAGCGCGAGCACCGAACCCACCAGCCCTAATGTTCCAAGAAGGTATTCGAAGAGACCTTTAAGGGGCCCCTACGGTCAAATGTTGGAAGCAGAAATGAAGAAACCCGAATCCAGGAAGAACCTCAACAGTGATTTGAAATTTCTAGAGGATCTATCGTCTATCGTCGGAACGTCCACAAATAACACGCCCAAGCCAAAACAAACAAGGACGAGGGGTTCTTGTAACAGCTCCCTGGACGAAACCTCCACGAATAAAGAAAACAAAGGAAGTGGCAGTTACTTGCATTCACCGAAACAACAGAACAAGAGGAAAGTTAGTGCTGATAATTTAGTTGTTAACGAAAATGACAAAAAAATCGTTGTTAGTCATCAACGCACAACATCTAGCCCTTCGAAGTTAGAAGGGTTTACTAACTCGGAATTAAGCAGTGAGTTACTTGAACAATTGTTACGGGGGAGTTCTGAACAACTAGCAGCAGCTGATGCCAACCAACAACTGCAAAATGTAAGTGGATCTATATACGTATATATATATATATATATATATATATATATATATATATACAGTGTGGTTCGCATTTCATTAATCAAATAACAAAAATAAAGATTAGGATCCAATTCATTTCTTGTAAAATGTAAAACGCACTGTATATATGTTAAACGTGGCTGATATTTCACATTAGTAAGCTAAAAATAGCCGTCGGGGAAAGGAACATTTGAAAATGATAAACGATTTAAAACCGTAACATGCTGTGTATGTTAAAATGCATAAGAAACAAGTATCATAGCACTTGCTTATATTTGTCAAGAAAATGTAACAGTGTGTTGTTAACCTACTAATTATTTATAGAAAGTGTAAGTAATATGATTTTCATATACCCAGGTAGAGTCAATTTTATGATTAATTATTCAACAAAAAATATGGAGCGTGACTCTAGTTCTCTGAAATCTAGTTTCTACAGATCATATTCTTGTTATGCTATGCCAGTAATGGAGGTTTAGCATTTTTTCCTGAGATGACAATGCATGAATGAATTTGAATAGCATCCAAAAACTACATCAACTTGCAATAAACAGTCTGTAATAGTTGGACTTCGAATTAATTTTGTAATAACGATTTTAATTGTTGAATTAATACGATTGTAATTTAAACATTTGTTGACCATTCCAAACACTTAACTACATCTGATTAAACGACGCGTCATCATCTTTTTTCCGCGCTAAGCACTTTTTATACTCTTGTTAAAGAGAGTAAAATTAATTCGTTATAGGCATGCGACTGAATTTGAACCCTACATATATTTTCATTCGATTGTTGAATCAGTTTAATTGAACTTAAAGCGCATTTTTGGTATTATTAGAAAGAATGCGATTTAATGCACAAACTCAACCCACTACACGGAATGTTTTTAAGCAAAAACTATTACAGTCCAACTAGAATATACAATACAAAAAATTTTGCCACCTTTAAGAAATCATAAGAAATCCAGCGGAAAAATGTTTTCCAAATATTTACCTCCCTTTCGAAAGATCCATGGGCTTCATAATGTTTTTTGGGCAATCCTGCCTATCAGCTTTTTTAGTTTGATTCATCATCTTTAATTTGTTCAAGAGCTTTGTATAATGATTAGCCTCTGGGTCATCGTCGTTAAAACTAAAAATTACTAATTCGTGAAACCTCAAAATATCCTTTATAAGAAGTTCTTATCGTTTTTTGATGAAAAAAATTTTTACGATGCAAGAAAATTAAATATCGGAAAAAGAAAAACTACGCTAAGAATTTTTTATGCTCTTTTTAAATAGAATAAGACAACGTACGTTGATAACATAGTTCATTAATGTTTCTACATGCATGCGATTGAATTTGACCCCTAGTATATTTTCATTCGAGTGTTGAATCAGTTTAATTGAATTTAAAGTGCATTTTTGGTATTTTTAGAAACAATGCGATGTAATACACAAACTGAACCCACTACACGGAATGTTTTTAAACAAAAATTATTACAGTCGAACTAGAATATACAAAATCTATCGTAGGATTTACTCACGGGGCTAAAAATAAACTTGTTATTTTAGTCAAAATAAATTTAAGACCACCTATATGTTATGTGGCAAAAATTCACTAAAACAAACCTTACATTGTCAGATTTACTTAATTTTCTTGACGGATATTAATAGCAATTAATGCAAATTTCCGACGTTTCATATAATTTTATCTCTTTACGTCAAACGTATATATTAAGTCATGTAAGCTGCACAAGCGATCGATCGATAAGTTCAAAATTTTTGCAAAACCATCTTTTACCTTGTAGTAAATATTTTGCTAAATTCTAAAACAAATTATAACTGACAGGTAAAATACCTGATGATGAAACGCAGAACTTATGCAACGTATATCCTCAAATGGATCCTAGATTACATATAAGTACGCTCATATTACCATGTCTAAACATCGTTAAGATTTTAATGGAGTGTCATTAAAATGGAGATATTACTTCTTAGGCAATGAAAGAGCAAAGCACTAACAACTGGTGCTAAATCTTCCTTTTTTAGGTAGAACTCTTGAAATAGTAAAAGTTATCCAATATACGTGTTAAAAATAACATTAGCAAGATTAAAGATAAACTAAAGATAACCTAAAAAGGCTGTAACTTGGAGAAAAATGGTCTTAGGACAATAAACAAAGCAAATTGAAGCTTGAAGCATTTGAAATCAAAAAATTTGACCACCTTTCCGATTGTTTTTGACCTCAAAGTATCCCAAAGAAACCCTCAAGAGTTCAAACCGCTATAATTTTCTTTTCATTGTGATCAGAATGATTGAAACTGTTTCTTTTGCTAAAAATCAATTAAGCAAAAATCCTTAAATCCTTTACCTTTTTTTCAACTGATTTTTTTTTATCAGAAAACGACAAGAACCTCTTAGAGGATACTTTAAAGATTTCAAAACCCTGCTTAAATTTTCTGAATCAAACTAAAAAAGCTGACAGGTGGGATTGCCCAAAAAAAATTCCGCGGTCCTTTTGAAAGGGAAGAAAACGTTTTGAATTTTTTTCCCGCTAATTTCTAATGATTTCTTAATCGATAAAAATTTCTGACGTTCAGATCCTAAAACTAGAAAAACTAGGAACTTCTAGTTTAAATTTGCTTTTTTTATTATCAAGTTACAGCTTTTTGAAATTCACCTAAAAAATTTTTTATCCTCTAATTTTTGTGACTAGCACTTCTAGATATTGCATCATCAAAGTTCGAAGTTTAAATTTATTAGTGTAGTGTAAAAAGTTAACGATGTACATGATCATTTTTTATGCCTTCTTATTTCGCTTCATCACTTTTAAATCGAAACCCTGCTCCGTGTACACGACAAAGATACTGATCCGTATCTACCTCATGTGGTTCAAGACTGTTGCTATCCTCATTCATTGTTGTGTGGGAGAAGAAAAATATCATTGACCCCGACCCATCATTGAAGAAATGTCTACGTACCTATCACTTTTCATTAAATATGTTAATTTGACTAAACAAAAGCCAAACCAATTTAACGTGAAATCCGTCACGAAAAATGACAACCAGAACTGGATTTATATCCAGCAGAATCACGAACCCACCTACATGAAGTGAATTTGTTTTTAAGAAAATTTAGCGATGAATGGGAAAAGACACTGGCGCAATGTATACTCCGAAATGAAAAGTTATGCGGTAATACGAGTGCAGAGAGTTAAAAATAATGGTTTATTGATTTAAGGAATACAGATGAAAAATATTTTTATTAATTCAATTCAACACCCTGCTTGTGAGAAACGAGATTTTGAGAACAGTCATTGTTTAGTTCACTGAATCGCTTTGCTAAATAAATCCAAGGAATTTTTATTACTGCGAATTATAAAAATTATCAGTAGTTATATGAAAACGTAAATTTTGTTTTGAAGTTATTATCGCTGTGATACTTGTTTCAATTTTAGTAAGTACGGTTCAAAAAGAAACATACCTCGAGGATACCACGTGTCTCGTTCCTTTGTGAAATCGAAAGTGTAGCAATATTTTTTAAATTAAAGTATCTATTTACTTTGCCAGCAAACTGTATTTACACTGAAAATTGACTCATTTAAACTTAATAAACGAGATATTTTTGTACAGAAAGGAAAATTTAATTAACTTGAATAAGATGAAATGAAACTTCAAAGAGTAAATAATCTATCTTACGAGCTTATTTTTAATTAAAAAAAAGGAAAAGTAAAAGAAGATTTTGAAGGTTTTAACAACTGACAAACTTTTGTTTTACTTGTTTTCTTAAACGTTATTAGCGGATTTATTAAAGTTCAGAAGTATATTAATTTCGTGCTTGTCTTTGTTCAAAGCGATTTTATTGTTGTCAGAAACGAGATAATAATTTTTTTCTTTAGTATACAGTATATAAGACGTTTTTTATTTTAAATGTCATGCCCCCTTCAACTTTGAAGGGGTTAAATTTGACATCAGAGATATGGACTATTTGATGACAGAATCGCACCGTTGCCAAATTGCTGCTTTTTAAGATATAGCAGGAACTTAATTTTTTAAGTAAAACACCCCGCTAATTTGAGTAGTACGCTTTCTCTTCTGTCACGGTGGTATAAAGTTTGATGGGCCTATCTCCAATACTAAGAGATAAGCAGAATGCTTTTACTATTTGTCAGGCTTATTTATATTTAGCAATCGTCATTTATGATAACCTTTCTAGCTTGCTTATATGTAACAGGGTGTTGTAAAAATGATTGTAACGCATTTTTTCCTGTGGACCATGTGTCTATCGTCTCTTATTTTTGAAATGTTATAAACGATTTTCTAAAATCAAATTTTAGCCATACCTTTTCAAGAAAGTGGTGCATTACATTGAAATTTGGTACAAGTAAGTTTTAAGGTGTTAGTTTTTGACCATCCGCTAGACGTCGCTGTTTATTATCTCTCCTAGTGACATTTTATGACGAATATTCGTGGAATTAAGTTTTTTACAGAGTATCTTTTATGATAATGTAAAATTTCGTTTAGATCAAGTTCCTTAAAAAGAAAAAAAAAATCAATTTAATTTTTTTGAACTTCTGTAACTAAGGAAGCAAAATCGTAAAAGTAAATTGATCTAAAGTAGTATATTTTCATCCAAAGAAGGAACTCTTGAGGCGTAGTCCATTCGTTTGTAGACACTCTGTATACTGGTTGACTTTGGGATAGTTAACTGCGTTTTTCCAGCGATTTATAACAAAAATCATCTCCTGCATTTTCTTCGCAGACTGCGATTTAACCGAGATATTGAAGAAAAACAAATAAAAAAGCAATTTTTGCACAATAAATAGTTAATAATATTTTTTCCTCACCATGTGCCGCTTGTGCATTTTAATATAATGCCCTATAACATATTTATAGCCGATATATGAAAAAATTTTGGGGTTTATTGAAAATGACCACAATAGCTATCTCAGACGCAAACCTATTTGTACGGATCTGTACTCATTTCCGCAACACCCTGTATACTTGCTGCAAGCCTAGCCTAACAAAATGTAAACAACTATTATTGTGAAACATTGAGTAAATTTCAAAACAATTATTGTTTTCAAGTTTTTAAATAAAATGTACAGATTTTGTAGTCCGAAGATAGTGTTGTGCTTAAATTTTAGCTCAAATTTTAGTAATTATGAATCTCTTAAAACAGGAACTTAACTTTTAATCAAATTATGAATTTGAAAAATATGTAATTAAAGTACCCAAAGATTCACGTCATCCAAATAATCATACGTATTAAAAATAATTTAATTACTTCCCAAAAAGCAACTGTCACATTGCTCAATATGAATTTTATTGAATTTTAAATTTATTACAACGCTAATTACTTTTTAGAATTAAGCATAGAGGTTCAAAAAAGTGATAAACATTGTACTTTATGGTATTCTATGCACGCAGTTATGTCAATATTCCTTAATTAATCGAAGTTGAAGATTTCGGTAATTTTTTTCTCGGAAATGGTTGGGTTTAGGACCCATGTCATATAAGGTTTTTTAAATTTATTTTAATGTATTCTATCGTCTGCTAAAATTAAGGCAGTCAAACTTCTAACACCCTGTATTTGGTTGCTATCTCCATTACTGTTACAGATACATCCAACATTATACCACTGCAATCTTTAAGAGGCAAATAAATTAAAATATACAGAAAATATACCCAATAAAAAAATTAAGGCAGCCGAATAATGTTCACATTTTTTTAGTGGTTTTTGAAAAGCTGTAACTTCGTGAATAATGGTCATATCGAATCTTGAAACTTGAAGATTCTAGTTTTGAAATTTTGAGAGGAAAATATTTTCTCGGCGCAATCAAAAAAAATATCGCAAGGCAAAATTTTTTTTTTCAAAACTGCTCGTGGTCTCAGAAAAATTTTTTTCTGGCTTAATCAACGCCAGGGCCATTTAGCCTAATTCCTCAGCTTCAATTTGTTTTTTTTTATTTTACACACGATTATTTTTCATTAAGATATCGGCTATTTACTGAAAAGTCACTTTTTTTTCGAACAGCGAAAGGAAGATGAGTTTTGGAAACTTGAATCAATCCTCTTCAAGGGCCTCCTGGTATGTTTGAGATATTTTTTTATACTTGGCATTAATTTGAATAAGTGTAAAAAAATTACTTTTTTTGATGTTTTGGGAAATACTTTGCGAATATTGCGAAAAGTACTAATGTTTATAGGTTTTCTGTTAGCTCAATACATGCCCATCCATTAGACCTATAAATTTTGAAATTGACCGGTGGAACCGTTTTACTTTTCTGGATCGTTTTGAAGTTTTACAAAAATGCTCCTTTTAAACATCAATTAATCATGGTTAAGATGAAAAAAAAAATTTGCCGTTATTTTTCTCAATTTCAGGTTAAATACTCAAATATTAAAAAAAATTTGAAAAAATCAAATACATATTTCAAAATTTGTTTGCATTATATTTTTCACAATTTCACATTAAATACTTATATAATATCGAAAAAAAATTTGTTAATAAAATTTAAGATTATCTTTTTTAATGAAAAAATTGGTATTCTGAAAAAAGACTGTTTTTCTAATGGCTTGAGAGCTTTGGGAAAAAGGGTCAATAAAGCGTATAGCAATGCGTAAAAAAAATGCACGAAGATTCACTTGAGGGTATCAATTTTAACTCGATGAAATACGGCATGAGAAGAAAAAATTCACATCAATACTGAACAGAAAATGATTCAGTATAATTTTCTGAATATTTTGAAATGTCAATATCCTTTTTTAAATTTCAACATTTGGAATTTGAAATATTCAATGTGAAATTGTAAAAAAGATTTTTTGAAAAATTAGATTTTTTTTTCAAAATTCAATTTTTTTTCAAAATTTTGAATTTTTTTCCGATATTGATGAGTATTTAATGCGAAATCGTGAGAAAAATAACGCAAACTGTTTTTTCATCATAATCATAATTAATTGGTGTTTAAGGATTATTGCTACTTTAATTTTCTATAAAACTTTGACTATTCCGGAAAGAAAAACGGTTCGACCGATCGATTTCAAAATTTACAGCTAAAAATGAGATCGATGATTTTTTCTGGGCCCATGTGTTGTTCTGAAAACAAAAATTTGTAAAATTTTTATCTTGCATTATTTCCTTTGATTGCGCCAAGAGTGAAACAATTTTTCAAGATTTCAAAACTAGAATCATCAAGCTTCAAGATGGTTCTTTTTTTTCTCTTGATACGACGAAGTTAGTCTTTCAAAAATCACAAAAAAAATTGTATATTTTTCTGCTCCCATAATTTTTTTGCCGAGTTTAGTGATCTGGCAAGAGTACAATTATTGCTCTCAATCGACCACGCGGATGCCAAATAACATCACTCAGACAACCGTTTGTGAAGTTATACAGGGTGTCTCGCATAAGAACCGACACAGGACAGGTGCATGTAGGGGTGTCCAAAATATTGTACTTTTAACCAAACTTACCTATATACAAAGTTGCACCCCTGAGGAGTTATTAGCCCCCAAAGTAAAAACAAATATCTGCAACACTTTACCGCAGAAGAACCAAATTTGGTACATAATTTAGGTTTATTACTGGTCTTCTTCGACTATGATTTAAAGTTAATTGAAGCATTACAAGGTGTTCATTGGGGATGACTCACCCCTAAAATTGTACCGAACTTTGTTTTCATTGACCGAGTTGAAAAATAATTTTCACGATTAAATTGTTAATAACTTTTTCCTGATAAAATACTTTGTCAGCAAATTAGCCTGTTATTGTACTCATCATTTAAAGTAATCCTGTGTAGTTATTTCCGAGTTATCAAGAAAATGTCACCAACAGTAACTTTTCGGCCTCTGTCCACTGGACTATTTTTACTTGGACGTAACTAGAATGACAAAAAATCAAAACAATTGTATACATGTTCAATATATTAAAGAAAACTGAATTTAAAAAAAGTTTTACATTATTTTTGGGTTTATTGCTACGTTGTCTGTTTAGGTTTCTTGACGTTTCTAGACATAGCGCTCCTTGTTTCTGAAGAACAGAGCGATAAGTCTCTTGAAGCGTCTTTTAGAATTGCATTTTGTAGGTTATAACTGACAACAACTAGTGGCGGCAAAAAATATTTATGCTACAAATTAATTATAAGTGGATGTTTAAGATTATGTAAAAATTTAACCACATGAGCGCATTGTGACGTCATTTAGTGCGACCGAGAACAAACCCTCCTTCTCGACGAGGCGGAACGTAATCTAGAGAAACCATAGAAAGAAACACATATGCGGGTAGCCTCGAAGCAGTGTCTTTAGACTCTTGTTATTTACTATGCTTACGCCATCGGACTGTTCTAACACCGTAATTCTTCTTCTCGATTGTCGATCGCACTAAATGACGTCATGAATTAGCGCGACACCCGTTTAATCATTTTTTTTTGCTTGTCAAACTGTAATAATAATTAATTGTTAATTAAATAGATAGATACCATTTCCTTATCCACAGTTATTCTTAGTAGGTACCTAATTATTTTAAATATATCAACTTTATTAATTTTCACAATTTTGGAATATTTCGCGTATCTCCCGAGTGTTGCAGAGATATTAGTTTTTTTCGAAATTTAGGGCCCCACTTTGGGGGATAATAACTCCTCAGGGGTGCAACTTTGTATATAGGTAAGTTTGGTTAAATTACAATATTTTGGACACTCTGTATAAGAACACCCCCTTCGTTTAACGAAAATTTTTGGAATTTGAGTTAGTTTAAAATGAGATGAAACCTACTTAGTTGGATTAGAGTGTGCCGGTTATCTGGATACGAACTAGATAACCGGTGTAGCACCTAGCAACTCGATGCCGCTCCAGGCGAACGGCAGGACGCCGACGCCGGGCGTCGGCGTCGGCGCGGGCCACCTTATATTTTCAGTTCTCTACACCAAATGCCGAGGCTAAGGTGTGGCGCGGCGTCCACTATGACATGTTATTAAAAATGAGTGGAAACGGCCTCAATTCCCGAAGTGAGTTGCGTTTGCGGTTGGACGGGTGTTCGGCGGGTTTGGAGCAAGAGGATGACTTACAAATAATGCCCATGGACCAGTCAAACGCATCCTCATTCGAGGCGTTTTCGAACTCGGTACAGCACGCGACACCCCAAAACATTAAAATGTTTACCTGTTGTGTTTTGTGTTTCAGGACACCCGGACCCACGTGGTTGTGGAGTTGTACGACAACGAAAGGAGTTACGTCGAGTCCCTCGAGATTATCGTTAAGGTAAAGCTTTGTTCACCAAACATACAAAAAAAAATTATGCCAAATGGCGTGTCTGCACTTTAAATAAACATTTCGCCATTCATCATTCACAGTCGTACGCTAGCTATGTAGGTAGATTTATATTTTTACCCAAAACAGAATGCTTTATTTTACTGAACTTTTCATCGTTGTCATTTTTTATTTTTTATTTATCCATTGTAATGCTTCCTACGGTATTTTCATACGCGAAAATATCAGCATGTGTATAATCAAACGAAATGATGTATACGCTTGCTAATATATAGCTTATTATTGAATTAGCACAATTTTCCTGTTTCTATAGGCCAGGAAAAAGAGCTGGGAAATGACCATTTCGCGACTCTTTGTTTCGGCGAGCAGAATTTATCACTATAGATGCTAAATATTTTGTACAATAACATATTAGTTTCCACAGTGATACAAATGTAGGGAAGCTTGTTTACAGGCTGGTTAATTGTACAATTTTTACGTAAATTCAAGTTTTTCGCTTATAACTTTTTCCGTTCATTTCCACGAGAAAACAGTAAAGTACTTTTTTTTTCGTCTTGAAAAGATCTATAAAACTAGCGTCAAAAAATATTGATCAAAAGTCAGAAACAGAAGTTTATTCATAACATTTGAATTAAACATTTATAAACTGCGTTATTATTACCAGAACGTTTTGGCATCGCATCCTCTCATTCCTTATCACTGTCTAACAACTCACACGAAATATGGAAACGGTAAGTTGAATAATTTACAAGTTATGGCCTTATAAACAAATTAACTAATTATTAGTCTGGACGATCCCGAGCATCTTCCACAATCGCATTGATACAAATTAGGTTGGTAGCGGCAAAAAAATATACTGTCATAACCGGCAACCCGAGTACTTTCCCAGATAAAAATATTTTATTTGTGGAAGTATGTTAAGTGCATAAGAAATATTGTCAAAAGTCAGTGGGTCGCTTGATTTTTAGGCGAGCCGTGGCGTGGCGGAAGGGTGGGGGAAGTGTACGACAGCGAATCCGAAGAAAATGACGATAATATTCATAGTCCTGCCGTTAAAAAAGCGAAATTCGCTTGAAAATAATATATTTGACAGTCTGTAACTCCGTTGTTTTTCAACGAAACTTGACTTTTTTTTTAACTTAAAGCTCTTTTCATAAGCTTTCTGAATATGCAATAATATATAACTATATCACGCTCGTGCGTCGTGTATTTCATTTTGCAGCTAAGGCTAAAAAATAAAAAAACTTTCCAGGTTGCAAATTTGAAATTAAAAAAAAAATTATAGATTTCAAAGTATTATTATGAAATCTACCATGAAAAAAATCAGTGCGATTGTGGAAGATGCTCGGGATCGTCCAGATTAATAATTAGTTAATTTGTTTATAAGGCCATAACTTGTAAACTATTCAACTTACCGATTCCAGATTTCGTGTGAGTTATTAGACAGTGATAAGAAATGAGAGGATGCGATGCTAAAACGTTCTGGTAATAATAACGCAGTTTATAAATGTTTAATTCAAAAGTCATAAATAAACTTCTGTTTATAACTTTTGATCTAATCAATATTTTTTGACGCTCGAGGGCTAGTTTTGTAGGTCTTTTGAAGAAGAAAAAAAAGTACCTTACTGTTTTCTCGTGGAAATGAGCGGAAAAAAGTTATAAGCGAAAAACGTGAATTTACGTAAAAATTAACCAGCCTGTAAACAATCTTCACCCCATTTTTATGACTGTGGAAACTAATATGTTACTGTACATAATATTTAGCATCTACAGTGGTAAATTCAGCTTGCTGAAACAAAAAGTTGCCGTCCAACTCTGTATTTCCTGGCCTATCTAAGCGAAAGCTAGTTCTGGTAACATAACATATATTTCTACATATTTACTATATTCTCTGTAGCAGCGGTGTAAATATATGCTTCCCCTTTGTTTGTCTTCTATAATTTAATAGATAAATATTTATTACAAATAAAATCCGAACATTTTTCTAGGACATTAAAACAGTGAAAATCCACAAAATAATAAACGAAAAAATATTTTAACGTACTGGAAATAAATTGGCATAGGTTATAAATAGTTTTATTGATAACCCATAAAAATATGTAACTGCTTACTGCTTGTTGAATTACATTCATACCGTGACAGAGAATGCAGCTTTCGATTATTCATCAACATCAAAATGGACAAGTCGCGAAAATTTATTTTGAGCGAACGAGAAGGATTAGGTCTAGACTACAAATTGCGGTAATTGTGACTTATAACAAGGCTATTTATCAAAGCGGCGCCAAATATGTTTTTCCCCTATGTACCAATTATCTATTAACCATGAGATAATCCGTGCAATTACTGCAAGTAACTTTTTAATACTATAAGGCCATGGAAACCAGTATTTTAGATGTTGAGCCGTTAGATGTGTTGCAGTGGTTGTAGCAGCATAAAAAATAAATAAGTTGATTTGAACTTTGGTATTGTATTACATACCTCGTGCTTTATCAACTATAACTTTGGAAGTACTAAAAATATTAATATAGTGGTTAGTGGATAGTAAAATACACATAAAACTGTCCAAGAAAAGGATATATGGCTACAAACTTGCTAGAATAAAAATAACCAGACGTTGAATTATTTTAAATATTTTCGCAAATATTAACTAGGAATTTTCCACGAAATTAGAATCAGAATCCCGACTTTACTACTTAGTTTATTAATAATAATAATCAATAGGGTAGGGTAGAGAACTGCTGAAGTAATTAAATATATCCAGGGAGAAGATATTTTATTACTCCCAAACATTCCATTTCCACATTTTTTTTATTAGAATCCTGGTCTTACTATTATGCTTATCAATTGGTTTTAGCTCTTCAAAAGGGCTGCTTAATTAAAAAATATATAGTAAAGTAATAATCGAAACATGAGTAAAAAAATTAAAAATTGATATTCTAGTGTTTTCACATATTCTAAATTTATATATTCGATGTGCGATATTTTTTTTAACTCTGTAACAAATAGGTTACAAGAAATAATTTAAACAATATCACGAAATTTTCCAAATAAAATATTTATTAAACAACACATCCAAATCCAGTCCACATTTTATTACCAGACATAATATTTAAAATTATTTTTTCCGTTTTTGTGTTTATCCAGTCAACACTCGTGGAATTTCTTTTTTAAGTAACAAATAACACTATTTACTGACCTTAGCCTGCCAACCAGAACAGAAGATTTATCCGCCTACATTTTTCATTTGGGTACTCAATTTAAGTACCTGATGTTTCTATTAAAAGATCATATTAATATTTTACGATCATATCCAAACAATATTGCGAGATACAGCTTATACTTATTTTTTCTTGCAGAAATACTTAGAACCACTCAAGGCGCCAGACAACGCCAATCTGTTGGACGCGAACCTAGTAGACGAAATATTTTACCAGGTAGTAAATAAATTATTTAAAATCAGGCCATTGGAATAATTTATTTACTTACAGATCCCTTTCCTGTTGAGCCACCACCAAGCTTTCTTAAATGAACTCAAACAGCGCCTGGAACACTGGGATGTCAAACAGAAAATAGGGGATGTTTTTTTAGACATGGTAAGTCACAAACAGAACGACTTAAAACAAAGATTATACACGTATTGTTATCTCTTCCCCAGTTCTCCAAGTCAGTGGTAATCGAAAGTTACACAAATTACGTAAACAATTGGAAACGAGCGAGGGAAATACTGAAAACCGCACAACAGTCCAAACCGGCGTTCAGCAGGTTTCTAGAGGTATGACAATTAATCACACCAGTAAGAGGGATAAATAAATATCGAATTTCAGGTGACAGCGAGACAGCACACGGGCAAGTTGGCGTTGGACTCTCTACTGATAAAACCCATCCAAAAATTCCCGAAATACGAACTATTGCTGCAAAGACTGATAAAGCACACGGATGAAAACCACCCGGACCACAATTTGCTGCTGGCCGCCCAAAGGCAAGTCCACGAACAGCTGCTGAAGATAAACTGTACCGAAAAAGAAGCGTTGGAGCTAGAACAGCTTCGGGAAATAGAAGGGTTAATCGACGGTCTGATCGAACTGGCGACGCCAGAGCGGCAGTATCTTCGTCACGACTCGGTAAGCATGTCCCACGGCGGCGGACCGAGGAAAGAAAGAGCCCTCTTCCTCTTTTCTGACTTACTTCTGATTACGGGTATCAAAAGACGGAGCGGGACCATCAGAAGGCCTATAACTGGCCAGGGAAGCGTTACCAGCACCCTAGAAGCCAACAAGTACAAACTGTTGATGAGAGTACCTCTAGAAGACATCGAAATTATCAGGTCCAAAGACGAAAACCTTAGGCAGATTATGATAGAGGTTGATAACTTGACTGAAGACATATCGGTTCTGAATCAGATCAATGAATTGGCCTGGTCGTTGCACTGCAGCCATTCACAGTTGGACGAGGTTGTGAAAGACATGTTAACGACGCTAAATAAACAGTTAACGGAACAGCAAAATAGCGACTCTCAACTCTCTTGCTTGGACCTCACCGTCCTAACATCGTAAGTATAAATAATTTTGGAGTTACGCTATTACAACACGTAAAGATTTTATATGCAATAAAGTGTTAGTGGGATGAGTTAGTGGTTAAATAATACATTTTGTTGTACTTTCAGTAATGGCTTAGAAAACGTATCCATTGTATTTTCAAAAGCTGAAAAAAGGACGTCGTGGGAAGAGTCTTTGAATGAAGCCAAACAAAAATTAGGTAAGATGTAAACAAAACTGTCGCAGTAGAAGTAGCAGATTGGTTCCATACCAATAAAGATTTTCACTCATTGATTGACATTGGTTATCTAGTGAGGTTACTTCTTCCATAGTTTTGCATCAATTGGAGTTATGCATGATCTTTGGTAACAAATGTAGAGGTTAAGGATCTAATCAAACTGATAGGTGAAAAGAAGCAAGGAAAATGAGCAAACTAAGACATCTGGAAGAAGTAGCTTCACTGTTTTACAATACCGGTGTTGTTAGAACAAACCAATTATACAAGTGTATACAAATCGTTAATTTGGATGTATTTTCAGCAATGTCGAGCGACAGAAGACCCTGTCCAGAGCTGATGGCGACTGTACCTATAAGGAAAACAAGAGCGGGGCTACAGTTTACATGTGCAGCCCCGACGTTAGGCGAGAACGGCAAAGACGTATGGGTCTGCAACAGTGACGGTTATGTGGGACAAGTTTGCGTTCTCAGTCTGACACCTGAACCAACAGTCACGTCTTGTAATGGAGTATGTAACGCAAGAATTCTTTGCATCGCGTCGGTACCGGGAGTAAATAATGGGTAAGCACGCTAATTTTTATTCCAGTTTCATGTACGTTGGCCGTATAATCTTTCCATCGTCGGTGCAACGTACGATTTACATGCAGCTGAGCTACAGGGTCGTCCCCTGAAGAAGCAAAACGCACAGATAATAATTTAGACGAAAAATAATGTGATTGTGTTTCCAAAATGCACTTCAGGAGGTATATCGGGGTCCGAGGGAAGTGAGGAGCGCAGGGGGGGGTCCTATGCTTTTCTTATGGGACTAAAGCCCGATGCCAATTTGAAAAAATTAAATTCTATTGAAATTATTTGCGATAAACATTATCTATATAGCAAAGAAATCTACTCATATGCAAATAGCATACATGTTGACTAATTCACAACATAAAAATATCATATTTAAGTAGTTTTAAATTATATTTAATGAACGCATAAAGACTATGTAGATGTGGCAACAGCGCTAATAATTGAATAGCAGTTGTACACACTGCGAACCTACAGACCTCGAACATCGGAGATATTGCGCGTCAAATTCGGGTAAAGATGCGTACGCGTTCAAAAATGTATTGTGTGTAAACTATGTACAATATAATTATTATATATGGCAAATATATCGTATTATCCTCGCGAAGATTTGTATCCTTTATTTAAAATCCGTAAGTGAACTGGTAAAACAACGAGAATTATGTTAGTTTAGTTCTAAAGAAATGAAATGACACTCGCGCCCATCTCTCGTCCAAGTCAAAGAAAATGTTGGATGCAATTTTGAAGGTTCTGTGACAGAAATTACATTATTGCTCAGTGTTCGTGTTTTTAATCACTATTTTAGTAATGTTACAAAAGTTTTGCAACTATAACTAATTTTTTACATATAAAGTTTGCTGAGAAATATTTATGTTCCTTTGTTATTCCGTACAAATGCTTTTATCTCAAGTATTACTAATTATATTAATCACGTAAAGAAAACTTTATGTAACCCTAAATACTGCTAGGTAATGATTACGATGTATTTCTAAACTACTAAATATATTAAAAGGATTTATCAACTGAATTTTTTGTTCCAATAAGTCTTCCTAGTCTTTTTTAATTAATCTAGTTTTTTAAAAACATTACAAAAAATCATGTGTTGTGGATAATTGATTGTTGATAACAATGTACATGGTATTTAGGAAAAATGTATATGTCAATCAATTTCGTTTTTATCAAGTCTTTCAAATGTATTTCCTCCTTGCTGTCAGCTGATTGCGACGTTGCCACATTAATCCTCAAGTCAGACGGAAATGCAATTATTGGTTTCTGTTTCTAATTAATACAGTTGTACTATGTTCAAAACTTACATTAGTTTTACATTAAAAATAAGATAATACTATCTATGGAAAATTTTGTTTCACAATTTCTAAATTTTTTTCTGTTATGGGCAAAAAAGAGCCGCACCGTCCATCTTCGCCATATAAACCTATGTTAAAATGAACAACTTTCAACAACAGTATCTCAAAATCTAGATTCAAAAAAAATTTCAAAAAAATATGACGCACAGAGGGAGCACTGGGTAATACGCTATATAAATTTCAAGTACATCTGTGCATTTGAGTAAACCCGATATACCTCCTTAAGACGAGGAAGGATGATTTTTTATTTCATCCCAAAATTTAACACAGTTTTTGAAGTGCAAACAAACGTTCTTATAGCATGTCATTTTTTTCAGTGCTTCCCCTCCCAGTAAAGGCACCAAGGCTCGAGATGAGCCCGAAGAACACAAGACAATGCAATTCGACAGTAGTTCATCAAGTGATGAAGACGATAATTGTGATAGTGAACATACCGATGAACCTCAAAGACTAATAGACTCGGAAACGTGTAGTATAGAGAATGACGAAAGTGATAATCAGCAGTCGACGATGTGGTTGGGAACTGAGGATGGTTGCATTCACGTGTACAATTCCGGTGATAATATACGGATAAAGAAGAATAAAATTAAGCTCCAGCTTGGTTCATCAATATTGTGTATAATGTAAGTCTAGAACAGTGTTTTGTTTTGTTAAAATTTCATGGTGTTGCTGATCAGGATCATTTTAGGGTTAGAGACTTTAGTAAATCAAAGATCTAAAGCCTAATCTATTTCTATAAAGTGCCATTTTAGATGAAAATCATCTTACAACTATTTTCTTACTCTCAATGAACTTACCACGCTGCCCTTGTATAAATATGAGATAAATTACATAACATTTTCTGACATAAATATTTTACAACACGTTTTCTTTATTTCAATTCATGTTAAGGCAAACTATGTAATTTCCAATAATATATTTTATTATAATTAGATACGGTTTATTTTAAATGCAGAACTAATCCGGCATCAAATTGTCTCAAGGTTAATTTAGTTCAATTTGATGTATTTCCTTTTAAGTGAATATCACATTATAATTGTTTCAGATATTTAGAAGACAGAGTATTTGTTTCATTGGCAAATGGAGACATCATTGTGTACGAGAGAGAAGCAAGTAAGTAATATAATTTAACTACACCTTACTGCAGAGCGATCTAAAAATAGTTCAAGAAATTATTGGGCGCCAACTTAGTAACATAAAATTAATACATTTTTTTAAATAAGTTTTTCTAGCAAAACTTTAAACTGTAATTGAATCTTAAAAAATCGAGGCCTCATATTCTGAAATTACTTTTCCAGGTGGAGGTTGGAACATCGGCTCTCCCACAACGTACACAGTAGGTTCGTTGAGCACGCCGGTATCCAAAATGGTCCCGAGCTCTGGAAAGCTATGGTGCGGCTGTGGAAGCACCATAAAAATCTTCAACATACACACCCTCACAACCGAAACCAGCTTTACAGTAAACAACGACAATAATAAGTCTATTACTTGTATAATACTGTGTGGCAATGGTGTATGGTTATCACTACAGAATTCAGCCGTAATAAAATGCTACCACGCTTTAACATTTGAACCGCTCTGTGAAGTGAACGTTGCCCCGGCTGTTACAAAAATGCTAACGAGTAAGTATTTTTGCTAGTAAACAATGCTCCGTACGAATTCTCTTCATCGCACGAACAATTTTTCAGTGTAAAGCGGCCCACACACGAGCATGCCCGAATATTTCTCGGAAAATTGTGTAAATATCTTAGTAAACGTAATTTTGGAACTAGAATATATTAATTTTGCAGTAAAAAACTAGTCGAGCATAGCAGTGATCCAGATAGAATTATGTCTTTCCTTTTTTGCATATTCTGCTAGAAAACTTTTCCTAATCGGGTGGAACACATGACTAAAATGATGCATATAGGCGTAAGGTTTCAAATGAAACAGTCACTTGCCAAATATTTGCCAAATGTAAACAATTACAGTATAGTATGGACTATTAAGGTCGAGAATACCAACATGTGTGTAGATTTTTGTTGGAGTATACATATTTGCCAAATGTCGTATCGTGTGGATGGTGCCTATCGATACATTTGAAAGTGTGACTTCACTTGCCAAATATTCGCCAAAGCTACCCCGACAACGAAGCTGTAACAACTGCGTCAGTAGGATTGATTTACACAGAGTGGTATAAGCGGTTGACATGAAGACAATTGGTATATGTTTCACTCAGATTTCACATAGGTATATCGTGTATATGGAACAACTTAGCACTATCTGTATCGGTCAAATAATCTGCAAGTATTTTTGTTTGACAAATGTTTGGCAAGTGATCGTTTCGTCTGAAGTCGGCTTAATGTTTACTGCACGCTTACAAAACGGAAAGAGCAAATAAAAAACCGCAAGCGGGTATCTTTATGGCATGACAATATAAGTATTTGACTTAAAATTCCATCTTGGTAAGTTTAGAGTGCCAAGGGCTGTGATATTATCGACATTATGTTATTTAATATTTTAAACAAAATTGTTGAGAAAAAGAGGATCTTAATACGATGTAAAAGTATTAAAAATATTTAAGAAATCGGGAAAAATAATTTCGATTACGTCGTACTCTTACCAAGATAAATAGACTAAGAGAAAATTTTCCTATCCGGCTCTTAGTCTAGAAATTTTAAGTCAAATACCATAAATATCCCAACTTGCAGTTTCCTATTTGTTCTTTCCGTTTTCTTTTAATGGCGCCCAACCATCCATTATAGCTTATCTGTACATTAGACATAGAACAATAAACATCTGCAATCAGCTTTATAAAAGACTATATAATCTAGCGTGCTTCATAAGAGCTTTAATAAATGCTTATTAGCCACGTAACCCCCGAGCATACGCAACCAGCATTGCACGATTTGTACTGTCCACTAAAAATTATAAATATCAACGTCATCTTGATCTTATTGTTTTAATAAATTGTAATTTTTCCTTAATTGTATTGGCAATTTATGTTAACCGTACTGGTTTCAATGTACTATTTTATAAAAATCCTAACCTACTCTTAAAATTTGACCTTGAAAGTTATCTTTTAACTTCTTAGATCTAAGACTAACACCACTAATACCAGGTGTATCATTGGATGGCCAACTCTTAAGATTAGGTTGAGACCAAATTTTTATAAACGGAGCAAAATTGTTAGGATTGAGATTAAGGCCTTTTTATAAATCCACCATATCTTTCTGCCAGCACTGTTTGGAATTATGTCGATGAAGAGTCTTACTCACTATCTTGTTAGGCACTCCGTTTCTTCACGTCAAGTTGTTAAGTCTAAGAATTGTTTTTGTTTTTTCTGTTTCAGGTTGCGATGACATAATAAGACAGCACAAGGCTGCCTGTCTCCGAGTGACAGCTTTGGTAACATGCAAAGATCTCCTGTGGATCGGGACGTCCGCTGGGGTGCTCCTTACGATGCCCCTTCCGCACATCTCTTCGACAGTCACGAAGTTAGCCAGTGCTCCGACGGTCACGGGAATACCGCACGGTCACACGGGTCACGTCCGTTTCTTGACGTCCGTTGAGATGCCGTTCGGTGCGCCTGACGCGTCGCACAGGAACTCGTATAAGGTAAAGCAAGACCAGAGGGGCAACACCAAGTTGTTGGTCATATCTGGGGGCGACGGTTACGAAGATTTCCGGACGTCCAATTTGTCGGAGGGCGCTGGCAGGGAAGACGCTACGAACCACTTGCTGCTGTGGAATATTTGATTTAGATGTTGACTTTGGAGGATGATGAAGAATAACACGTTATGTGGCATATCGGAACCTGAACTCAATACAGGGTATTTCTATAAAATAGGAAACTTACTTTTATCCCCAAAAAAGTATTTATTAATTTTTGAGGCATATCCCTTTTCTTAGATTTGGATAATACAAAGAAACGTTTGGACACTTTAGCTTAATATTTTATTCAAAGCGATACGGTTTCTTAAATAAGTAGTTAAAAAGCAACGAGAAATAAGTTATTTACGCAAAAATTAATAATTAGACCAAACTAAGGAGGGTATTTTTGACATATCAGTACATTTGCGGTATCTAAACAGTTGGTACATATTGCGCTTGTGATAAAAGATGGCCGTTGCCGCTGAGCAGATTTCCAAACAATTTCGACCTAAATAGAGGTTTATTTTAGTACTCACTGATGTGCATACTACTTCTGCTGGCGGTAATGAAATTTGGTGAAAATTTAATATCTTTTTATAGGAAAACTCTGTACGTTCACGTGATACTTGCATTTCGTTAAAATGTGTGATAGTATTTATAGGAATCTGTATATGGATTGTACTTTATTGAGGTGGTAGTGTTTATTTGTTACATATTATTTTTGCCTAACATCATTGTTCCTAATCTGTTGTTGCTATACTTTAAAGGAATTGAATTGTACATAATATTGATCACTATATTTATAAAAGCATGTATTATTGTCAAACAAAACTGTACTGTATTTAAGTTGTTTTTTTTTATGTTTAATTAATATTTATATTTTCGCTTGACACAACGACAACTGAAAATGTTTTTTTACAACTTTTCTAATGCCATGTACTTATATTTAATATTTTTTTATTTCGTACACACAAATTCTTTCGATTGCTCAAAATCCCAATAAACCAATACTGAATCATCGTTTTTTCACAAAAATAATCGTTATCAAATATATTTCTTTATTAAATGGAATTTTTATTTCGCCCTCCTTGACATGTGATATACAGAAAATGATTACCTGAAGATTATAGTTTTTTTAAGTTTTAAGAAAGTATTGATATTAAGCAGTTGTATGTAAGACGGTATTTTAATTTTGAAATATACAAGAACACAATTTTCTTTACTAAATATACATATGTGTATCAAATTGAACGTATCGGCCTAAACCATACTTAATATTATTGTCAGAATATTTACAAATGTATATAATTGATGATAATAAATTTAATTAATGAAAATACTTTTTGGTTTTACTTACTCGGTACACTGAGTGTCAAAATGTTGGATAACCATATTTATACAAACAGATTTACCATTAATTTTTATTAATAAAAACTTCTTCTTATCTTGAATGTTGGAAACTCTAGAGTGTGTCCAGTGCACAAGAAGGGCAGTAAGAATGAATTGATCAATTTCTATTATTTGCAATTTCTCCAAAATATTTGAGATTCTATTACATGGCTTTTTATACAGATCCTTGTCCGGGCTGTTGTGGAAGCAACACGGTTTTATTGAGGGCAGATCCACTGTTACTAACCTTGTCCAAAAAACTCAATTTATTAGCGAAAAACTTGACAGGATGAAACAAGTCGATGTTATCTATACCGACTTCACTAAAGCTTTTGACAGACTCGGCCACGACCTCTTGCTGTACAAACTAGATGGATTTGGTGTGTCCGAATCATTTTTGCAACTTTTTAAATCGTATTTACAACATTTGTATCAGTTTGTTCAGCATCGTGGTATCATCAAATATCTGATGCGCCTCAAGGATCTATACTTAGACCCTTACTGTTTGTTCTTTTTGTAAACGACATCATGGTTGATCTACAAGTACATCATTTAATGTACGCAGATGACCTTAAGCCATTTTGCGAAATAAACGCCATTGCCGACTGCTATATGTTACAGAATGGGCTTAATGTCATTAGTTTGTGGTGTCTAAATAATAATTTAACGCTAAGTGCTTCTAAGTGTAATATCATTACATACACCAAAAAAAATCTGTACTATTCGATTATAATATAATATTGCATAGACCCGATTACATAAAAGATCTTGAGTTACATTTGACTCTACATAGCGTTTTAAAGCTTAAAATTATAATTTTGGAAAATTTACATTTTTTGCTCTCTCGTTTGAAAAAAATTTTTTTTTTCATATGATACAGAACAATTTTTAATAGTTTTTGAGATGAGGGATAAGAATCCATTGTTTAAATTGGGCTAAAAAAATTTAGAACCCTTAAATGTACGAACATTTCAGTTTATGATGTTTTTAGCTCTGATTTCCGCTCTTATACATCGATTTGCTTGAAATTTGGACAGTAGGTGGGAAATAGCTCAAGAAACAAAAACACCCTATGCTGATATATATTTTTACCTTGGGGGTGGTTTCTGTCCCTTTGTCCCCCTTTTTCAATTGAGTTTTCAATCGCAAATAACTCAAAAAGTATTGGTTTATCAAAAAAACTGTATGAAACATCCTTTGCTTGAAATTAGTTGCTCTATCGATTATTTTGACAAAATTTATTTTCTGCCCCTACAAAGGGGGGAAAGTCCAAATGAATTAATTATAGGGCGGCATGGCGGCAAAGTGTGATAAAAATGGACAAAAACTTGAAAGAATTTCGCAACAAAAGAAATAAATAGAATTTTATAGCACTTACTTTATATCAGCAAATTCAACTGGCTATTGTTATTTTTGATTAATAAAATTAACTTGTGGTTTTAAATAACAAAATAATTTAACATACCTGATGTTACAACAACTGTTCAAAATTTTGTCCACCGACGTGTAAACACATTTGGGTCGGTCTTACTTAATTTCTACGAACTAACACAAATGTTGTCTTGCCTTACCGTAACACAAATGCTTCGCCATAATACAAATGATGTCTTGCCATAAATTAAAACGATATCCATCAACTCAGAGTTGCTATACACGCAAGCCATTTTTGACACTAACTACTAGAAAACTATTGTAAACACTATGGCAACGACGACTGTAAAATCGGATTTCAGTAGTCGGAGTCGCTGAGGTCACGTGGCTTTCCACGCGAATTGCGAATAACGCTAGAGACTGCAGTTGTCCGGCTATGTAATGGTTGAAAGTACTACAACTTCAATAATTTTTTTCTCGGAAACTATAAGGATTTACAAGTTCTTTTTTTACGATATTGACTCCATTTCTCATTCCGCTTCTAGTCCCTAATTTTTTTGGATAAGTTGTGAATCATTGTATAATGATCTGCTTATTTTGTAATAAAAAAAATCATAACTTTAAAACGGTTTCAACACTCTGTATCTCGAAAATGAAGAGTTCACGTCTATATAAGTTTCTATGTTTCCTTTATATAGAATGCGCTGTACAGGATTACAATGGTATAGGATTTGTTAGACCTATCTCTAATAATCAGGAAGACTTGGCCACTCTTTGACATTGACTACATATATCTTATTATTAGAGATAGATCTTATATTATTAAATTTTCCTTGGCTTGTACACACCTCCACAGGAAAATTTCCTACAACTTTGTCCCATAGGCTGAATACAAACCCTTACTTCTCGAATGGGGATTTCAAGATTATTTATGCTTGTTTGAAGATATGTACACCATTATTAGTTGCATTGCATGGTGCACGAAAGAGTCAGGAGAGCCAACAACACCGAAAAATAGTAAATACAGAGTTGACTCACTTGGAGTTAATGTGATGACTCTATTAGGATTAATGAGTTTACTTGCTTGGGGTTAATGAGTTGACTTGCTTGGGGTTAATGAGTTGAATCGCTTGGGGTTAATGAGTTGACTCGCTTGGGATTAATGAGGACTCGCTTGGGGTTAATGATATGACTCGTTTGGGGTTAATGAGTTGACTCTCTTGTGGCTAATGAGTCGACTTGCTTCAGGAGAGCCAACAACACCGAAAACCAGTAAATACGTAGTTGACTCACTTGGAGTTAATATGTTGACTCTATTAGGATTAATCAGTTTACTCGCTTGGGGTTAAAGAGTTGACTTGCTTGGGGTTAATGAGTTGACTCGCTTGGGGTTGATGAGTTGACTCGCTTGGGATTAATGAGGACTCGCTGTGGGTTAATGAGTTGACTCTTTTGGGGTTAATGAGTTGAGTCTCTTGTGGCTAATGAGTTGACTTGCTTCAGGAGAGCCAACAACACTGAAAAACAGTAAATACGTAGTTGACTCACTTAGAGTTAATGTGTTGACTCTATTAGGATTAATGCGTTTACTCGCTTGAGGTTAATGAGTTGACTTGCTTGGGGTTAATGAGTTGACTCGCTTGGGGTTAATGAGTTGACTCGCTTGGGATTAATGAAGACTCGCTTGGGGTTAATGAGTTGACTCGTTTGGGGTTAATGAGTTGAGTCTCTTGTGGCTAATGAGTTGGCTTGCTTCAGGTAGAGATTATAGCAAAACCGTCTACTTACTGCAAGTGAGTTCCTTCCAGTAAAGCAGTTTTTCTTGTGGTGAGAAGGCAACTCACTTGGCACGTATTTAATGCAGATATTTGGCTACGGTTAATGGATTTTTACTAACCGTAGCGAAGAAATTTTCTCAGTGTACCATGTCTTTTCTAAATACGAAAACGATAAGGAAGTAGAATATTACGCGGCAGACAATGTACATTTTATATTTTCAAACATTACATAAGAGATGTATGGCTGGTTGTCTAACCTTAGACGCATTAGCGCGCGGCTAACTTCTGATATATTTATAGGCACGTGTTCACGTGTATAAATCTACAATTATGAATATGCCCTGAAGATTCTGTTCACTCAAAAACAAAATAAAAAAAATAACAATAAAATCAGACTGTTAGTGAACCTAGATTATAGCTACCTGTACAAATAATGTGTTTCTGTTAAAAAAATACATTAAATGTGTATTATAGTTTTGTCCGTTCCGGTACAATAGACCAAATTTTGGTGCGTAAACTGGTATTTATAAACGGATGCATTGTTAAGGTATGATAACAGTTGACCCGAACTTACACTACATATTTACCAGTCTATAATTATTTTTAGCAATAGGGACGGCTAGTAATTCTATATATACATTATTAGACGTAACAATGCCCTCATTGTAACATAATTTCACTCGAGACACTTAATACATTAATGCGTCGAATAATGCCAATCTAAATTCGACATGGTTATTTAGAAAGTACCATGCCTGGATACCCTTATTGTACAAGACATCTAATAGGCTTAACCTGTCCGATGGGACCGCATCTAAATATTTTCTCGGAAGTATAATGCAACGATTGTACGGTTTTGATGCAACGGGCTCACGCCAATCACTTGACACAAAGAAAAAGTGACAACGAGGAAAATTTATATTCCTTTTAAAATCGTGCGGCTGCAAGGAAGTAATGGAAGTCGCAAAATTAAAATGCTAAAGGATCCTTTGGAATATAAATCCTCTTCCCCTGGTTGAATAGGACAGCTTTTAAATGCGTCTATATTAGCTACCCTTATCCAAGGTCCCCGTTTAATGCACTGGTTCCCTCGAGGCTCCATCCATATCAGCTTCTGCGGAGGTACGCTTAATGGACCTAATTTGTTCTCATATGACGTGACAGTTAAAACAACATTAAGTATAAACCTGATACATGGGAGTTTTTCGCAACGATTTTTGTAGTCGTAGCACGTCGGTGATCACCCTAAGTATACAAATGAGATATATTTATCAGGCTCGATCTCGATCAGATGAAATGCAGACGTGTCGCCCACCATTTGTCAAAAATTACCATTGGGGCACAGGGACTATCAATTATCGAGAGATGTAGGCGATTTTTGAAATCGTCCCTTGCTTTTACGCAATAGGCTTGTGAATGATTAAGCATCTCTCATCTCAATAATATTTCTGGATGACAGGGTACGTTTTGCCACTCGCAAATGGAGCAAACAAGCACCATCGTTTCACCTTTTCTTGGAAAATGTGTT